CAATGTTTAACTTGCTTCTTCCGCCTTGGCATCCAAACGTCTTGAATGTTTTCGTCTATGTTATTGTATGTTGCGTATGTTATTTGCGACGTATATGTCTTATATTAACTCTTGGCTAAACCATTTTTGAGGTTTCTGTTTCTCCGCAACACGAGTTTTTTGGGAATAAAAAGCGGCTAATCTTCAAGTACTTATGTTTTCACATTTAAATTGGCATAGGTATGAAGGCATAAAGTGCTGTATACCATGATTCTAATAATCGTAGATGTCAGTCTAACTCTTCGTATAATAAAGATATCCAAAGAGGATTAATATATTGGATGTAAGTACATTAAACATTAGCTTACCTAGTTGATGCATTTGCTGTAACTTCATCAAATGCTGTTTAAAGAATATGAGTATGGATATCTTTGTCTCGTAATCGTCGACCTGAGATACCATATCATAAAGTTTTGCTTTATGCAGAAATTCCTTTAACACTGACACGTTATTCCAAGAGAGTATCTCCCGATGCTCTAATTTTTGAAACCATTCCAATGGCTCTCCTTCTTCTAGAAGGATAGCTGGCAAAGTGTCTCGAAACAAAAACTTTAAAATGCTCTTGTGTCTTTTTTTTATTTCACTGTCAATAGACAGTAGAAGATCGTCATACCAGTTCTTATGTGACGACGTTAACTTTTTTTTTTTTCGCTTCATTTTGATTGTATAATAAGTTGTGATGTTATTTTAAGACTAAGTCTGAGATGCTGAACTCCTGTGACTGCACTCTTTGATAAAAGACGTTTTAGACTCTTGTACAAGCTCTGCCTTAATGCTTGACTTGTTCTGAATTCGATATAATAAATGTTTTGGCCGTGACCTTGCGTGCTGTTCTTCAATTGGCTATTGTAAAGCACTTTATGGAAATGCTTCAAGATCGAGCAGAGTAATTTAGATTAATATGAGAAGTTTTATTTAAGACTATTCATGTTAAAGAACTCCCCTTCTCTTCACACCCTCTTCATTAAATTTTATCACATGATCGGCAAGAGAAAACCTGTGATGTAGGTTAAGGAAGGTAAAGCTTCAAAGTTGTTATCTATCGTTGCGTGACTAACCTCTATCCTTCGTCATTGACATATACAGCAACTGATCAGTTCGCAAACTATTTGCATATATTGTCTCCGTCTGCGACGATTTATTTTGAATTATAATTTGCTGCTAAATCGCAAACACGTCGCACACATTAAACAGAATTTCCTGTCAAAAAATCAGCCCGGGTCATTTTACCGGGCTTTTTCAAAAGTTTGTACGAATTTCGTTTGGTGATTGTTGCAGTTGTGAAACAACGGGCTCTATAGGGTTAAAATGAAGAATCACGAGATGCGACTTTTAGCAAAGTAAGTTTGAAGCAGTCAGCTCTAGATGTTTCGCAGGTCATGATTTAGAAAGGTGATCTTGAGATTCGCGCCATTTGGAATATTTATTTAGGGCCATAGTTCTTTTGGCTTCTTTTTTGTGTGGCCCGTATGTGCCATAGCTTCAGAGCTTCTCCGTAGAGAGAACTTGTTCCATGCAGATCAAGTGTCTCGTAGAGACACCACTGTTCTCCATATAAATATAACGTTGTTTCATGTAAAATGACTTGCTCCACGCAAATGTAAAGCTTCTGATGTTGAAATCCTAGATTTCCACACTTAACCTATACTTCTCAAGTTTTCTGATCCTTTGAATTTTGGATGGTTCACTTGATGTTGCCATACGGAAACGCTGGGAGAAGACGGTTTAAACTTTCTTTACTACAGGCAAACAAATCAGGCAAATACATCGATAACCTAAACTACTCCTCTGCTTTTCTACAGATTTTCATACTTTAGTTTTTGCTGTAATCTGCCGGTGTCTTGTACAGCCTCAAGAGTGAAATTATATAGTCAATCTTTTATGTACAAAAGTCAATGCGACAAAATGAAGAGGAGCATCTCCAATTAATCTATACATTCTTAAATCATAACCATATCAGAAAGATACACGCCATAACTGACTTGCAACAATACCGAAAAATTGAAAGTTGATAATACGTTTTTACACCGAAAATAATCAAGTGTAAAAGTATTTTTATTGTGAATGTACAATTAACCGCTGGTTTTATGTAAAAAAATTTCTATAGTGTTTTCACATGCGTGCAAAATCAATTTCTGAAACGAAAAATTTATATTCTGGGAGACCAAGATGACTTTTTCCGAACATTATCAAATAACGATAATTACCATTCACAATATCATTTCTATCATAGTAGATATTTCTTATTTCGTCAGAAAGAAATTATCACAGACAATTATAATACATACTCAGTTGATACTTTATTTCTTATCTATATCATTTCTTTTTCTCTACAACTTTTATATAAACTTGCCAACTTATAGGATGAATGATCACATAGATCGCAAAGCAAAAAACGTAGTCAAAAAAGCAATCGGATCGTTAATAAAATAACCAGAGCTATTGATATACAAAATATTCCTAATATCATTCTCACACGAAGATAAAAGTTAGAGTTAGTCAATTCATAGTGTATCTTTTCTACTTGTTTCAAGGTTTGATCACGTAAACCAGAATTATCTACAACATAATTGGCTCGTTCACATTTTAATCTTAGTGCCATCTGAGCGTTAATTCTCTGAACAGCTTGCTCTTTCGTAAAACCATCTCTTTTCATTAGTCGACGTAGTTGGGTATCAGGATCGCTACATTTATAAACAAAAAACGTTTTCTCAGTGAGAAATTCTAAACTGATTTAATTATTCAGCATGCGCAAAATAAATAATCGTAAAAACAATTCCCTGCGAAGAATTGAAGGAAAGACGACAAAAGTATAAAAAAGTAAAATTTTGAGAGCTACACCCGTTAGCAGATCCAGTGTTAGGCAAAATAAATTATAACCGCTAATTTCAGAATTCAAATACGTTTATAACAAAGTCATTGGCTATAAATTTATAAAGAATAAAAATTAACCAATCGATATGTTGAAGTGATTTAATTTGCCTATGGCTGGATCTGCCCCCGGACTAAATGTCAACTTATACAAATCTTCACATTTTTTGCTTTCAACACTTGTACAAATTGCAGTTGACTGTTTTGAATGAGCATACACGTATTTTCAAACAAACATACGTACCAATAGACGACAATGATTTTGTGCATAAACGATGCAATAATGCCTGACTCAAACAACAATGGTGTTTCCAAAATGACAAATCGATGCCCTGCATAAAATGATCGTAAATAATTCTTATTGACTGTAAATAGGCAGATTGGAAATCATTATTTACATACTTAGGTATAAGTGTTACTCTAACAGTAAAAGTTGGGTAGCTACATGTTCTTAAGCTTAGATAGGAAGTAGTAAAATTTTGCTACATTGTCTACACATAATGGAAACATCCGAAAATTTAAATAAAGCAACCATCTACAAAAATTTATATATAAGCAACCGAAAATTTATGTGAAGCAACCATCTACAAAATTAAGGAATTTACAATCTACATGTCAGATAAAATAAAATTTGTATAATTGGATTCACAAGTACAGAGTTGCCCAAGAATTGTAAAAACTAGACCAAAGTCTTTTAGTATAAAAAGTACTTTTCATTATGATATATTATTATATGAAAGAACAGAGAACAGAAAACAAGGGTATATTTAAGTGCTCTTGAAGATAGTGTATATCAGAGTTAATAAAGCCTGAAGCCTTGTTATAGATTATCTGGTTGGACAAGAAGTGAAACAGCTGGAGAAAGAAAATGAAGAATAACAGAGCAAAGAATCAAGACTATGTGCTATGGGAATTGTTGGAGTTCACAGGAAAATGTAGAAGACATAAATAAAAACAGGTGGTAATGAAGATGCTACAATGGATCAGATTTGTGAAGCACTCAATGCAAAATACCATAGTATGTTTTAAAGGAAATCTTGTCACCCCATCTTAAGTAACTACAAGCTATATTTCAAAAGAAGGGAAGATTTTTTGAAAATAACTTTTGTGATAAAATATAGATAAGAATGGAAATGCAGTAATACCAACTAGAAAACCCTATGTCGTTTGACTTATTGAAAATATGAATATCCAGATTAAAACATTAAACTCAGACATCATATTCTTCATAATTTTGTACCTATTCAACATCCCACCTTGAAAAAACAGTTTGAGTAGCCTGAAAAACACAGCTTTCCGAATAGCAGGGTGTGTACATCTGTTTAGAATTCTCCTTTTGTTTTCATCAGCAAAAATAATTTCACCAAGTAATGTTCTATTTATTTCACCATTTAACATAAGAATATCTTTGCCAAAGTTTTTCAGGATTCTTTTCCATGCTGGTCTTCCAGGCTCTACCACTTAATTAAAATGACAGCAATGTTAAAATGTTGAAGTTTGAGATGAATTCAACTGCAATGATAATTTAGCTTATAGCATTTTATACCTTCTCGTGCAATTTTATCCATATCAATAATTTTGCAATTTTTTTCATTCAACATGGAAGCCACATAACTTTTCCCACTTGCTATTCCTCCCGTCAATCCAACCAAAAACATCTCTATTATTTATATGTAAATACTATTAGGCACATTTCAGTTCAGAAGTATTTGGGCAAAACAAAACGCAACATTCTACACCGTTTTAAAAACCTTAACGGGATTTTACGCCATATGGTCTTCAATTCCAAATCACAAACTATTTGTCAATTATGATTTTACCTTTCTCCTATCAGGCTTCGCTGAGGCAATTACCAATACCAATGCTTTCAGTTTTAAATTGCATATTGTATTAACATTTGCATATTTATTTACATTCATTGACAGCAAACACTGAGTCAGATGACCCGCTGAAATATCTGCTGGGCCGACATGACATGGTGCAGCGTTAACACAGCGCTAAGAGTTGAAACTTGAAAATGTATGCTTTAGAGCCCTCAATGCCTCAACAATTGGCCACAGCATGTCAGCAACAAACGACAACGCTTACAATTATATCATTGTTTCATCGTATCAAAGTACTAAGAAGGCAAGAAACCCGATTTTGCATATTTATTGCTAGTTTCTCAGTCGAATGCTAAATACAGTGAAAAATAGACATGGTGTCGTAAAATGGTAAGTTTTAACGCTAGGGAAAGTGTTGTTAGAATTTTATAATGTTGAATTGCCCTGACGGCCTGACCATGATGTGACAGAACTTCAGCACAATTTGTCAAAGAAATCAGAAATATTACATTTGATGTTTTAAAAAATCGCTAAAGAAACTATTTTAAAAAGTAAAATGACAAAATCCAAATATCTTCAAAATATGAACGCTTTATATTTCAGCCTTTGGAAATAGAAAAAACTGTAAAAATTATTGATGATAAAAAATGAACTTTTTCAAAGCCGAGAGGAAGGCAACATGGCAAATACACATTGTACAAGAAGAAGCGTTTGTGAAATGTTTATTTAGTAATAATGTAATATTAAATAAATTACATCAATTACACAATTACTAACTACTTTAATCACATGATTTTTGCCTTGAGATTATTGCATCATTAAACAAAGCATTTTATACATTCAAATTACCAATAGGCAGACAGACTGATTTTCAGAACAAGCAAAAAAATTGTATGTACATGAAACGTCCGAGTTATTTCTCTTATCAATTTTAGTTTTCTTGACATGGGTTTCAAATTCAACTTGTGAACCCATAATTTTATAGAAAATTATAAAAAATGGGATGCTGGTGCATTTTTTTAAGAATAGGCAATCTACAAAAAATTTTATTTAAACACCTGTTTAATTGACAACATATTCCATTACTTGTTCTGTCAAATTCAAGTCAATACTAAATCAAAATCTAAACTATAATCATAACATTTACTGAAAAAATATGTGTTGCATTATAGTGTCCAATGTCCATTGCTATACTTGACAAATAATTAGAGTAAATAATGCCCAAAGTTAGCAGCAATAATGCCAAAATTAGCGATAATTTTCTACATATCATGTGCTAAATGTGATATCAATTTAAGATATCAACACATACTTGTATATTTTTCTTGAACAATCTCTCCGATTGAACAATGTTGCATTCATATTAAATGTAATTACTTAAATCTTTTTCATTACACTATATTAACATTTTGTAGTATGAATTGTGTTTGCTCAATCTTACTACTTTATGTTATTTATTTACAATTTTGTACCATTAGGACTCATTGTAATTTTCAAAAATGTCACCTAAATGCACAATTTTGTACAATTGAGGCAAACTTGCGTATTTTTGCATCCAATCAATAAAAATGTTTGAACATTATGCACAAACATAAATTGCATGGCTTGCTTCATATCTTCCTTCTATCGTCATAGTTTTACTGATACCAGTAAAACAAGGAAACAATGAGCATCACAACAAGTGAACAAGAAAGGGGACTCAACCCATCCATCATGTTCTTTGTGCAACAAAATTGAGACCCTGAAATCCCAAAAATGTGGCCTTGCTATCTCACATCAAATACTTATGAAAAAGATATTCATTTTGACATCTTCATAAGTTTTTGTCGGAGATGTTTAATGTCTTGATCTAAATCGGTTAAATTTTCATAATTTATCCTGATTTAAATCTTAACCAATGACAGTAATTCTTTTGAATTTACTTTTCTTGGTTTGACTCTTAGCCTATGACAGTTAAATTGTATTAATTTTTTAATGATCAACAAAGTTATAGTTGAAAATGGTTATTCCATTTCAACATATATACTTTGAAAATATGTTAAAGAAGAGCTCCATGATTACTTTAAGGGAAAAGTCTCATGGAAACAAATCTTAAGGAAATTAATATTGAAACTGCTAGAAAACAATTGAGTGCCAACCTCAATATCACTAAAAACAGAATTATATAATATTGCTGCAAAACACAGAGTAGACTGCAATATTATATGCATAATATATGTACAAAGGGTTTTACAATGTGCCCTCCCGGCTATCACCATAGTAAAATGGCGACTCCTGCACTTGGGACACAGGATGTACAGTTACACATTGCATGCATTGTATAGAGATATATGTATATAATATAAAATGAAATAAAATGGACAAGTGTTTGCTGTCGCTACTCGGAGTTTCACGCCGTAGGGCGATCTTCAGGATCTTCGTCGTAGGGCGATCTTCAGGATCTTCGTCGTAGAGCGATCTTCAGATCTTGCGCTTTCCTATTATATCTCCTATTATGCGCTCTCCTGGAAATCATTAATTATTTGGGGTGGGGAAGGCCTTTTCACTTACATATGTTATAGACATTATAAATTCAATATTATAGACTCCACAATACAATATAAGCCATAATAACTTAAAGCAAGTGGAAGTAATCTCATCAGTTTCGACCAGCAATCCGTAAAGTAAGAGTGAATAAATTCCCTTTTACCACGTACTGATCTTTGAGCTTCGACAACGGCGCGTCTTCTACGTCGTCGAGTACAAGCTCGTCTGCGAGAGCAATCGAGTGCCTTGAACTTTCCAGAACTCAAAGGCTCTATGTTTAACTGTAAAAAGGTCATTTTGTATAGTTATGGAGTTGGCCATGAATGAATGAACAAAAAATTGTTTCACAAGCAATGCCCGATACGGCTTTACCTTTGAAACTAAATATACTATGTTGTTAATCACTAATAAATATATTCTTACGATATTTGCATCTTCGATGAGAAAATCTTTAAATCTTGAATGAAATAGGTTCGTCAAGAAGATAAGCTTGGAAGATGCTGTAGTTAAATCATCTTCAGAGCAACTCTTCTTTAAAAGAACAACTGCTTTGGAGAAACAACTTCGTATTTTATTTAAAGGTACTTCGCAAGACTTTCCTACATCACGGAGTAGCTTGTGACTGCCTTGGACAAAATCCAACGGTATGTTTTTCTTTTTCTTTTTTTTCCATTTGTCCTCAAACATTTCGTCTAATAAAAATATGACATAGCAAAGTTTTTTTTAAATAAGAATTACGGTATAGAATGAATAGAATCTATGATGTTTGTGCCGCACTGTCTTTCACTGGTTTGCGCGAAAAGAGAGTAAACTTTTGTTGATAGTAGGTAGTAGGTAGCCTGCAAGATGATTAATTTTTCTCTATGAATTAATATGTTGCCAATTTATGTTAGGATCTTTTCTCGATCTTCTGAGAAGATGTTCATTTCGAGCTTTTCTTTGTAAACGTTAGGTGATTTCAATCCAATATTTTTGTGTTGGAACTTAATTAAATTCATCTAAATGGTTGCGAGTGCGCGACAAAGTACAAATAATGGGTTTTTTAAGGATACATGCTGAATTGTGAAAAATTTCGAGCCTTCGTGTGCCTATTTTACTTCGAAATAAATGCATGGGGCTCATTCGATCAATTAATTGACAAATGAATAAAATGGAACAATCGAGAATATTTTTTTAATACAATCAATAGTGAAAGTGAAACTGACAAAGTGTAAAAAATCCAGTTCAATGTTCAGTTTTTTAATTCGTCATACAATTAATAACAAGACAACCAAGGGTATAAGTCACTGTATTTCTCGATTCGAGTGAAAAATCAAAAAGATTGACCTTACGGCGTTTAAGCTGTGGTTCCGACTCAATTACGACGGCTTTCATGTTTAAAGCTGGTCCTCAATTGCAAAATAACTTTACTTAAGCATACGCATAGGCATAAGCACCATATTATCAAACTCTCCGTTCTTTTTATGCTTATATGTACTTATGTTTGTACTTACTGCTGTTTAGTGCGAGTGAGGACACCTATGCTTATCCTTGTGTTTATGTCGCATATGAGGACGAGACATTTTTAATACGAAAGCTGTTGCTGTTTATAAGTGTAATTGATGATGACGAAGTACAATGAGGAATAATGAAAATTTAAATGTTTTTAAACGGCATTTGGTGGGGTGTAAGGAAGGGAAATGTGAAATGTAGTACTGTATAATGCTTAATTTGTCTCTTCCGCATTGGCATCCAAGCTGGCATCGCAGCGTTGAACATTATGTTTGCATACATCGTTATTTCATATTTTATCAACTCGTAAGCTCGTAGCTCAACAGTTGCTTAAGATATCTGTTTCTCCGTGCATCAAAATTGATTTTGTGACCTATCAGACCTGTCTTCATATAGGCATATAAACGAAAAATTTTCTATGGCCTGATATTTTAAGAATTTCATACTACTGAAGGTCTTAATTACAGTCTCACTTTTGTCGATATAACAAAGATATGTGATGAGGAGTAATTTCATAGGTAAATGACAATAAATTAGATTGAAAGACACTGAATATATAGCTCACCCAGTTTACGCATATGCTGTAATTTCATCAAGTGCTGTCGAAAGAAATTGAGGATAGATATCCTTGCCTCATATTCGTCGACCAGAAATACCATATCATAACGTTTCGCATGTTTTAGAAATTCTTTCAAAATAGACACGTTATCCCATGAAAGTTTCATACTTCTTTCTAAACTATTAAACCATTCCAATGGTTTTCGCTGTTCCAAAAGTATGGCAGTCATTGAATTGTCGTGTCGAAACCAAAACTGAAAGACGTCCTTGTCTTTTTCCTTCAAGCCATAATAAATTGAAAGAAGAAGTTTATCGTACCAAGTCTTAGGTGACTCCACTGTTATATATTCTGATATTCTATTTTGCGTCATATATGATCAAAGTTCCTAGACGTTCCTTCGACAGCACTCACACTCACGTAGGCTGATAACTGATAACCTGAGCCCCAATGCCAAGACTGAAAAATAGCTTGGATGGGCTTATTCTGATTGGTCGATTTTTTGATCTGGTAGATTGGAAGATGGGGCTTCCCCCATTTCTGCGCAAACAATACAAAATTCAATTTGCTCTGACCTTTTAACGAAAATGCTACCTCCTCTCCAATACGGTTTGACGATATGACGTCAAATAATTTCCGCTGACGCATTCTGTGCCCATGCTGCCAAACCTCAAAACAGCTCAAATAGCGCACTTGAATACGCGACTTTGTCAAAAATAAAATAGCTGATGTAACAATTTCAAAATATAGTAGCCTTTGCATAAAAATGGAACTTTTAAGACCAACAATATGTGAGGGTGGAGTTCCCCTTTACAAATTCCTAATTTGGAGCAAGCTATATGATGTGGACTTTGATTTGGTTTACAAAATCGTTGTCGTGGCCATAGATTTGCCATGTGTATGGAGCTAATATACAATGTGAATTTGACAACCTGAGCCCTACATACAATTTTTAGCAAAGCCATTACATTGAACAAACTTAAAGCTGTGCGAGAACGTTTTGCACAGTAAGTTTGAAATACTTTGCTTAAAACATTAGCAGATCATAAACTCTGAGCACTGTCAGCTCTAGATGTTTCGCAGGTCATGATTTAGAAAGGTGATCTTGAGATTCGCGCCATTTGGAATATTTATTTAGGGCCATAGTTCTTTTGGCTTCTTTTTTGTGTGGCCCGTATGTGCCATAGCTTCAGAGCTTCTCCGTAGATATTTGCATCTGCTCCAGGCAGATCAAGTGTCTCCGTAGACACACCACTGTTCTCCATATAAATACAACGTTGCTTCATGGAAAATGACTTGCTCCACACAAATGTAAAGCTTCTGATGTTGAAATGCTACTTTTCTCCACTCAACCCATACTTCTCAATTTTTTTGATACTTTGAATTTTGGATAGTTCACTTGATGTTGCCATACGGAAACGCTGGGAGACGATGGTTTAAACTTTCTTTACAACAGGCAAACAAATCAGGCAAATACATCGATTAACCTAAACTACTCCTCTGCTTTCCTACAGATTTTCATACTTTAGTTTTTGCTGTAATCTGCTGGTGTCTTGTACAGCCTCAAGAGTGAAATTATATAGTCAATCTTTTATGTACAAAAATCAATGCAACAAAATGAAGAGGAGCATCTTCAATTAATCTATACATTCTTAAATCATACATGAAAGATACACGCCATAACTGATTATAATACATACTCAGTTGATACTTTATTTCGTATCTATATCATTTCTTTTTCTCTACAACTTTTATAAAAACTTGCCAACTTATAAAACGAACGATCACAGTTATCACGAACGGCTAAAGAGTCTATATCCTTATGTTACTGCTCACATAGATCGCGAAGCAAAAAACGTAGTCAAAAAAGCAATCGGATCATTAATAAACTAACCAGAGCTATTGATATACAAAATATTCCTAATATCATTCTCACACGAAGATAAAAGTTAGAGTTAGTCAATTCATAGTGTATCTTTTCTACTTGTTTCAAGGTTTGATCACGTAAACCAGAATTATCTACAACATAATTGGCTCGTTCACATTTTAATCTTAGTGCCATCTGAGCGTTAATTCTCTGAACAGCTTGCTCTTTCGTAAAACCATCTCTTTTCATTAGTCGACGTAGTTAGGTATCAGGATCGCTACATTTATAAACAAAAAACGTTTTGAATTTCTCAGTGAGAAATTCTAAACTGATTTAATTATTCAGCATGCGCAAAATAAATAATGGTAAAACCAATTCCCTGCGAAGAATTGAAGGAAAGACGACAAAAGTATAAAAAAGTAAAATTTTGAGAGCTACACCCGGTAGCAGATCCAGTGTTAGGCAAAATAAATTATAACCGCTAATTTCAGAATTCAAATACGTTTATAACAAAGTCATTGGCTATAAATTTATAAAGAATAAAAGTTAACCAATCAATATGTTGAAGTGATTTATTTTGCCTATGTCTGGATCTGCCCCTGGACTAAATGTCAACTTATACAAATCTTAACATTTTTCGCTTTCAACATTTGTACAAATTGCAGTTGACTGTTTTGAATGAACATACACGTATTTTCAAACAAACATATGTACGTACCAATAGACGACAATGATTTTGTGCATAAACGATGCAATAATGCCTGACTCAAACAACAATGGTGTTTCCAAAATGACAAATCGATGCCCTGCATAAAATGATCGTAAATAATTCTTATTGACTGTAAATAGGCATTATTTACATACTTAGGTATAAGTGTTACTCATTATTTACATACTTAGGTATAAGTGTTACTCTAACAGTAAAAGTTGGGTAGCTACATGTTCTTAAGCTTAGATAGGAATGCAAGTAGTAAAATTTTGCTAAATTGTATACACATAATGGAAACATCGGAAAATTTAAATAAAGCAACCATCTACAAAAATTTATATATAAGCAACCGAAAATTTATGTAAAGCAACCATCTACAAAATTAAGGAATTTACAATCTACATGTCAGATAAAATAAAATTTGTATAATTGGATTCACAAGTACAGAGTTGCCCAAGAATTGTAAAAACTAGACCAAAGTCTTTTAGTATAAAAAGTACTTTTCTTTATGATATATTATTATATGAAAGAACAGAGAACAGAAAACAAGGGTATATTTAAGTGCTCTTGAAGATAGTGTATATCAGAGTTGATAAAGCCTGAAGCCTTGTTATATATTATCTGGTTGGACAAAAAGTGAAGCAGCTGGGTAAAGAAGAACAACAGAGAAAAGAATGAATACTATGTGCTATGGGAGTTTTTGGAGTTCACAGGAAAATGTAGAAGACATAAAAAAACAGGTGGTAATAAAGATGCTAGAATGGATCAGTTTGTGGAAGCTAGTCAATCAGATTTGTGAATCACTCAATGCAAAATACCATAGTATATTTTAAAGGAAATCTTTTCACCCCATCTTAAGTAACTACAAGCTATATTTCAAAAGAAGGGAAGATTTTTTGAAAATAACTTTTGTGATAAAATATAGATAAGAATGGAAATGCAGTAATACCAACTAGAAAACCCTAAGTCGTTTGACTTATTGAGAATATGAATATCCAGATTAAAACATTAAACTCAGACATCATATTCTTCATTATTTTCTACCTATTCAACATCCCACCTTGAAAAAATAATTTGAGTAGCCTGAAAAACACAGCTTTCCGAATAGCAGGGTGTGTACATCTGTTTAGAATTCTCCTTTTGTTTTCATCAGCAAAAATAATTTCACCAAGTAATGTTCTATTTATTTCACCATTTAACATAAGAATATCTTTGCCAAAGTTTTTCAGGATTCTTTTCCATGCTGGTCTTCCAGGCTCTACCACTTAATTAAAATGAAAGCAATGTTAAAATGTTGAAGTTTGCGATGAATTCAACTGCAATGATAATTTAGCTTATAGCATTTTATACCTTCTCGTGCAATTTTATCCATATCAATAATTTTGCAATTTTTTTCATTCAACATGGAAGCCACATAACTTTTCCCACTTGCTATTCCTCCCGTCAATCCAACCAAAAACATCTCTATTATTTATATGTAAATACTATTAGGCACATTTCAGTTCAGAAGTATTTGGGCAAAACAAAACGCAACATCCTACACCGTTGTAAAAACGTTAAAGAGATTTTACGCCATATGGTCTTCCATTCCAAATCACAAACTATTTGTCAATTATGATTATACCTTTCTCCTATCAGGTTTCGCTGAGGCAATTACCAATGCTTTCAGTTTTAAATTGCATATTGTATTAACATTTTCATATTTATTTACATTCATCGACAACAAACACTGAGTCAGATGACCTGCTGAAATATCTGCTTGGCCGACTTGTCTTTGATCATGGTTATGGTGCAGCGTTGACACAGCGCTAAGAGTTGAAACTTGAAAATGTATGCTTTAGAGCCCTTAATGCCTCAACAATTGGCCACAGCATGTCAGCAACAAACGACAACGCTTACAATTATAAATTATATCTTTCTTTCATTGTATCAAAGTACTAAGAAGGCAAGAAACCCGACTTTGCATATTTATTGCTAGTTTCTCAGTCGAATGCTAAATACAGTGAAAAATAGACATGGTGTCGTAAAATGGTAAGTTTTAACGCTAGGGAAAGTGTTGTTAGAATTTTATAATGTTGACTTGCCCTGACGGCCTGACCATGTGTGACAGAACTTCTGCACAATTTGTCAAAGAAATCAAAAATATTACAATTGATGTTTTAAAAAATCCCTAAAGGAACTATTTTAAAAGGTAAAATGACAAAATCCATCGTAAAATCTTCAAAATATGAAGGCTTTATATTTCAGCCTTTGGAAATAGAAAAATCTGTAAAAATTATTAATTATAAAAACTGAACTTTTTCAATAACTGAGAGAAAGGCAACATGGCAAATACACATTGTACAAGAAGAAGCGTTTGTGAAATGTTTATTTAGTAAAAATGTAATATTAAATAAATTACATCAATTACACGATTACTAACTACTTTAATCACATGATTTTTGCCTTGAGATTATTGCATCATTAAACAAAGCATTTTACACATTAGATTTACAATAGGCAGACAGACTGATTTTCAGAACAAGCAAAAAAATTGTATGTACATGAAACGTCCGAGTTATTTCTCTTATCAATTTTAGTTTTCTTTGACATGGGTTTCAAATTCAACTTGTGAACCCATAATTTTATAGAAAATTATAAAAAATGGGATGCTGGTGCATTTTTTTAAGAATAGGCAACCTACAAAAAATTTTATTTAAACACCTGTTTAATTGACAACATATTCCATTACTTGTTCTGTCAAATTCAAGTCAGTACTAAATCAAAATCTAAACTATAATCATAATATTTACTGAAAAAATATGTGTTGCATTATAGTGTCCAATGTCCATTGCTATACTTGACAAATAATTAGAGTAAATAATGCCAAAGTTAGCAGCAATAATGCCAAAATTAGCGGTAATTTTCTACATATCATGTGCTAAATGTGATATCAATTTAAGATATCAACACATACTTGCATATTTTTCTTGAACAATCTCTCCGATTGAACAATGTTGCATTCATATTAAATGTAATTACTTAAAGTCTTTTTCATTACACTATATTAACATTTTGTAGTATGAATTGTGTTTGCTCAATCTTATTACTTTATGTTATTTATTTGCAACTTTGTACCACTAGGACTCAGTGTAATTTTCAAAAATGTCACCTCAATGCACAATTTTGTACAATTGAGGCAAACTTGCCTATTTTTGCATTCAATCAATAAAAATGTTTGAACATTATGCACAAACATAAATTGTATGGCTTGCTTCATATCTTCCTTCTATCATCATAGTTTTACTGATACCAGTAAAACAAGGAAACAATGAGCATCACAACAAGTGAACAAGAAAGGGGACTCAACCCATCCATCATGTTCTTTGTGCAACAAAATTGAGACCGTGACATCCCAAAAACGTAGCCTTTGCTATCTCACATGTAATACTTATGAAAAAGATATTCATTTTGACATAGATCTTCATAAATTTTTTTCGGAGATGTTTAATGTCTTGATTTATATTGGTTAAATTTTCATAATTTATCCTGATTTAAATCTTAACCCATGACAGTAATTCTTTTGAATTTATTTTTTTTGGTTTGACTCTTAGCCCATAACAGTTAAATTGTATTAATTTTTTAATGATCAACAAAGTTATAGTCAAAAATGCTTATCCAATTCAACATATGTACTTTGAAAATGTTTTAACAAAGAGCTCCATGATTACTTTAACAGAAAAGTCTCATGGAAGCAAATCTTAAGGAAATCAATATTGAAACTGATAAAAAATAATCGAGTGTCAACATTAATATCACTTTTTTAAAAGTCAAGAATTAGCATCTTATCTTGTTTTTCTATTTCATCCAGAAATACGTAGACGAATGTACTAAACGTCAACTATTTTCATGCCCATTTTGATAAACTCACGAAATTTTCAAACATGAAAGCATCAGGCTGGTTGCAAGTAACCTGGATAGTGCCATCTAGAAAATGGCGAAATTTTAATTATCTCAGGATCATCCAATTTAAAAGTTCATTCAAAGATAGCAATATCTTTTTCATGAAGAAAATGTAATATACTTGCAAAATGACAACACTATCTCGGATTGGTGCAACCTGCCTTGGCAAAATAAATTCAATATTATAGACTCCACATACAACATAGGCTTACATAGCCATAATAAACTTAAAGCAAGTGGAAGTAATCTCATCAGTTTCGACCAGCAATCCCTAAAATAAGAGTGAATAACTTCCCTTTTACCACGTACTGATCTTTGAGTTTCGACAGCGGCGTGTCTTCTACGTCGTCGAGTACAAGCTCGTCTACGAGAGCAATCGAGTGCCTTGAACTTTCCAGAACTCAAAGGCTCTATGTTTAACTGTAAAAAGGTCATTTTGTATAGTTATCGAGTTGGCCATGAATGAATGAACAAAAAATTGTTTCACAAGCAATGCCCTATACGGCTTTACCTTTGAAATCCAATTATACTATGTTGTTCATCACTAATAAATATATTCTTACCATATTTGCATCTTTCATGAGAAAATCTTTAAATCTTGATTGAAATAGGTTCGTCAAGAAGATAAGCTTGGAAGATGCTAAAGTTAAATCATCTTCATAGCAACTCTTCTTTAAAAGAACAACTGCTTTGGAGAAACAACTTCGTATTTTATTTAAAGGTACTTCGCAAGACTTTCCTACATCACGGAGTAGCTTGTGACTGCCTTGGACAAAATCCAACGGTATGTTTTTCTTTTTTTTCCATTTGTCCTCAAACATTTCGTCTAATAAAAATATGACATAGCAAAGTTCTATTTAAATAAGAATTACGGTATAGAATGAATAGAATCTATGATGTTTGTGCCGCACTGTCTTTCAATGGTTTGCGCGAAAAGAGAGTAAACTTTTGTTGATAGTAGGTAGTAGGTAGCCTGCAAGATGATTAATTTTGCTCTATGAATTAATATGTTGCCAATTTATGTTAAGATCTTTTCTTGATCTTCTGAGAAGACGTTCATTTCAATCCAATATTTTTGTGTTGGAACTTAACTAAATTCATCGAAATGGTTGCGAGTGCGCGACAAAGTACAAATAATGGGGTTTTTTAAGGATGAATGCTGAATTGTGAAAAATTTCGAGCCTTCGTGTGCCTACTTTACTTCGAAATAAATGCATGGGGTTCATTTGATCAAATAATTGACAAATGAATAAAATGGAACAATCGAGAATATTTTTTCTTATACAATCAATAGTGAAAGTGAAACTTACGACGTGTAAAAAATCCTGTTCAATGTTCAGTTTTTTAATTCGTCATACAATTAATAACAAGACAACTAAAGGTATAAGTCACTGTATTTCTCGATTCGAGTGAAAAATCAAAAAGATTGACCTTACGGCGTTTAAGCTATTGTTCCGACTCAGTTACGACGGCTTCCATGTTTAAAGCTGGTCATCACTTGCAAAATAACTTTACATAAGCATACGCATAGGCATAAGCACCATATTATCAAACTCTCCGTTCTTTTTATGCTTATATGTACTTATGTTTGTACTTACTGCTGTTTAGTGCAAGTGAGGACACCTATCCTTATCCTTGTGTTTATGTCGCATATGAGGACGAGACATTTTTAATACGAAAGCTGTTGCTGTTTATAAGTGTAATTGATGATGACGAAGTACAATGAGGAATAATGAAAATTCAAATGTTTTTAAACGGCATTTGCTGGTGTTTAAGGAAGGGAAATGTGAAATGTAGTACTGTATAATGTTTAATTTGTCTCTTCCGCATTGGCATCCAAGCTGGCATCGCTTTCATATTACTGCAGGTCGTAATTACAGTCTCACTTTTGTCGATATAACAAAGATATCTGATGAGGAGTAATTTCATAGGTAAATGACAATATATTAGATTGAAAGACACTGAAGATATAGCTCACCTAGTTGACGCATATGCTGTAATTTCATCAAGTGCTGTCGAAAGAAATTGAGGATAGATATCCTTGCCTCATATTCGTCAACCAGAAATACCAAATCATAACGTCTCGTATCGTTGAGAAACTCTTTCAATATGGACACGTTATAATAGGTAAGTTTCATATTTTGTTCAAGACTTTTAAACCATTCCAATGGTTTTCGCTGTTCCAAAAGTATGGCAGTCATTGAATTGTCGTGTCGAAACCAAAACTGAAAGACGTCCTTGTCTTTTTCCTCCAAGCCATAATAAATTGAAAGAAGGAGTTTATCGTACCAAGTCTTAGGTGACTCCATTGTTATACATTCTGATATTCTATTTTGCGTCATGTATGATCAAGGCTGCTAGACGCTCCTTCGACAGCACTTACAGTCACATAGACTGATAACTGATAACCTGAGCGCCAATGCCAAGACTGAAAAATAGCCTGGAAGGGCTTATTCTGATTGGTCGATTTGATCTGGTTGATTGGAAGATGGGGCTTCCCTGCGAAAACAATACAAAACTCGAGTTGCTCTGACCTTATAACGAAAATGTTTGCAATTTCCTAATTTGGAGCAAGCTATGTGATGTGGACTTTGATTTGGTTTACAAAATTGTTGTCGTGGCCATAGATTTGCCATGTGTATAGAGCTAATATTCAATGTGAATTTGACAACCTGAGCCCTACATACAATTTTAGCAAAGCCATTACATTGAACAAATTTTAAAGCTGTGCGAGAACGTTTTTATTGCTAGAACAAACGTTGTCTGTGAAGTAAACAGAAAACTAAGGAGAATTTGCATTTAAGGGCATGATGCTTTGGAATTATGTTTTGGATTTATCCTTTGGAAATCGGAGACCTGTGAAAGTGGTTCTGTCCTTAACAGAGGTGGAGAAAGCCACAGACAAAAATCGAAGAAGTTGAAGATTGTTTTACCTGATTAAGTTATAAGATCTAAGGGGCTGATTAAATGAGCCCGGTAGCCGTGATTCAGCCAGGTGTTAAATAATTTTGGCAAATGGTAACGATTCAATTCTTATCATCAGATAAATCTTCTCAAGCACTTTTACAATATTCTGATTTAATAACTTCTCAAAACATTTAAAATTGAAACAGCCAGTTTGCCCTTATTTGAGAATTACAACCGGAGTGACGTGTTGTGCTTCGCAAACAGTTGTAATTTTTAACCTTGAAGTTTTGGCTCTTTTCAATCCCTTGAATTCATCGGGCTAGCTCGCTATCCAGGCCAGCTCGCCTCCATATAAACAGGCCCTAAGGTGGCTCTTAGTCGTTCCATTGTTAAAGCATGAAAAATTCAACAAGACAACGGAAGATCTTTTCTGATTGGTTAAATTTATAAGGTGTAACAATGAACATTTTTTTCTGACCTTGCTTGCTGTTCTTTATTTGATTAAAATGTAAAAAGGGGGTTAACCAGCCTTGTTCAAAGGTTGGAATATAAAGGTTAAACACTGGATAAATTGAAGTGAAACACAAATATGAGCTTGACATGTGTATACTATTGAGTAATTTTTGAACATACTTTGCGATCGAGTAGATTAATTTAGATTGATAAGTTTATAACTATGTATTGCATTCAAAAACCAGCCCACTCGTAACACACCTTTCATTATACTTTTTACATGAATAGTAAAGCAAATTTTTTAGATGAGTTAGTGAAGGTAAAGCTGTTTCAAATGAAACATGATGGACTGCCCATTGTCGATGTGTATAAATATTTGTTCTGTGTTTTGATCATGTGGGCGAAAGTTGCTACAGGTTCTTGAATAACCTCTAACCTCTTGTCATCCCCATAAAGCAACCAATTGGTTGAAAATATTTGCTTGCATTGTCTCTGTCTACGACATACTCATTTTTTTAAGAAGTGTTGCCCGATCGGAAACACATCGCATATATTAAACCGAATTTCCTGTCTGAAAGTCTCGGATCATTTAAAACGAATAATCACGAGATGCGACTTTATTACGAAATAAAACTCGGCAGCATTTTTAACGAAGCTGATTTGAAATATTTCGTCTAAAACTTTGGGAGATCATAAGCTGTCAGCACAAGTAAGTGTTAACAACTATAGATGTTTCGTAGATCATGATTTAGAAAGATGATCTTGAGACTTGCGCCCCTTAGAATATTTATTTAGGGCCATAGTTCTTTTGGCTTTTCGTCACAAGTTTCGATAAAGTTTACGTGATCGTAAGCCACACGTTTGTAATTGTTACATATTTTGACTTTAACAAGAAACCTATTTGAAACCTTATTAAAATGTACATAAAATGATCGCCGCACATGGTCATTATCGTGATCCTTTCAAAGATTAAACTGCGTGCAGCATTTTGTTTTGACTTGTGGCGTTAATCGAACAGTTTGAAAAAACAACTATCTTCAATAGGAACACCGCTGAGGTTTATTATATATTAAAAGGTGAAACAATGCATGCTTCACTGTAAATATCCAATATCGATTATCGTCGTTATAATATCTACGCATCAGATGATATGTCTATTTTTGTTGTAATATTATTTGAATGGTGTAAGCAGGCAGATGAAGTAGTTTCTTCTTCTGCAATGGTGCAACTTTGATCATGATTGGTTGAAGTTATGTTTTTATCATAAAGCTCTCTTTAAAATTTGTTTCTTGTTTGTAAATTGAAATGAAAATAAGGAAGGCAGTGCGTATCCGGCTACATTTTGCTGGTTGTTTGAGATTTGCATAAATACACCAGCCTTTGTTGCTTTTTCATTCTTTGTTTGCCCGTCCGTCATGTGAGCATATACAGTGTTCTTACGTACATTATAATCACCGCTGAAGTACGTCGAAAAATTATTGACAAATTCAAAAAATATTCATGACAAATAAAGCACAGATTCCAATTCAGGCATATGCAATCTCACGAGGCAAACTTGACGTAAGCGCTTCATCAACATGCTTCTGCGTGAGAGAAAACTGACTCTTACAGTGTACTAATGACTCATCGCATAATTTAGTAATGACTCGCCCCAGTCTTTTCAGGTAATTGCCACATGTTGTAAGCTTATTGGTTGCGTCATGTTTGGTGATTTAAAAATTCCGTTCAGGGGTTGATGTAAATTGGCCTTTTGCAGCTAGAGGACACGTGCTTAGGTAACGCCATACTGGAGAGCACGCTTTCCATTAAACAATGGCGAGTACAAGGCAATTTAATATGTAGAGTAAATTTTCTTTGTTTTTGTGGCGATTTCGGCTAGACAACACTAACATGGCGTCGAATCAAGGTATGTGACAAGCAAAATTTTTCATCAATTCTTTTTCTTGACTTTTTTTAATCGAAAAATGAATCACAAGTAGGAGATTTGGCTTTGGGGAAGGTATTAATGATTAATCTAATGTATTTTCATGTTTTTATGCATGCTTCTCCAGATGATTCGTGTACCGAAAGTAAAGACATAAGTTCTCTTCCTAACTTGACTTTTGCATTTGTCGAGAAGTATGCAAAAGAGTTGTCAGGATGTCAGAGTACCGCAAAGGCCTACAAGTTTTTTGCTGAACCTGGATATTTACATGAAATGAAAGGTAAATTGCCAATCATTGTTCGCGTTTTCTTTAGTTACTAAGCTTACTTTCAGAGTGTGATTAATTTGATCTCATAAAAATTTTAATATTCTTTTGTCAGTTACAACCAAGGATGATTTAGCTGTCATAAATGCTCAATGCTATCGATCAATGAAGAAAAATGAGCCTCCACATGTACTTGAAACCAAGATCAACATTGTTAACAGTTCAATTTCTGCAAGGTGTTCATGTGTAGCTGGTGTTGGGGGATACTGCCATCATGTCGTTGGATTGCTGTTCTTTCTAGCCCATTGCAAACAGCTAGGTCTTCGCTCATTGCCCGATTCATTGACATGCACTAGTATGCCTCAAAGATGGAGTGTACCCAGAGGAAAAAAGATAGAACAGAAGAAGATTCAAGATGTGCTTGTCAAAAAACCAAGAGCAGGGGCTAATTTCACCAAATTTATTAAAAGCACACTATATTCACCTTCAAATGTTTATTTACCAATGACAAAAGAAAATTTTGATGATTTTGAAAGCAAACCATTAATAGCAAGTATACTACCAAGTGAAAAGAACCTTGCAAGTATCCCACTTGTGCAAAGTAAATTTGGAGAAGTTCCTAAAGGATGTGTTCTTTCTTACCAGCAAAAGCTCTCTCAAGACTATGTTATCAATGATTTCAGTTGTACCAACTTTCCAACACTACCATTGGCTTTAGCGGAAATGAGATTTAAGAATAATTGTTCCAGTTGTCTCACAAAGCAACAACAAGCTTCTTTAGATGCTATAATGATTACTCAAGAAGAGTCACTTGATATCCAAGAGAAAACAATCACTCAAAGTGCAAACAGTTTGTGGCATATGTTAAGAAGTAAAAGAATCACAGCAAGTAAGTTTGGGATTGTTGCAAGACGGTCGAGGGATTTTGAAAATCTTGTAAAACAGCTCAATCCATCTCGTCATGTCATAACTGCAGCTATGAAAAGAGGCATTGATTTAGAATCTACAGCTGCAATGGCCTATGCTAATGTTGCTAAGAATGGGTCTATGAATCTATTTCCTTCTGGATTAATTATTCATCCCAGATGTCCTTGGTTGGGCTGCAGTCCAGACTGATTGGTATATGACCTACAAGCAGCTGAGAGTTGTTGCAACCCTTTTGGATTGTTGGAAATCAAAGTTGTCAAGGAAGGTGAAAATGACTTTGCTAATGTTAGATATCTTTCAAAAAATGTGGCTACAAATGGCTTTATTTTGAAGAACACTGATATTTACTTTTACCAAGTACAGTGTCAGTTAGCTTTGACAGGTCTTGAGTGGTGTGACTTTTTTAGCTACATAAGTGACACACATTTTGTTTGCAATAGGATTAAATTTAACAAAGACTTTTTTCAAGAGGCAAAAAATGAGGTTGATGGTTTTTATTTTCAATATTTTTTAAAGTGATTGTCGTAAACTTGTGATAATTTTCTACAATTTTGTGAAAATCTCTTTTATTCTCATAGTCATAGTCTGTTACATGTTTTTTAGCTACATTTAATTCTTTTTGACAAGACAACTGTAATCCAATATTTACAATTGTTAATTCTTACTAGGATCAGAAATTAGTGGGCCTTGGAAATTGGTAAGCAAACATGCAACTGTGTATATTTGATTAATTGACCCCAATGAATTAAGTGGTATATCAGAATCAAAAATATGATACTCTTTTATCCTTCGATAGCCCTTTCCACATGTATGCGACACTTGCAATTTCTTTGGTTTTGAACATCATTTTGAGTAAACTGAACATTACTCTCTAAGAAGGGGAATATTAAGTATTGCTTTCTTTTCTAATAACAGATATTCTATATCAAAACCTTTGTCTGCCATTATTGAATCTCCCTCCTCAATTAAATCTAAGATGCCACAACACCTAGTTATGTCTTTATCTGAGATTGCTTCAGTATATAACCCAGATACAAAAGAGACTGCCCCATGAGGAGAGATCCCAACCAAACCTTTAAGGGTAGTGTTGCTTTTATAGCTTGAGTATAATTGTGACTGTAATAATAAGGAGCTGGGAGTTTGTACGAAAATTTCTGTGCAATCTATTATAACTCTAGTACTTGGGTAAAGCCTACGAAAACACTGGGGCATGTAATTATTGACATTTTCCCTAGAAGGCCAGATTACTTGACATCCCAACATGAAATATAAGTAATTGCTCCATGTAACTATTTTTCGGCTAACAGTGGATATATGTATTTTAAATCTGTGAGCAAGGTCTTGCTCAAATAAGCCCAATCTAATACGAACCAGGAACATAAACAACTCGTCTATAACTAGCATGGTTTGTGCTTTTGGACGACTTTCTCTATCTCCTGTAGCATAACAATAGGTCATTCTCTCAGCAGTTGGTTTTATGATTTCATAAAAAGCCTTAATGTGTTCATAAGAAACAAATCCTGTGTAGAATCTGACTAAGTCATTGTTAGTTGAAAATCTTTCTAAACCAAATTTGGATAGTGCTAACTCCTCGGCAGCCTTCTTGGTATTTTCAATTTCTTTATGTGCTTGGGCCTTGAATGCATTCATTTCTTCCATAACAGAAGCTGTTTCTTCCTTACTTTTTTTTAATTCTTGGGTTTTCAGAATTACCTCCAATCTTAATCCTTCCAACTCTTCTTGCATTTTTAGCAAAGGATCGACTGTGCACACTTCACTGCCAGTTTCTTCAATTGCAGTTTCTTCAGTTTGTGTCCCTCTAAAGCAAATAACATTTTAATCATTAAGAAACAAGGTACAGGTGAAGGCAATAATATAAACTTATTATTGACAATTCCGCATACCCAGTACAAGTGCGAATTAGTTTTCTTCTTTTTGGAGTCATTGAAGACCAGTCAAATTGGCTGGGAACAGACCCTTTTTTTAATAAACACCGTCCTGCATTATCAGGATGTAGGTAATCGTCCTCTAAAAAGTGTCTCGAGCAAACCCTTGTGCTGCTTGATATCTTATAAAGTTAAAACAAAACATAGCATTAGTGCGTATTTATTTACAAATGATGCACTATCTAAGATTCACTGAAGAAATATGCAAGAGCTTTTTTTATAATAATACAAAGCTACCTTGAAATCAGGCCCTTCGTCTCTTCGTATTTTGACCAGCCAAAGTTTACGGGTTTCTTTGCCGTCATTGGCACTTGGAATGCGATGGAACTTCAGGTCTTGGTGATATCTGGAATCTCCATTACATAGAGGCACACAACAGTGGTAACTTGATCTTTTTTTGGCTTTAAAGTCGCTGAGCACTGAAGTTTATTTTGAACACTTGCGGAATCTTCGAGAATGAGTGAAAATTTACTCCTTTTCAGTTAAAAGTCAAGAAAAAGAATTGATGAAAAATTTTGCTTGTCACATACCTTGATTCGACGCCATGTTAGTGTTGTCTAGCCGAAATCGCCACAAAAACAAAGAAAATTTACTTTACATATTAAATTGCCTTGTACTCGCCATTGTTTAATGGAAAGCGTGCTCTCCTGTATGGCGTTATCTAAGCACGTGACCTCTAGCTGCAAAAGGCCTATTGTGGCTTTTTCAATTCGGTCAAATGCTTTCCTTCAATTCAGGAGACAGAATTGTTTAAAAAATGCCCAACAAGTTTCAAAAAGACTGCTTGGATGCGCACAATGAGTACCGTCGTGATCATGGTGCTCCCCCCCTGAAATGGTCGTCAAAACTTGCCAATGATGCCGACAAATGGGCCAAAGATTTAGCACGGAGGGGAGTCATGCAACATTTCAGCTCTCGTGATCAAGGCGAGAATATTGCATATAAGTCAGGTATTATGACAAACAATTTGTTTTTCTGCAAGTCTGTGTTGGTGTCTGTAAAATTTGATGGCTCCAAGATTCTCGGATTCTCCTTTGCCTATATCGGAATTTTTGCTTGTGTCCTGCTGCGATTAGCACACACTGACCTGATATCGTAAAATTAATGTGTGCCTAAAATAGAGATTCTTCTGTTTGTTAACGACCTTTGTTTGCGTTGTTTACAAGACACACACATTCAATGATTTCTTCTGTAAAATTTTATGTTCTCGCATTCAGGAGGAGATCTTACAGGTCAACGTGCCGCCGAAATGTGGTACGAAGAAATCAAGGATTATCGTTTTAATAATCCTTCTTTCTCGTCAAAAACTGGTCATTTTACCCAACTAATCTGGATTGGCTCACATGAATTTGGCGTGGCGATGGCAACGGCTCGTAGCGGAGCCCATTTTGTTGTTGCAAGATATTTTCCTGCTGGTAATGTTATTGGACACTTTCCTGAAAATGTCAAGCGTAAAGGATCAAAATTGACCAACGCTGATAGAAATGCAGGTATTTTGTTCTGACATTGAAACGTGTGCGCATCTTATTTGCATAATGTCTAGAAATGTAACAATGTAACTGATACAGCGGCTGTTGTTGTGTTTTTATACCAGTTGTATTTGGAGTTTTAAAATTTATTATTTTTAATTCGAATAATTTGTTGGCAAAACCGGGTGCTCTGTTTTGTAGATTTTTAAGCCATTGTGTTTAAAAACTTCTGTTTAGCATCAGCTAGCAAGCCGGGAAATTTCAAGAAAGACATACTGGAAAGTCACAACCAATATCGACGTCAACATGGTGCTCAACCACTACAATGGTCGTCAAAATTAGCATCGGGAGCAGAACAGTGGGCCAAACAACTTGCAAAACAAAACAAAATACAGCATGGAACGGGAGATTTTGGAGAAAACATCGCATATATGTCAGGTAAGATCAATTTCCGGGAAAAGTAAATTAAATCTTTAATCATAGGTACGTGTGGTACTTAAGATTTTAATTGAACTAATTTTTTAATCATTTAACCATACTTGACGCAAATTGTCGTTTGTAATTACATAACGAACATACACTATGATATAGGTGCTGAATTAACCGGGAAGAAAACTACGGATATGTGGTACGAAGAGGAAAGTCGATATAATTACAGAAATGCCAGATTCAGCTCGAATACCGGACATTTTACCCAGGTAGTGTGGGCAGAAAGCACGCACATAGGAGCAGGAAAAGCTGTGTCAAGCTCTGGTGCACAGTTTGTTGTTGCCAGGTATTCACCGGCGGGTAATGTTCAAGGAAAGTTTGCAGAAAATGTTAAAACTAAAGGTAGTGCGATTAGTGGCGGAAATCAAGGTAATGTCTCTTATTTTAACTGTTGCGATGATTTCATATGCTACTACTTGCTCAGAAAGTATTTTTCAGCATGAAGCATCAGTACAATATTTATATTTGAACAATATAGCATTTAATTATTCTCAACTTATACTTTGATTCCAAATTTGTGCATTTTAATGCAAGCGTGAATTGGCAACAAGCAACGTGAAAAATTAGCAAACAAACGGTTTGACAACTAATTGTAAAAATCAAAACTACGCATTGCGCAGTTTCAATTTTGATTCCATCATATCAGCAGATTGCAGTTACTCATGTTATTTGTAAAAACGGAATTGTCGTTTTATCCTGTTTACATATATTTACAGGTTGCTCATGTGTTATTCTATGAAAAAATCTCCATCATTGGGTCATTGGTTACATGTTCACGTTTTAATAATTAAATTCTGTTTTTGATCACCTAATGATTTGGGTTGTTAGTAAATAATTATTTTCTTACGCACTATAAACACATTGAAGAGGTTGAAATCTTGATGATAATTGCTAGCAAATACAGTTAGACAAGTTACAGTATCACCAGTGACGTAGCGCCAGCCCGCAAATTTGGCCGTGCTATGTAAATGTCAGATCATTATCATTATTCATTTCTATAGAAATCTATTGTTTTTACAATGATTGAATACAGAAAAATTTACATAGCAGGACGAAATTTGCGGGCTGGCCATGTCACTGACTATCACCGTACACGAGAAAATTTGTGGCAACGTTAAATATTTCAAGCAATTCCTTAGATAGAGTAAACACTTCTATTTAGACATACAGCAATTGAAGTATTTACAATGATAACTTTTTATCTTGTATTCTTGCACATAAGTGTGTCTATATTCACTAGAAAAATGGTAACTTAACACAACGAGTAACTCGTTTTGAATAGTGCATATGTGTAAAAATTAAATTATGACTTCGGACGCTATAGTTGAGTTGTTTTGTAATTTTAAGAATACATGTGTTAAAGATGCTCATAAACAAAATCCCCCGACTTTGACCGCTTGAGAAGTCGAGAGCAGCGAGAGTTAATGAGAATCACTCGTCGCTGCATTTACAGCAATAGTAGGATGCTGATGTATCTCGTTCAGGCTTTCAAGGATTCTTTGAGTCGACTCGTGTAATTCACCATACAATTCAAGCATCATCGGCAAAGCTTTCTCATAGCAAGCAAGGGCAGCAGGAATGTCGGAAAGATATTCGTATGCTTGACCAAGATTGCATAGGTTTAGAGCAATCTCTTTATTGCACGGCTGTTCGGCGTCTTTTAACATGTCCAAAGCTTGCTGAATATACAAAATAGCATTTTTGTACTCCTCCTGTTGATAATATACGTTGCCTATGTAGCCAAGAGTCTCTGCAATGCTAGGGTGTGACGTGTTTGCTTCGTATAAAATGTACTTCATGTCAAGAGACTGTTTTAGATAGTTTAGTGCATCGTCCAGGTTTCCAAGAAGTGAGTGAAGATAACCAAGGTTCGTCAAAGTTTGCGACATTTCCGAGTTTGCTTTGTCTTCGCCTTGAATGGACATATACAGAGCAAGTGCTTCTTCTAAATGTGACTGCGCCTCATCGAATCTTCCCAGCTTAATGAACGTTACTCCCAAGTTGTGCAAAATTTCTGCAAGATCAACCGATGATGACCAATCCGTTTGTCGTAATATTTCTAAAGATTCCACCATCGTCTCGGCCAAAGAATATGCCAAAGGTTCCAGTTTGCTTTCACTAAATATGAATATGAGCTGCGTTGTTACATGCGTGCGCACTATTGTTCGACAACATGAATTTAGAAGCCGCATAAAAAAACTTCAATTGACCTGTTCACAGAGACCCATTATTCAAAATTGTAACTAAATGCAACATTATACATCATTATCAAACATTTTAGAAGTAAGATAACTCTGCAAATCCTTTCTTTCAGTTGTCATTGTTTAAAGGTAAAAAGTCAACTTTACACGTTATGTGTCATTTCTTTTATTGTAAAAACAACTTTTTTAGTCTGTGTTTACAATCGTGAATTTTCCATCAAGAAAAGGATTGTGTTTACTGTAGTTTCTTGTGCACCATGTACTGAACTATTTTCTTTTGTCTCTTAAACTTACCTTATCATTTCCAGTCCTCTAGAGCAGCTCTCAAAGGCTTTCTCGTTGAACCCGAGCTGTCGATAGACACGACCCAAACTGTTCAAGCATTCCGCAAAATCGTCAAGTGGTTCGCTGTGCTCATATATCTTCTCAAATGTCTGACATGCTTCTTCAAAATATGCCATCGCTTTGTGAAAATCTTCCATATCAACATGAATGTAGCCAAGATCCATCAAGGCTTTACATACATCTCTGTGAATGAGAAATGTACCCAGTCCAATACTCATAAATTGTCAAAATATAATTTCGATCCAATAATTTCTAATAGCTCTGAAATGCGAGTTGCACATACAACTACATGACCTGAAGTGTGAAACCAACCTTGAGTTGGTTTGTGTTGTGTAAAATGGGTATTTTTTGTTGCGATGAAACATGAAAGTTTTACAACAATGAACGGTTCTATGTCTTGACCAACGTTTTCTCCTGGTACTACAAACTAAGTATTACGATTTATTTATCATTTACGAAAATATTTAGTCAAACCTCAAGAACATCTTTCCCAAGAAATAGCCAATCTGTCTCTGTTTCTCATGACCGTTGCCATGTTCAACACTCCCTAATTTTAAATGCTGGTTTTTATGAGCTTCAACCCTTTCTCTCCCAGCTTTACAGTATGGTAACATCAAGGAAACCATCGAAAAGTCAAACAAAAATCTTGGGAAGTAAAGAGTTAATGTAAAAAGATTTGTATTACCTATTTGCAAAATCATCTTCATGAATCAAACGGAACATCTGCAATGACTCTTCATAGGCTTTCTTTGCCAATGAAATTTCTTCGTTCTTTCTATAAGCCATACCAAGACTACGAAGTACCATAGCAACCTCTGGGCATAATGGTAGTCCGCGACACAGCAAACGTTGCATTTTCAAAGCCTCTTCAATGTAATTGATGGCCTTCACACAATCCCCTAAGTGCAAGTACATATGCCCAAGATTGTACAGACGATCAGCAATATCCGGATGTGCGTCCATGTGACCGTACAGTTGTCGTGCATTAGACAACGCATGCTCATAAAGTATCACAGCTTGCTCAGTGTTGCCTGCTCCATGATAGCACAACGCGACGTTGCTTAGCGATGCAGACAAGTTGGGATGTACTACACCTGTTCCGTATAATGAAAGCATAATCCGATAAAGCTCTTCATAATTGTCTAAAGCTTTTTGGATGTCTCCATACAATGTATACACTGCAAGCAAACTGTTCAACGTTGTGCAATAATGAATGGGAATGCTCCACTTCCCAATATCATTGATCATATCCATCGCTTTCTCATAGAAGACTCTTCCTGCAAGAGATCACTATTTGCTAAGAATGCAGCTGCAACTCCCTGAAAGGACGTTACTATATCAATGGCGGCTGTGTTTTCACCATATATCGCCTTTTTGTGGATAAACTTTCAAGATGAAAGTCAAGGGCTTTCTTGTACTCTCAATTGACATATACGAATTGCCAAGCTCAAATAACGAATTTGCAAAGTGTGAATTTGCCGTAATTTCACCGTTGTATTTTGCATTGAGTAATCTTGCTGCTTTCTCGTGACAATGAACTGCTTTTTGCTTGTATCCCAAGAGGCTATAAACATGTCCTAACTTGGAAAGTTTCTCAAAAAACGTCGGAGTTTCTGTGAAGGGTTCATTAAATTTGTTTTCGATTTCAGAAACAGCTTCCTCAAGACACGACTTTGCTTTCTCATAATCCATCAGACGGATATAGATACTTGCTCTGATCTCGGCTCTAAAATAGATTAAGTTGGAGTTAAAGCTATAGCAAAAGTAACATTTATTGCTTGCAAAAAGAACAATCACAATTCTGGGGAAAGTCTTGTGCTTCATTAATTAAGCAAGTCGGTAAATTGTGTTAGTTAGATTGAGCAAATACATCGTAGTAGCGAGCGATCGTCTTTTTTATTTCAAAAATATTTTCTTCGAGTCAGTCTTGATAATTTGGTTGCGCATCACACAACCACACTCCTTCACATCACAATTGAGTTTATTTTAATCTCCAAACTAGACAAAATGTGACTGGACTTCGCTGAAATCTCAAGTTTGCTGCACCCAGTGCAGAGAAACCGTTGCACAATTCTTGGCTTCAGTTTGAACGAAAGAAATGTTAACACGAACCTTTCATCGAAAAGATTATTTTCTGTGGTAAATTTTCTATGTCTGTGTGAGCTTTCGTTGAGCAGCAATGTTCGGACAGCTTTCTGAAGAGGTAAAACAGTCATAAAAAAACGTGTGATGACATCAGTGTTTGAAAGGTGAATGACTTCATCCATTTTCAACTTTTCAACTTGGCCAGTTAATGTTATGTTAACTTCTGCTTCAACAACATCTGACATTAGAGTCGTAACCCTTTCTCGTTGTGATTTGTTAGCTAAATATGACCGCAGTCTAAACTCTGATGCAATGGCAAGTGCAAATTGCAGATTGTGTGCCTCCTCGTTGTTAATCAAGTTCTTTTCGTTCATCTCTTTTACGGCATTCCAAGGTACCCGAGTATTCAAGTTAAAATACAAAGATAGACTGCTGACGATCAAACTGGGAAAACGATAGAGGTCTTTTTTCACGTTAAACGCCTTGCCTTCCTCGTTCGAATCGATGTTCATGTCAAAATTGTGCAACGCCTCGTGCAAAGAGAAAAATCCCCTTCGCGATCCATTTGTCCAAGAATTTCCACATTTAGATGGTGTTTGCAGATTTTCCTTGATTTTCATTTCATATTCCTGAAAAAGTTCTTCGTCACCAGTAATCAACAACGAAGATACCATGACATCCGCCAAGTGATAACCTTCCTTGATAGCAATTTGCTCAGACTGTAGAGCGGCCATTTCTGTTGGTGTTTTTATAAGCTCAAGAGCATCTTTATGTTCTGTTTTCTTTCTCCCCAGAGGCATTTTGCTTGCCCACGGCATGGCTGCATCGAAGCAGAACCCCCTCGGTCCATCATCGTAGAACCACTTTCGGGACTCATCTTTTGAGTAGAAATCGTTTAGCGAGACGATACCCATCGATGGTAAAATGGTTTCACCAAGATTAATTACTTTTATGTGTAAGTAATGTGTCAAATGACGAAAGTACGCTATGTTTTTCTCCGTATTCTTGCCTTCCTCAATAAGAATCGCAAACTCCAAATCAGAATATGGTGTCATTTCCTGTCTAGACAAGGACCCCAATCCTATGACAGCATAGCAACAAGGTGCACTTCCTAACATTGACTTGCATTCTTCCAGCAACGTTCGAACAACATCACACATTCCATCAGCAATATCTCGAAATAGCGACCGAACCAAAGTGGTTCTCTCTCTCTCAGAAGGCACACGTTTGTCGGGATGTAATAGCTTTATTTCAAAACCTGAATTGGAATCGATATTGCACAAGACCCGCTTGCAGTGTTCACGAATTTTGTCAGTAAAGCTTTGTGTTGAAGATCGTTTTCAAATGCAGGGACATCTATTTTTGAGTTTGTAGAAAGGACATTCTTAAGAAACTGTTTTTCTGTTTCTTTAATGAGCAAAAGCAGCGTTTCTTTTTGCTGGATTTCCTCATCTTGCAGCCTACACAGTGCCGCATTGTATAAGGCCACTGCCTTGGCAAAATCTTCCCCATTTTTATATTTTTTTCCATATTCCAAGTAAACACTACCCAGACTTTTGAAACATTTTTTTGCTTTCTTTATTTGCCCTGCTTTACCGTGGACGAGTTTTAGAGCTGATGTCACGTAAGACTCAGCAGCTTCCAGATCTCCACTGTCGAACGCGCTGCCAAATTTTCTCAGCCAATCATCAAACCTAAAGTTGCATAAACTTGCTTAGAATTATTATTAAAATTACGATCGTTAAAATTGGTTCGAATACATTTTGTAAGTAATAAGTATTTGGTTAAATATGATATATCAATTACCCATTCGTAATGTTGACAGATCATTATTTTGATCCAAATAGAATACACAGAATAACGCAAAGTAATGAAAAGGTGTACAAATACACAAACTATTAAAGCACTAAATTTACCTTGGAATGCATACAATGAAATGAATTGCATTCTATATGTACATGAGAACACATGGAACATTCAACAACGGAAAATAAAGAAGCTGTGTAGAGCAAACACTCAAAACATAAAGAACTAAATCATTCGAAAAGCAAATGATAGAGCCAAATTCTCATGTCGTAGCCAAACGATCACAGCCATAACAGTTCGTTATACTACATATTGTAGCCGTACCTTTCATTTTCTTTATCATCCATCCGATGTCCGTCTGCATTTGGCTCACCATTCAAGTATATTTTAATGCAGTCGTATAAGAATATAACCAGGTACTTCTTTCTGTTGAGCGACTAGATTCGCAGACAATTTTGTGCAATTGCTACTATTTTCGTCTTGCAAATCTTGCTTTCACTTTCGTGTCTTTCCACTGACTTCATACAAAAAGTGGTTCTAAATTAATTTACATCGAATGGTTATCCGTATCGTAACAATTTCCTTTGACGAGTGCCATATTTCGCATTACTGTGTGCAATGAAATGAATTCTACCGAAGTCATATTTCTTATTTCTTTCTTTGTTATCGAGATCGAGGGACGGGTGATCAAGCACAAGAATTTTGTGAATTGTTGTTATGTGTGCTTCCACTTACAGAGTAGAGAGTTCTTTGTAGGGTCATTGAAATGGTTAACGGTAAATCAAAACTTTGTCTCACTCATTTTATTTATTGGAAACACATTACAAAAATTAAAAAATTGGTTAATATTTTTGCTTTCGAAACAAAAACAAGACAAGATTAGACAACCTTAGCTTCCCTCCAATGTTCACCTATACTATTCTTGATCAAGTTCAGATAGACGCGAAATTTCGCCCGCTGCTGAGAAGCTATTGTGAAAAAGATAAAAAAAAACAATTCTTATTATGGCTTGTCCACAGTTGGTTTCATCAGAAAGACTCGGAAAATATGTTGTGTGTTATTTATTCATAAAATAAAAATGGGAAAGTATACATTCCTATTTGACATTTGAAATTTCAAACATGGCAAAGCTTTTCATTTAATGTTCTCTCATTATCATATGTAATTTTTCTGTTGTATTTAAAAGAACGGCCCTTGTTCTTTCTTGTCGTACAGAAAATACACCGAGGCCGACCAGCATCATTTTCATTGTCGAAAGTGTTTTATTGTGCATTTATTAAAATTGTCAGAGCCGGTAAAGGATTCGTGTCTTGTCGTATTTTTTTTTATTTACTTGTACTGTAGATTTTAGACGTCAATTAAACTAATTAATCGCGCGCGCTATTTAAATTTTGATCATGTTACTACTAATTAACCATAATTGACGTAACAATTGTCATGTTTTATCGCTTTCTTGAATTGAAATTATTCGCTCTTTACAAATGAAAAGAAATAAGACTGAAGATAGCAACAGTGTTGCACAAATAGAGGAATCTGCATCCAACCCTGTCTTGGCGCCATCTAGGGTTAATTTTGAAGAGGAATTCCCGGATACTATCTCTGAGCCAGGTTTCGATTTCATCAAAAATCCATTCAAGTTAAAGCGCAGATTCTCGAAGCCGTTGAGGAGAATGAGCAGGAGTATACAAGAGTATGATCTCCATGATTTAAGTCGCGCTAATTTGTTAATGAAAGAAGCGGTAGAAGCTGCAGATGACTTTGAGAGACCTGTTGCTTTGTCAGCACGTTTGAGGTATCAATATAAATAATATTGCTGACTTGCTGTTATGAAGGGATCATATGCATGTTCATGTAATTCTAATTTTTTTTTCCATTTCTTTTTTCATGGAAATATTGAAATGTTTTTCTTCACACGTTCAAGATAAAATTAAATAATCCCCTTTATGTACTTTGGTTGAATTATCATGATGATCATGATCATGATGTAGTAATGCAATGAAGCAAAATCACTTCTTACAGAGATTATCTTCGAAACTTGAGTATTTCTGGCGAATCGGATCAACCGTTCGCTATATCGTTTGAGGATGTTGCTGCTGCTGCATATAGAATTCGCAAAGGAGTAGTGAAATCACCTTGTGAGGTACAAGAATTTTATTACTGCAATGATAAAGTTCTCAATCAAAATTCAAACGAAACCTCATCGCTGCGAAATATTTTTACTTCAGAAAACCACCATACCCGAACTCGAAGACATCGATTTGTATTTTAAGAAGGAGTTTTGTCATGCTACTGGAAGGTAAGTATAAACATCTTTTTCGTCTTCTGCTGATGTCTAGAACTGCACTAATTTCTTATTGTCATAAAAACATGAAAACCTTACTTTGAAATAAGTAATTTTTTTTATTACATTTGTCATTTGTTAATGTTTCAGTTTTAAGGAACGTGGAGCAAGAAACACACTACTTCTCCTTACAAACGTAAGGGATTTTTATTTTTACTTCGATATGAAAAGAATTTTCTCAATATTGATGTGACAGTATTTTGCCAAAACATGCAAGAGGATCACAATTTTCTCATCTTTTCTAATTTGCATATTTGTCGGACTTAGATCGTCTAGGCTAGCGCAATCCTGATAAGGACTGTTGTTTGTTGATATTCAGAACTACACCTTCCTGGACGATCTTAATCCACAAACATGTAATGATAAGGTCGGGATAAAATCATTCACTTTATCGTCTCGTTTGCCAAGTTGAAGGAATCACATAATTGTGATAAGTGAATAAATCGCGACCATTATATATTGAGGCAATTATACTGCATATTTTTCCCAGGAGCAAAAACAGAAAGGAGTTATAGCTGCTTCAGCCGGTAACCACGCTCTAGCTTTGGCATATCATGGAAAATCTTTGAATATTCCTGTGACTGTGGTAATGCCAGAAAATTGTACTATTGTGAAAGAAATGAAATGCAGAAATTATGGTGCTAAGGTTTGGCAAAAAGGATATGATTTGGCGGAGGTTGGTCAAAATTCATAACAATGATATTTATATATTTGTATTTACGATGACTATTTTGCGCATACTTGCAAGCTTAAGTACCAAGCTTATGTTCAAAAAACCAGAATCAAAACTGATATAAAAGAACGTTGGTGTAAATTTTCTGTACATGTGAAAGAACATGAAGAGAATGAAAATCAATTGCTCTGAAGTTTACGACCTTAAATGACTACCTTGATAAAATGAGATTGCGTTGGATCAAATGGATGCTTCGCTTTAACTCTTATATAATCTTAGTTTTATTGTGTAACTTTTGGAATTGCTGTTGTATGTAGTTAAATGTAACAATTATGGTCTTGTGTCCATGTTAAGATGTTGTCTCATATTTGCATTCAGGCGAAGGAGTTTGCTATCAAGCTTGCACGTGAAGAAGGAATGATGTATGTTAACGGGTAAGAATTATTTTTGCGGTCAGATCTGCCAATAATCATTCCAAAGTATTGTCATCAATTAAATCGTGATTGTTTGTAACGCTATTGGGCATTTTTGTTACAGATACGATCACCCTCACATTTTGGCTGGTCAAGGAACCATTGGATTGGAAATTCTCGAGCAAATTGAGAATGTCGATGCAATCATAGTTCCTGTTGGTGGTGGAGGTTTGATAGCAGGAATTGCTGTCGCAATCAAAAGTTTATACCCACATTGTCAAGTTATTGTAAGTTTTCTTCAATGCACGGGGAGCGTTGTGTAGTCAACAAACAAAATAATACACTGACTCCTATGAAATAGTATGAATTATGATTTATGGATACAGTTGTATGACAGTTGTGGTAAGAATGGTCAAAAACAAACAATCGATGGTAGTATAATCAATCACATGTATTCAATTCAAAAGTGAATGTTTAGTTGCACCATTTTCTCGCTGACAACTCAGTAAAATGTTTGTACCACTTGCTCATCGATGGTACTTAGGATAACCGTAAAACTCAACACATGTGGCTTTTGTGTGTATCCCATCAATAAAGTCGTGTACTATTTTTTCGTCAACTCGATTCCATTTTCGTCTCAACAGGGTGTTGAATCAGAAATGTGTCCTAGTTTCAAAGCAGCATTAGATGCTGATAGACCTGTGAAAATTGATGCTCATCACGCTTTGACTCTTGCTGATGGTAATAATTTGCACTAATACGTAAAACTGTCATTTGCAAAAATATAGGTAAAAACAGGTGTCAAATAAAAAAATTTCACTTTCCTAGGTCTGTGTGTTCCGAAAGTTGGTAAAAACGCCTTTGAAATAGCCAAAAATTTTGTGGATAAAACAGTTGTTGTAAGGTAATGAAGTTTAACGAATGTCTTTGTATTTCACGTTAACATGTTTATTTGTCATGTTAATAATATACAGTTCCTCTTCAATATTATGTTTGTATAATTATGGCTTTCTGTTTTGTTAACAGTGAGGATTATATTGGAATAGCTGTACTTCGACTGATGGAATACGAAAAAGCAATTGTTGAAGGTTCTGGAGCTGCTGGACTTGCGGCTCTTCTGGCAGGACTTCTTCCAGAACTTAAAGGCAAAAGGTATCACAAAACAGGAAAACAATCAGAGCGTCACTACTTAAGTCGAGACTGATGTGATATTGCCGTATTATACATTTATAAATTCCATAACATTATAGTTTTTCAAAGTTTATCTGACTTTGTACAGTAAAGAAAATTTTGAATCATTTTAATTTTTTGCTTTTTTGATGTTTGGTAATATCTTTTCACAAGATCATTGAACTATATCAAACACTCATCTAACTTATGTGTGTGATATACAACGCTGTATATGCAAATCAACGTTATTGAGTGTCAATATTATTTTAGAGTTGTCGTTCCATTGTGTGGGGGAAATATCGATCCCACGATGCTCGGCCGTTGTATCGAAAGGGGGATGTCTTCTGACGGTCGCTTGATTCGTTTTATCGTCAATGTTAAAGACAGACCAGGTGGAATTGCCGAGTTAACGCAACTGGTTGCATCCATTGGAGTTAGGTACGTAAATTTTGAAAAACTTGAAACATATCAGTGTAGTCCGCAAAATAACAGCTTTTCCACTCAGTTATATGTTTTTTCCTTCGTTTAATGCTTTTGTATAGTGTAAATTTTCAATGCTCTTGGTTTGTTCATCTCAGCAACCGAACTTGTATTTTGTCGTTCATGAATATTTGATTTGAATAAAAGGAACAAAAAAGATTTTTAATGCATTTATTTTACAATGAGAAACACGTGATCAATGTACGACATTTCATATCAATGAATATTACAGCATAAAAGATTTGTATCACGAAAGAGCTTGGATGACATCTGGCATATTTAGTGTTCAGGTACATGTATATATAGTTTGCATTCTGTCACAGCTATATAAGTATTTGTTAAACTGACAAAACTGTCTATTGCGATTAGATAAAAATTATTGCTGAAGTACGAAACAGAGAGCATGGTTTGGATCTTCGACGACTCTTAACCAATCACTATCAAGAAGATATAGTATGGAATACTGACCGTTCTGCTACATACATGCATTCTATATAATGCCCTGCTAAACACTATACACTTGATGTTTATTTCAGTTATATATATATGTGGGTAATAAACAGACGATAAAGATCAATACAGCTAAGCTTGTCTAAGCTCATTTATTTATAAGAAAGAACGAATTAAGCTATGGCGCAATATTGTCCAATCAACAAGCTACATAAATAGAGCGGGCCATGAAATTTTGTGTAAAGTTTATGCATGATTTTTTCTTCTTCCTTCGGATGGCACAATTGTTAAAATTTTCCTTATATGCTTGCGCGCTTGTGCTATCTGAATTTTTATCGCAAAAAAAGATAATGGTTTCTTTCGTCACAAGAAAAGCTCATTAAGATATGAAAGATGATTAGTGACTCGTTCATCGATTAAACACGTTTGGCTGCCACATTTAAGTTATTTCATTATTATATTGTCGGACGTAGATTATGCAGACAAGCTGAGACAACATGCAATGCACGCATAGTAAAAATTTTACGCTTAATAATATGACTTATAACGGATCTTTTGATCATTTCTAAAATTTATTGCATTGAATGCCATTGAATGTGAAATGTCTCGAAGTAAGATTGTAGAAAGCAAATAAACTCTGCCACGAACCAATGCCCCACTTGTTGAGGTTTTTGTTATACAAATCGTTCGTCTGTAGTTGATCACATCGTTCATTTGTTTGTTTGATTTCCTTTTCTTGCGAAGACTTTTTTATGATGATAGTCGTTGCTCTCTTAAAAATTCCACAAAAAAAATCTACTTCACCGGAGGACGAAATACAGCTCCGAATATAACAGTTTAAGTTCAAAAGGCATTTAAATCATTGCATTTATAACGCTTTACTTACCATTTTTTTCTCGTCAGTTGATTGTGAAATAGTTCACGGTTGTTGCCAATCGGCAACTTTATTGTCGTCTTTGTCACGATTGACAAATGAGTCGATCAACATAATGGAGCCTTGAAGATGGTGGAAAGAATGCTGATTAAAGAGACAGTTCAGTGCTTTTTTCTAGGTTACTTCGAACAGTAATTTTACTAACTATGACATGAATCAGGATTCACACACTTAGCTATAGTCTAAAAGCATTATCTCTCCTGTATCGCTCTCCATACAACATGTTTTTGAATAATTTACTTGTTTGATTTTCATTCAGCTTATCATTTTTGCTAGAATTTTAAATGTAGTTATAAGTCATGTCAGTATCATTAGATCACGTCAAACTGAACATTGTAAATGAGAAAAAACTAAACTTACATTTCTTTATTTTTTTCATCTATAAGTGTTGAAATTTCACGAAATTTCTTCTTCATTTATAAACTTTACTTTTCTCCAAACATATGAAAAAACTAAAAATAATTTTCTTCATACCTTTTGATAATTTTTTCCGATAATAAGCATAGAACAATATTTGCATGTTGTCTCAGATAAAAGTATATAATTTGCATATGAAATAATTAATTCGGCTCCGATGAGTCTATAATTTTTGCTTTCTCATTGGTAATCTACGTTCACATATTAGAGCAAGCCTGTTGAGTCGTTGACTATGTTAAATGAATAAGTACGGAAAATAGTGAAGCTTATAATTAATAATTGGCAGGGGGTTAAATTTGTTGTCGTAGTTCAACTGCGTTAATGCATTGCTTCAGATTGGAAACAAAAAGTCAATTTCCATGGGTCGGCAACGTGCAGAGAAAATATTGAATGCTTTCTGACTTTTGTCTGCTTGGTACGACATAAAGCCTAGAACATGTAACACAAGAAAATGGCGCTGTAACAAATAATTTGTTTAATTTATTTGGTGAGCTATAACAATTTTGCACAAAAGTTCAATTTCATGTTGTTTTCAAAAATAGTTTTTACTGTGTTGCTAACAATAGTTGTTTTCAGAAATACTTTTTACTGTGTTATCCTTGCTTATATATACTTAACTAAAGAATTTAAAGATTGCGGAGAGCATGAGTTAGAGACATGTGACATTAACATAGATAGTCACGTTGTCAGACTTTATTGTAGAGTGAAAAATAACAAACCAAACTGTTCCCTTGAATATAAAGTGAAAATCTGTGAATGAAATCAATAATTCATAAATAGCTGTATTTAAATTTTCTTTCTAACGTATTTAAGAAAGATACTTATGTGTTGTGTTCGAGCGTGAATTGACGTTACAGTGACATGTCTACAATAATATAAATTACAGATAGCGTATAAAAAGTTGTTCCATCTGATTGTAATAAACTGACAGCACAAAGAAATCAAAAGCACAAATTTGAAGCAACTTGAATGCACGTTTCCGTTGTCGTCTGATGTACGTCTTGTAAACAGATAAGCTGAGAAAAAAACTCCTGTTCTGAGTATTTGTTCGGCTGTATTTATTTAGCTGCGACCCTAAACTTCGACTTAAATAAATATAGGAACAAACACATCTAACGCGTTTAATTTTTATGTTTTTAGAGTTTGTAAATGATTATATATGCTAATGAAATAACAATCAGCAACAGTTGATTATTTTATCGGAGGACATCTCCCAAAACACGTCGATTATCATAAAATGAGAAAACAATGTGGTCGTGAATGGTTGACCACAAATTACACCGAAATTGCTGAGGGTGTTTTTTTCTTCACAAAATCTCATCTAAAGTATTACGTGTCGAACAGTTTAATGGAACAAGAATTATTCGTTTAATTGTCCTGACAGAAGCCGCGACTTGCCATGATGCATGCTAATGATAGGAAATTTTATTTTCCTGACAATGGAAACGATGCTACTTCTCCGAAGTCAATGACCGGACGAGATTGTGACCGTGTTATCATAAACGTTGGAGGCCATAAACACGAGACACACGTGAGCACTTTGAAAAATTTTCCTGATACAAGATTATCGTGGATGGTCGAGAGCCCTTTGACAAAAGCTTATAACACGTCCGATCATGGACAGCCGATCGAGTTTTTTTTTGATCGACACCCGGGAGTCTTCGTCCACATTCTGAACTATTATCGCACGGGAAAATTACATTGCCCAGCGGATGTGTGCGGACCCTTATTCGAGGAGGAACTTAATTATTGGGGAATTGATGAGCTTCAAATGGAGCCATGCTGCTGGAGCACATACACGCGACATCGTGATGCGAAAGCATTTGAAAAAGTTTTTTCAGCCAATGCATTTCATCATGATGATGACGTTTCTGAAGGAGAACATAGTAACATTGTTACAGAATGTGATCCGTGTCATTACCCTTCAATATATCGTGTGACAAGGAAAAAAGCTTTGGGAAGTGTTGGAAAAACCTTATTCTTCCAAAAGCGCACAGGTGCGTCGTAAAAATCATTCGCTGATATTTTTTTAACCTCTCAAACGAGGCTGTAATTTTCTCCGAGAAATCATAACTCGTTATCGTATAAAAAATGCAAGCTTATCTTTTTCATATTTCATATATTCCATAAAACTGGCCTGTGGTAAGAAATTTCCAAGATTACTTTTTAATTATAAAACACTTTGATTGAAGGAATGTCAGCATTGCCATGAATTATTTTATTTTTCTCTTTAACCCATCAGACAAACATTTTGCTGATAACACATTTTCGATTAACTATTTATAAATCTATATGATGCACGTCATGATTTATTAAGAAAAGTTTTTAAACGAAACGAGAAGCCAGCGACTTTTCAAAATTTTGTTCCAAGCTCAAAATACATCACATTGATCCTATTAGTTATTTAGAGTATCTGAAACAGAACAAAGTACAGTATAATTTTTACAATGACCCCTAATTTCTTATGTACAACAAGGTTTTCCATCAACGAGGTATATCCATTAAATTGAACACATAACAGGACGGAAATTTTTGGTAAACATGTCTATATTGCTACTTAAATGAAGTCAAAAATTACTTGAGGTAAAGTCAAAAAAATTTTAGCTTTGAGTCTTCATGATTTTTTGGCTGTTCATATAGAAAGATTGGAAATAGTAAAACGTCTAGCATCAAAGTTTGACGAGAGGGTATAAACTCCTGTTCGTTGTATTCAGTTCAATGGGTACACTCTTAGCAATCTACGTTAAGGAAAACTTTTATATTGCTTTTATCTTTCAGGTGCTTGCCTTAGTTTCTCTTCTCATTATTATTACATCAGTCATAACATTTTGCTTGGAGTCCATGCCTCACCTGAATGTTTACAAAAGGACATTTGAAATATTGGACTTTGTGTATTGTGCTGTTTTTACGATGGATTTCCTGGCTCGCGTCATCTCGTGTCCAAACTTGAGAAAGTTCTTCCGCAGTACTCTAACGTGGTGTGATATAGTATCCGTATTACCTTTCTACATCAACATTATATGGCAGGTGGATTATCTCAACGTTTTCTTAGTTGTCCGTCTGTTCAGAATATTCAGACTGTTTCGGTTTTTTCGCTTCATGAGCGGCATGCAAGTTATTGGACATACATTAAAAGCCAGTGCTCGTGAGCTGTTTCTCCTTGTTCTTATATTGTTTATACCTATGGTGATATTTTCAAGTCTCCTATTTTACACAGAGAAGGTAAAATATCATTAAACGCAAAACAGTTCTTATGCAGTATTCTCAAATCCTTGATATATTGTTCAGACCCGAAATCGTTTTCAAAACAGAATTTGTAGAATTAGATGGAAATTTGCACTTTACTGACTCATCAATCGTGTGCACAGCCAGTGCGGATACACGAAATACAAACGATCATAAGCTGCATTTCATCATTTTGTTCTAGATTATTGTCACTGTTCACTACGAACAATTGATGTTATAGCATCAAGTAAATTCATTGCTTTCATTCGCCATCTTGTCGTGGCATATATAATGAGACAAAATGAATTTTACAATGTCTAATAGTATTTGGATGCCTGTGAAAAATCATAAACAATATTTTCGGTTATATTGGTGCATGCGGAAGGCTGAACACAATTTCATTTGGATAAGTTTAGAAGATTACATCTAAGATGATTTTATCAAAATATACATGCAGTCCATTAAGGATAAGATTTTTGTATATGTATGTATTAAAATGTGTGATGCATCTAAATGTGTTTTTGAATATATTCGTCTTCGTGAAACAAAATAAGTACATCATAGTAATGTATCATAAAAATTGTTTGCTATCTTATTTTCCTTAGATAGAAAACAAAAGAATTCTATAGAATTTGCCATGATGGTCTCGATAATCTTTATTCAGAGTAAAAGCATGCGTGCATGTCAAAACCGTCTTCAGATAACAAACGCAGTGTAAAGATTTTAAAGCTAACGTGACCTAAAACTGACTTGTTTCAGCTGTTTGATGGGGACCAACGTTTTGAAAGCATCCCTGCTTCTTTCTGGTGGGCAGTGATCACTATGACAACAGTTGGCTATGGTGATATGTATCCTAGAACAGCTTTGGGACAATTTATTGGTAGGTTCAGTGTTGGCTTACTATAAGATGTATTAATTTTGCAATCTTATAGGTTATTTTCACTATTGTATGAACACTCATGGTGCACGTATGTGGAATACATAAGATAAGTTGATTTTTTTCCAACAATGCCTACAATGGTACAATATTAAAGTTAAAATAGCACATTTTTTTGCAAACTCAGTTATATGTTTCAAAGTATAAAAGCACTTAAATTTTTACCTCTAGGAACAATGTGCGCATGCTCGGGCGTGCTTATCGTCGCTCTGCCAGTTTCCGTGATTGGTAGTAACTTTTCCTTGTTTTATTCGCATGCGCAAGCTCAACTTAAACTACCACAGAAGAGAAAACAACCTGTTTTAGTTGGTGCTGCTAGTGCACTGATTTCCACTGTTGAACCGGAACATGAAGTATCATCAGATTCAGAAACTAACTCACCTAATGAAATCTACAGTCAAATGAATGAAAAAAATATGAAGAACCGTTTATCGAACACTACAGATAGTACGAATGACATTCATGTTGAATTGGAGACGCTCGAAACCATAGAGTTCAAACGAAAACTCACTCCAGATGCAAGGCCACCTTGGTTTCATGAGAGCAAGTTAGATCATGAAATGAAAAAAAGCTCTCACAGTTTGGAAGGTCGCTGTCGAGGAGTGTTTTCTCGTGGCAGTCCCGAAATGGGCCTTCAAAAGAGCATCAAAGCAATGGGTGACATAATGTTAAATATTGCAGCACCGATGCAAAGAAGAATGGCCATTTCTGGAGTCTCGTTGTCAAATTCACCTTCTCTTCGAAGGAGCAATAGCGGTAAACGTCGTTCAAAATCGAAATCACGCGATTCTTTGCGTAAGAGAGCTTATACGTCAGGCTCGGACAACTGCAGAGCGATGGATGGAAGCGATGGCTTCGATGAAAATAGACTTTACCTATTTGCAGAACACAATGAATGCGATGTTGATATTGAAACTGAAGCAAGAAAATCTACATCTCACAATACACAAGAAAAAGAGTTAGATGGTGACAATCTTTCAGATAGCAACATAAGAGATGAATATTGTTCTGTTAGCTCACCCTTAGATGAGTCGATCACAGACTTTGTGAAATTTGAGTTATCACTAAAACAAGAAAATAGTCCTGCTTCAAGCTCCGAAGTAAATCCTTTGATGGAAACAACGCATGCCAAGGATACTAAAATGAAATCCTGCAATTCGCTACAGCGAATGGAGCAAAAACGTCCTGAAGAACATGCGGGTATCCCTTCTCAAATACTTGAATGTCAAACATCATCTCATTTAATTGATTGTAACAGACTTTCGACTTGGTATTCTTATGGAAAAGAGAGCAATGACGTTGCATTGCCAAAAGTGAGCAGTAGGCGAAGAAGTACAACCATAAATTTATGTGATGTTTAAAAAGGTCTTGTTCCTAAACATCATAATATGATAAACAGTAGCATCCCCAGGTTATATAAAATTCCTATCTTTGTGTAGTATTAGAGCTCTAGTAACTGTATTATACGTTGTGCATTTTCTCAGTTCATTCAATAGCTTTCATGTCATACTTGTTTCATTTCTTGCCAATTAAAAAAGACGACACGGTTCAATTATAGCGGAGAAGATCTCTGTTCTGGAGTTTATGAAAGACGATCGTGAACACAGAAATTTTTATTCGAGTAGAAACGGTTCTTTTAATAGGCCAATTAAAGAGGTAGTGTATTCATAAGAAGGAATGTGTTTTTAATGTTGGACGATACCATTCCTAATTATTCATCGTATAAATTAAACGAAATAGCAAATAGCAATACTATCATCTTGGAAGACCATTGAAAACGATAGTATTCAAACTTTTCACCTGATTGTTAAATGAAATGTTTTGATTATTCGGCAAGTTTGTTAAAAGCATAGAGTAAAAGAATTTTCAGCAATCAACAAATCTGCAAAATTGTCTGAAAATAATAGATGAATGGCAATTATAAAGTGTGACGTTTCACGTCTGACACGGAGACCTCGACAGAGACACCCTGACCATTCAAATTTCCCTCTGCAAATGTCGCATTTATAGACAACTCTCACAAGACTGAAACGACACGATTGAGACGACTCAAACATCTCGGAGTACCTGCTCGGCCTAGGACTACTTTGGGAGAACAAGTCTCAACCTGGTTGGTTTTGCATCATTAATTCTCTAATTATTAATCTCTTTGTTAATAGACGTTGTTTTATTGGCTGTTCTATAGCAACCAACAGCAACCAAGCTTTTTAAATATTTGAGTAATGAGCCCATGCCATATGGTAGTTCAAAGTTTGTACCTTATATTTTGCACACTCGCTTTGTCATTATTTCGCTAATGGAATTCAAACGACCAAAAAAATATATTCCATGTTTCACTGGCCAACCTTCGCCATCAAGAAATGAAATTTTAAAATCCGATTTGGGTTTTGACGACGGTACGTATCATACACTCGATGTGTATTTGCTTTGCGAATTGCATTGTAGTTTTAACTTTCCACTTATTGAATCTCAATCTGCTATTTATCGTCTCCGTCTCTAACAACCATCAAACAACAGGAATGTACAGCTACTTATTGTATCATAGAAAAATATGTCATAGACCTAAACATGATCAAAAAAACATTTGCAGTCGTAAAGTTGATTTTATTGATAATTTTGATATCACAGGATGAGCAACCTTGAGCTAATATGAACGTTGATTTATTTACACCGAATTTTAAACCACATTGAAAGGTCTCATGATAAAATGCTTTGGACACCTTTAAATTGAAATTTATAATTTAGATTAATCTCTCTTGTCAGTGAGACAGGACAAAATAATTTTTCTTACTAGATCAGCTCTGACATGCATAGATAACCATATCTGCTTTAAGTTATTGCAACGTTTAGAGGAGTAGTCTGATTTGATAAGGACAATAAATTATGATAAATGCTCACACTGTCCACCAGTGATCAAAATATAATGCTGATAAAAAAAATAATGAGTTAAATAGAAGCTAAGCAATGCTCGAAAATCTAAATCTGGTTTCGTTGCTAGAAATTTTGAATTTCTACAACACCTCATTGAATATTAATTTATATTTAACAACTTTTACAGATGATTCATCTTGTAGCTGGAATTCATCAGATGAGAATCCTGAAGTGGATCAAGCAGGAAAGGATGGTTTGTTTACTGTTTTATTTTGTTTACTATTTTGTACAGACTTGGACTTTTTTATAGATTTATGGGAAGGGTAAATAATCCATTCATATTAAATCTTCAAAAAAGCAATCAATATTTCCCAAACTCCGAAGGAACTGATTAAAAAGATCTTAAGATCAATTTATTACAATGATTTCTGTAGTCAATGTACAGTACAGGGACGGATCAATGCTTATTTGACAGAAAGGGTGCCAGGGCCTTGGGCTATCATAGATTTATAGTCCTAGAGATGACTGAACCTTGCTTAATGAAAGTGTTATTAGCTTTTTAAGAATTTCTTATAAAGTTATATAAATTGAGAATCCTATAGCTGTACCATACATCCTTAGATAATGAACAAAGTTTCATAAATTATGTATCCAAATATTGCCAACAATGAGAGAAACATGATTACAACTGTTTGCTTTCACACATGACGAAACACGGACAAGAAAATGACATGATAAAGTAACAATTTACTTAATGTTTCGAAATTTGTTTCAATTTTATTGTTTCAATGAAAACCTTTACAGTAATTCAATTGCTAATAGTGGTTGTATAAAATATGTATTTGCCTTTCAAATCTAGACTGCCATCATCTGGTACACACATTCAGTCATCAATCTTTGAGCAGAATTGAGTTATTTTTGTTTTTTTCTGGAAATATTTTACTTCATTAGATCAGAAAATATACTTTTTATGACATCACAGAAACTAGTGATGATTTAATGATCGTCAATTTTCCAGATCGTTAGAGCGTTTTATGCAGAAATACAACAGTTTAGTAATGTCATGTGTATATGAATATACGTATTTGTAAAGGTGCCAAAGTTTGTTATTTTAATGCTGACGGTTGACAAAAACTCTTATTTACCAATGCTAATTATATAATGTGATGTTATAACGATCATAAGGAAAGTTACATATCTCTAAAATAAAGTGAAATAACGCAATTGTATTGAAGAGGTGATCGGGTCATTTTGACATTTCTATATAATGCAGTTAGAAAACATGGCAAAATTTGGTGTCATAAACATTTTAAAATTAACTTTTTAGTCACAATAATTGAGCTGCAGGCTCTTCAGTTGGAAATACAAAAAAAGGATAAACAACGCGAAGAGCTTCTTCTGAAATACAAGGTCAGTAATGTATATTTTGTATTCTTTCTATGAGTCAAGAAGATGGATTCGTTAAGATGGACTTGAATGCCAAGAAAATGCGATGTTCTTTGTTAATTTCGACTAATTTGCATTCTACAATCTTCTCAATTTAACAATTTCCAGTTAATCCGTTTGACGAAACCCAAATAAGCAAAACAAGTTTATAATTTTGTTATAAATGTCTTGGCAAATGGATTTTCTGATCAATGAATGGGATATCATGCAATGAAGATGTTAACTTGTCATAAATGCATGTATAAATCGTTAAAAGTTTTAGTAAAAAAACAGTAATTATTTAAAACTTAATGAAACATGCGGGTAAGATTTTTGATTTTTTTTTAATTTCAGGAGTTAGCAGATAAAACGGCTAATTATCGTTCTCGATTGAACAAGTCTGAGCAAAACAAGAAATCTCAAATGAAGATCATGAAGAAGACATACGAATTGTTTGTCGAAGAAAAAGATAAACTTATAGGGGAGCTACAAGAAGTACTTTCCGAGCATGAGAAAGCTCTTTCAGCGTCTCAAAATGGTCGAAATAAAAAAAAAGGAAAAGTTCCCACAAGTTTGCCGGGAATCGAACGGCTAGTTAACAGTATATCGGAGTTGCAACAGGAGAAAGTTAAACTCTCAGAATTATTGTATGCGAGCGAATCTGAAGTGGAAAGTCTGAAAGAAGAAATGATGGACAGAAATGCAAAATATAATACAGAAATTGCTGATTTAGAAATTGAAATTAAAAAGTTAAAGTCTACATCGAATGAGGTACGTACTTACGCGCCATTGGTCTATGATTTCATGAAATGAAATTTTTCAAAAAAAACCTAGCTACTTTCAATTTATAATCCTACCTAAATATTTTCAAGCAGTGTGAACAAGAGGACTCAACCACCATAAAAAGACGTTTAGCGAGCATTGAAAAGGAGAATCAAGTTTTGCGAGTCGAAAGGGAAGAGGCAAAGTCTGAATTGTGGAAAACGCAGGAGGAACTGGGTGAAAAAATTCGACAGTTGGAGAGCGAGATTCGATGTACAAATAAGAAAAAGCGTGATGCAGAAGCAAAATACATCAATCTCGCTGCAACACCACCCAAAGTTCAAGTGAGAACTGTTCAAGTTATCTCGGAGGAAATGAAAAAAGATCTAGAAGAACAAGTAGCTCAGAACAGAACGCTGCGTGACTTGTTGGAGAAAATGAAGATGGAAAGTGATGCCAAGGTTTGGGCGATTATTCCATAAAGAGCTTCGCAATGAGTATTTTTTTGTTTTTATTAGTCTATGGTAGCTATTATCATTGAGAAAAGAAAGCATGCAATGACATGTTCAATTTTCAGTGGCTAATTCTACGTGTATGTATACTTTCCAAAAATCGATGGCAAAAAATTACTTTTAAAATTACACTTTTTTGATGATAAATTATTAATTTTATTTGCAAATAGAAGAATCCTAATTTTAATACGATGAAAATCATGGAGTCTACAAATCAAAAGCTCTGCACGACTAGATTTTTTGTCTTAGATTTTTGACTTTACAAAATATGCTTCTTACAATTGGCACTTTCATATTTTCTAAATTTTTCGTGGTGATATGAACAGTAGCCTTAATGTTTTTTCCAGCTTCAAGGACTTGAATCTGATCATAAAAGTATGGTAGCACAAATGGTGGAGGATTATGAATCAAAGGTAGAAATACGTTTATTATTTCGTAGCGCGACTGCTGTTACCTACTTCACAGGTTTTTACTATATGAGAAATCATTTTTTTTGCTTAAAGATGGTGAGTGTGAAATCAGAAATGGAGCAATCTATGGTAAAACTGGAAAAAGATTATGAACTAAAGGTATGTATTCTAGAGACTAGAAACGAGTTTTTAGTAGCTACGTAATTGACAATTGTTTGTTACACAATACAACTTTCTTGGAAATCGAGAACGAACTTTATGAACTCTATCAAAGTTTACGGTCGTCAAATCAAAATGATTTTCCAAAATTATTCTTCTCAGTTAAACGATGTGAAAAAAGAGATTGTGGAAGTGAAGGAGAATTGCTCTCTGGAAGTCGAACGAATTTCAAATCATCGAGACAACGAACTGGAAAAAATGAGATTGGACTATGAGAGAACAAATGGCGGGCTGAGAAAGCTTTATGTTTCTTTACAGGTATAGAAATGATTGAGAGTTTGTGGCTTTCATTCACCCCTACAGTGATGTGTAGATCATCATTTGAAACTAATGCATTTTTTCTTCTATCATAGTTAACTGTTTCTGTTTGGCAGAACTGTATGAAGTTAATGTATAGAATGCCACGTGACTATGATGAGTCATCGTTTTTGTCATAACTGTCTTTATTTAAAGGAACTGTGTAAAATATAGAATGCCACGTGACTATGATTAGTCATCACCTTTTTCATAACTGTTTCTACGTAGGAGAATTGTGTGAAGTTAAGTGAAGAATCTAAAGAATTGAAACTCCACCAACAATATATAAAGAATGCTTGTCATCAATTTAATGCAACTATTGCGCCGATATGTACGGAGATTTGTAAACAGGTAATGTTTCCTTTGATTAATTGATGAATTTGTTTTATTTATATGTAGTATTTGTGTGATTTTATTGTGAATTGGCGAAGTAATTACTATGTATTATGGAAATAATGTTGTAGTGCAAATGTTGTGAAATGAATTATTTGCAACTCACGAGTATATTTTTTCTAACGGACTATCGGTTATACATGAACTTTACCATTAGGAACTTATGTGTAGAATTCCTTGCAGTTTTTCGGTTACCTTTTTGATCTTTTGCTATTAAAAATATCCCGCTATATCTTACCCTATCACTTATGAAATATTAATAACAGGCTTAAATTCTAAATGTTTTATTGCTAGATTATGTTGAAGGTAGCCGATATCAATACAAATAATGTCGAACTTGAAAGACGATACATAAAAGAGATGAAATTACGGAAACGTCTGCACAACGAACTGGTGGATTTGAAAGGCAATATTCGAGTGTATTGTCGAGTTCGACCGTTTATTGCCGAGGACCGTGTTGGCGCGTCATCGCAAACATCAACAATCAGTTTTGATCAATCAGATGATGGCGTCCTTCTGGTGTCCAATAAGGGCAGCGAAAAAAAATTTGAAATGGAGAAAGTTTTCCAACCTAGATCCACTCAAGAAGAGGTATAAAATAAATTAACATTAATGTTTCAATGTTACTATGAAAGTACACGATTATCCATACAGTATGAAGATTGTAGATAGTAGCCACTATACGTGTAGTCTAACACCAACATAGTGTGACACCTATAAAGCTTACGTATTATCAAATCTTGTATTCTCTGGCATCACAGCAATGTAATATAAAGCAAAGGAACTGTTTCCATTTCCATGTCTCACAAAAGTTTAAAATACTGTAATGACATTCGTTTCATTTAAGACTTTTTTTCAAGCGTCTGATAAATATTGTTTTTATATAAACGAGGTGAAATCAAAACAGGCACGAAACTGTTTTCTGTCGTTATGATTTGATAATTTGAATGCTCTATCTTTCCTTTTATCAATGTACAAAAATTTTATAAGTCGATGCATCTCGCATCCGGGCATTAGCATTTATTTCCATGGATACGTTTAAATATTGCTCATAATTACATAAAGTGAGAGGTCCATATATTTTTCTCAATGTTTTCAAACATTGCATGTTTACAACTGGTGTGCCAACTAAATATGCCAATAAATATGCCAATATTTAGTTAACTATTTCCAAATGTGATTTCCGTCTAAATACGTACATATGCAACCTTAACAAAGGTCCTTACAGCATTTTTCTTTTACAAAGGTATACGCAGAAGTTCAAGATCTTGTGGTTTCGTGCCTTGATGGATACAATATATGTATCTTTGCATATGGTCAAACTGGAAGTGGGAAAACGTTTACCATGGAGGTATACAATTCACTCCTTATTTTTACATAAGTGCGTTATTAAGATTTATGAGAGTGTTTTTTCTTTCTCTACAAGGGTCCATCGCACAATCCTGGCATTAATCAACGAGCACTCGCTCATTTATTCCATACAGTGTCTGAGCGCTCAAGAGATTGGACGTACTGTATAACGGTAAATGTGCTTGAGATTTACAATGAAACAATCCGTGATCTTCTATCCGAAAATAGTCAAAAACTGGAGATGAAGCTTGGATCAGATGGTGTTAACTATGTTCGCGGTTTGGCAGATTACGAAGTAAAGGATATTGAAGATGTTAATAAGGTATGCTACGAAGTTTTCGAATACAATAAACGATAATTGACCCTTTTGTAAGGAAGGCTGAATAACTAGTTAATTTTTATCCAGCCAAGAGCACTATTCGCTCTAGATTTGTGTGGGTTTTTTTATTAAATTTACAGTGTTGAAATTAAAAATCAATGTGAGTGTTTTGACAAAAACAGGCCACTAAGTATTCCCAATATATTTTTTTTGCATTACGTATACAGCAACCGTAATCATTTCATACCATTTGCGTAAACTCTCATGTATGACGTCTTGTTCAACGAATAGGCAGGGAAATGAATTCGAGTGTTAATTTCTTTAGTTGTTTGCTATGGGAAGGAAAAATAGATCAACTGCATTAACGAACATGAATGAGCATTCCAGTCGTTCCCATGCCATATTACGAATAACGGTCAGTGGCAACCATCGTGCTTCAGGAACCACTATCACAGGTAATTTACGAACATACCAATGAACTCTAATAATAATAATAATTGTAATGATAATCATAATAATTGTAGAGTTCAATGGAACATACATACATGTTTTACGAAGGGAACGATGAAAAACTGCCAATGAACTCTAATAATAATAATAATTGTAATGATAATCATAATAATTGTAGAGTTCAATGGAACATACATACATGTTTTACGAAGGGAACGATGAAAACTGCCGTTAAGAATCGGGATTGCTTCATTTCACTTGTGGATTGACCTCACGATTACTCTACATATTGAGGATTGTGATTTGTGGAAGAGTTTTAAAAGGCTTTGTTTATTTTCATTGTCTGTCAAAAAAAAAACAAATTTCATATGTGCTTATAAATATTTTTTCATTTATCTTAATTTCAATAAAGATGTCCTTAATTTGTTGCAGGCAAACTCAATCTGGTCGATCTTGCCGGAAGTGAACGTGTAAACAAAAGTGGGTCGGAAGGGTTGAGAATGAAAGAAGCTCAAAATATCAACAAGTCTCTTTCATGTCTTGGTGATGTTATTCATGCTTTGAAGAATAAACAGCAGCACGTACCTTATAGAAATTCCAGGCTTACATTTTTGTTACAAGATTCTCTTGGTAAAACTGTTTTTTTGAAAAAGCTTGTTTTCTAAATTTGACTTAATTACTTCAAAAGCTTTTCATTCCATGACACACTCTGCTGTATTTTCATCATTCAGGTGGTGATTCTAAGACATTAATGGTCGTTCAAGTGTCCCCAGCTGCAAAAAACGTCGCCGAAACTTTGTGCAGCTTAAATTTTGCACAAAGAGTTCGCATGGTTGAATTGGGTTTGGCAACAAAAAAAGTAGAGAATGTTGAACAAAAAGTGAGTGAAAATGTTTTGATTAAAGCAAGATTTTCGGCAAATTGCAAAGTCTTTGGTGAAAAAATTCATTCCGGTGTTATATCTGCTTCTCTTTAGTTCTTTGCTGAAAAGGCTCTCAGCATGTATTTAGAGTTTGCTTTGTAGTTTAAAGCTGGTTGGTTAAATTACATGTAGAGTCCTAATACGAAAGATGTATAATCAAAATGTGCTACACGAATATCTTCTTTTGTTTTTACAGTCTTCAACTCCCAATAAAGGAAAACGGAATTTAGCTCCATCAACACCGCGAAAGTAAATGAGTGCCGTATGATTTAATGCCATGGTCCGTCAGTAAGGTGTTTTTGAAGCTATCTTTATAGTTTTTTGAGAGAAAGACTCGCCGTCAGTTTCGGCTTTTTTATCGTCTTGCATTCTAAACAAATGTGTTTTTTAAATTGTACAAAAAGACTCTTGTCTTTAAAATATTATTGGGGGGGTGAGGAGGGGGGTGGTTGTGGGTCCCTCCCTGGAGGTGCCTAAAAATAATATTATAGGGTGAGGGTAGTTGCGGGTGATTTATATTGATAAGCAGCATGATCAATAATCAAATTTATGTATTATAAGGTAAATGTTTGGATAAAACAGTTTGTAATTCAATAGTCCGTTTAACTAAACATTCTTAAAATGCACAATTTCGTCCAAACAAACGCCAGCCATGTATGAAATATATGAATGTGTAAAAAATCCTTTTTAAAAAACTTTGTAAATAGTTTCATCCCTTTTTTCTAAAGAATGCGTGTCATCCAAGATGCATTGCGCGTTGATCAAAGATTTTGTATCAGTTGATTTTTTGCTATGTTTAATCTATTGAGATTTACACGCGTACATGTAAATAGACTCTAAAAACTTTCTATCCACGTTTCTAAAGATATATTAATAGGTGTTGGCTACTCGAGCACTATTCAAACTTTTAAATTTTGTTCGTTGCAAGATATTCTTTATGCTATTTCCAGTACGTTTCAATTGTGGTATTATACTTACCGTCCGCATTATTTTAAAAAAGTGTTGAAAAATGTATTTGGTGAAGATGCTCCACACGATGTCTGGCCTGATTTCCAACCAACAGGACATGTTGTAGATCCAGCCTATTACATTCACGTGATTGAAAAAAAGTTAAAGAAGAATGAAGTGAAAATACAAGCTAGTTGCTCACATGATCGTGCACGTGATGTATACAACGAAATGAACTATGAAACAAGTCGTTGTAAAATATCTTTTACACTTGTCACAAGCGTTATAAATTTGTTCATTCTTGCAGGTAGATGCATCATAAATATAACATAGTTTTAAACACAAGTTAAAGCCACAGTAATCATTGAAATGTGTAACACAATTAAAAGAAGCATTTGTACAGCCCACCAACGATTTATTGTCTGTACGCATTAATGTACAGATCATTAAAGATAATTGTCTTTTCAATGTGTTAATTCTTCCCCAATGGAAACCAAGTAATACGGTGTCAAGTAAAATTTTACTAAATGAAAATAATTGTGCAGTTTGTCTTTAACCCTTTGCATTCACACTTGCAAAATTTATTTCATTTATTAGAGTTTGGATTGAACTACCTAATTCTAAAAAATTAAGTCTTTTTCTCCCAAACTGGCAAAATACGAGTCAACTTTTTCATTGCTGATGTCCTCTAACTTGTTTGGATCCCATTTTGCTTGGTTATCTTTATCGATTAACACTAAATAATCAATGAATACAGTTACGACATTAAATTTGATTTTTTGTTGGCAAACCTAATACAAAACACATTATATATACCACAATAAAGAAATAAATGTAAATTTTGTGAGTTCAAATACGCATTAGATGAAAAAAGCGACTATTATATGTACTCAATCTATATTAATTCAATGATGAAGTCTTAAATTCAGGAAAGTAGCATGACCAGTGAAATAGCTAAGAATATTTTTCTATACATTCTACCTGCTCGTATGCCTTCGTAAAAGTCCTTATCGTTCTAAATAAAAATATAAAAAATACATTGAAGAAAACGTTTATCGCTTAACAGAAGAAAGTTGAATTCGATTATACATACCATAAAATGCTGTGAGATACGGTATTCCATAGTCAAACATTCAAAAAGTGTTCGTAGTTTTGCTCCTTCTCTAATTTGTTTCAAGGCAACTTTCAATGACAGTGGACTCTAAATGAGCGGCAAAATAACATTTGATTATAAGCCAAATGAAACATCACTACATTATTTCATCATTATCGTGAGAGCAAAGTGCAACGCATAACCTCAACGCATAAAGTTATCACATCCGGCATTAATTTTTTTCTTGTACCAGTATCAGTGTTTGAAATACAAAATAGATTTGATCACTCACCATTTTAAGAATTGTCTAAAATAAAAAAGAAACAGGATTTTTCAACGCAGAATTTCAAACATAGAAAATGTATCCTGACCACATGTAAAATATAAAATTCAGACAATTTTGAGGTGTCTACTTTGCTTTTTGAGTTGAGATTTCTTACATACACTTATCTGCGATCTGGCCCAATCAGAGTCTTCTTTTTCTAATTGTTCAACAATCTCTTCCACAGAATCTTTAGAAAAACATCTAAGATTTACAAGAATTGATTCATACATTACGTAGACAAAAACTGATACAGTACAAAAGTAAAGTAATACTAATGCAAACATTTCTTGATAAGACTTCCTAAACTGACCTTACAATGCAATCTAAATGTCGGTTTAAAGAAAACTCCGTTGAGGTTTTCGCTATGCTCTAAAGAAACAATTTCTTTTGCTATAGTGAACATTCTTCTCATAATGTATTTCTCACTAAGGTATAGCTAACGATTGTTAAAGTTTAAATCACAAACAAAAAGATTGCAAGAACCATGACCAGCCGACAATTTAAAAAAATATAGTATAAAACAAATTCCGAAAAAACAAGACATCTTGAGATTTCAAAATATGAAACAAAACAAGACGAGAGGTGAACTGTAAATTTTCGACAAGTAAAAGTCACAGTTTGTAAAAGTCGCAGTTTGCTATGTTTTCCATAATAATTACTGCTTTAATATAATAAACCTGAAAAATTTAAAGAATTGAAACAAAACTTACTTCTTTGTGATACAGTTCAAGTAAGTGAAGTATTTTTTTTATAGTGGGTTCTTTCATTGAAAGTATACTTTGTTCGAGTTCAAACATCTATAAACATGTAACGAAAAAACAGTTTTTTTTATAGTAGGACTACGAATCCAAAATCAATCTTTTAATCAGAATCCTCCTTTCCTACTAATTTTGTGATTGTCATTACGAATGAAAATTCGCACCTTCTCAGATTCCACATAGTGAGTTGCAACACCAGCGCGATAAACGTCTACTCCTTTTAATCTTTGTCCTTTTAAAACGACGTTAATATGTGATTTATCAATGCAGAAGCAAGGATATTGGGCGTTAGTTACTGACCTGTCAACGCTAGAAATGTACCAAGTTCTCCTTGCAACTTTGGCAAGAAAAAACTTCCACCGACATCGGGAAAAAAACCTCCATAAAAGAATACATGTGACTTGAGAAAAGTGGCGAACACAAGATAAAGTACGCCTTAAAAAATGTTGAATATTATCATCATGACTTTTCACTAACCAATAGCGGTCTCAGGCATGGCAAAAAGTGTTTTTTCACTTCCAACACGAAAATGGCCATGTACAGAAAGACCAACACCCTATAACCACATTTCATATAGTCATTCTTTAGGACTTTTTATGGATAATCCCATTCAAAATGTTAAAATAAGGTGCTATATCTTTTGATTAAAATATGAGAAATAAAAATGAACAATTAAACCTACCCCTCCCATAGTAATACCATCTATCAGAGCTATATATGGAGTCTTTAATGTTCCTGAAACAATCAATAACAAATATACTTGCAAATTTTTTGACAGACAAATGGGATCTGTTTAGCAAATGAGTCATTTTTATGGAGTGACATTGTTTGGTGAAGTAAATTCTTGGATACAATTTATTCAGGAAATATTTACCAATTGCATTATTTAATTGATATTCTTCTTTGAAAAAATCCTGTCGTAATGTACCACCAGTGCCCAATATACCCTCCTCAGCAATTACTGTGATTAAAAAAAATGACTGTATAGTCAGAGCTACAATGAAGCCTTTTATGGTTTCACTTTTAACTAAACACTACCTCTAACATCTCCACCAGCACAGAAAGCCTTTCCTCCAACTCCTTTAATCACTATTGCTCCAATATTTTCATTTTTTTCCCATTCCTAATATTTGTAATATGAGATTTGAACTCAATAATGGTTGACTTTCAATGCAAAAATCCTTGAAGAGATATAGGGGATACCCATCTTCCTTTTTGAACAGGGATAACATATGGATTTGTGTTTTTGCCATGTACAATGGCATAAAAATAATGCAGAAACGCACTTAATGTTGGGTATATGAGGCTAACCATTCCTAAGTCTAAAGAATTCAAAGCCTTTGCACGGTTTAAAGTAATTAAACCGACATTTCCCTTTACTTCCAAAAGGACCTGAAATGTGCAGAGTATGTATGTGAAATTTTATCTATGAAATAACAAAAATAATAGGAAATAGAAACAGTTGCATTGTCAGTTCAAAAACTAACTTACGTACATCTGAAATATCTGACATCATTCTCTTAATGAAATAAAAACAACAATTACTATTAGAGTTATGGTATGTTTGTTTGACTTAGAAATATACTTTAAATTGTCTTTACTTATGGACATGCATATTGCATATGACTTAAAATGAATATGCTGATATGCATATCAGTTAAAATTTATTTTGCACGCATCCTTTTGCTCCAGAGATTGATTTCTCAAAAAAGTTTGATAATATGAAGAGATCAAAATATGCATATTCATACAACGGCTACCATGCAAATTTTTCAAAAAAATTGAAAAGAAAATTGGCTAATAATCCCAATGTGAATATTCTACTTTGTTAATTACTGTCGAAATTCAGTTGTACGATTAGTCTATGAATATGAGTCCCTAATTATCTAAACTGGCTATACGCAACATTATTTACTTACAACATGTTTCGCAATCTTACTGATCGTCACGAGAGTGCTCCCAAACGATAGCGACACTTTTTTGAACCTAGAAAGTTTTGGTATGCAATGCAAATGTAACGTTTGCTGTAAACACGTAGTTGCCAAACAGAAAAATTTGCCAACGAACACAAAAAAAAACTTACATATTAAGCAATGGTCAGAAAGCTAAATAGAAAGTGTTATAGATTATCTCATGGAGAGCTAATCCTTATTTTGGAATGGTTAATAATACAATGTGGTTATTATTACATCGTTATATTACACTGTTGACAAAGGTCAAAGTACCGCATGTAACAATTTTTTTCCACCCTCTGCACACCACCCATGTTGTTCAAGCAAATAGTTTGCAAAAATCGTTGAAAAGACGTTTCTTTTAAAGAAAAACCTGGAAAGTCCATTATATTTTATTAAAAAACTGAATTCATTGCTTTTTGACATGTCGTGTTGCGTATAAATTTTGTGTATTAAATATACGTTTCTATCGTTAATGCAATCACGGGGGGATAGTAGAACATTTTCCAATCTAAAACGACGTCATCACAACAATCTCTCTCTCGGCCATTGATTACTAACTACTATAGATCAAAATGGCCAGTCCAAGGACACGTCGTGTTTTAAAGGAAATCAAACCGAAAGAAGATAATAATGTTTGTTTTGTTGTATTTTGTATGAAGTCTTTCAAAACATGTCTAACAGTGTGTTCGTATTTTTCCAGACTTGTTTTGAATGTGGAGGACACAATCCACAATGGGTCAGTGTTACTTATGGGATTTGGATATGTCTTGAATGTTCGGGGAAGCATCGTAGCTTCGGAGTTCATCTTAGGTTAGCGCTTTAATATTATTTTTGTGTATTTCTCACATTCACATTGGCACACTTAGTTGTGAGATACTATTGATATCCAACTATATAAAAGCCAAATTTTGTTAATACTGAGAAAGTTTCAAGATTTACCTTGACTGTGTGAAACACTCATTATATCATTTTTCATGAGATAAAATTGCTATGGAAGTCTTTAAATTTATCAACAATTTTGTCTTTTCACATTGCCTTGTGTGCCTTGGCAGAAATCATAAGTAAGATCTTCTAGCCTTTTAGTATGTCTTCCATAAGAACTCATACAAGATCTGTTGGTATCTTATGCACAATCTTGTCTTGACATCCTGTGGATCCTGTAAGATCTTCAAGGATCTTACACAAGATCTTATAGGATCATAAAGGTTCTTATTCAAGATCTTGTAGGATTTCAAGATCTTATAGAAAAAGCTTCAATGTCAGTTCTACCCCTGGTTTGTCACTTTGTGAAGTGGCATTGTAATATTACTCTTTTTTGCTGAAGTTTTCTTCAGAATTACTTTAGTAGTGGTATGTCTGTGTAGATATTGTGCTCTATTTTGTTTTCCTACAATTTAGCTTTGTCAGATCAGTTACCATGGATAAGTGGAAAGACATTGAACTGGAAAAGATGAAGGTAAAACACGTGATTTGTTTCCCTTTCCAGACTGTCTCAACATTCAAACAAGGACATTGAACAATTCAAAATTATTGTATATAAAATACCCTTGGTTCTAGGTTGGTGGAAACAGAAAAGCAAAACTATTTTTTAAATCTCAAAGTGACTACAATCCTGATTGGACCATTAAAGAAAAATATAATTCACGAGCAGCAGCATTGTATAGAGATAAGGTTAGATGTGGAGTTTACTTTGAAATGTATCATACTTAGTTACATATGTCATTGTGCACTAAATGGGCAGATTTCATGTCTACCTCTTTGGCTATACCACTGAAATATAGTTTCCATAATTTTTATGCAGATTGCTACCCTGGCAGCAGGAAAATCCTGGTCTGAAGAAACCTCATCAGCACGAAACTGGACTCCAAAAACAACTAACTGTTACTCCAATCAAGACTCCAATAGTTCATCAGTAAATGGAAGAAGCCTATCTGCAGTAACAAGAGATTCCGATTCCATGGAATCAATGTTTGGCTTATCTAAGTATGTTGCTTGGGTTAATCAATACATGAGTATTGTTTATCAAAGATCATCCTTTTTCTGTTGCTATATTAGCGTTAGTTTAAGGCAGTGTGGTAGATTATGGTTTTTGAAGTTTTTCTACTGTATGTAGAAGTACACCTTGTGTGAATACTACGGTTCTTTTCATTTCACCCATTTTCCAAGTGCTTTCAGTGAAGGAAGGGGGAGTCACGTGCGCATATATCAGAGTTAAGAGAGATGCGTTTGATGATTTCTGTAAATAAAAGCTTCGAGAAATTGAAGTTATGACCTGCGATTACACTGTAGCTTCCGTTTTCGTGGTGTTCCTTTATGAGAATTGTTATTGTTCTCTTTTCTTTCCGTTTTTGAATTGCGAACAATTTAAAAATATTTCAAAAATAGTTATTTGTAAATAAAGCTTTCGTATGATTCTAGAATTAAGTTGCGCGAACATCCTGATTTACCCCCGTGATGAAGCATAAACTTTTGAGTTTGAAGCTGAAGCGGTTAAGCCATGTTCTTAATAAGCTTGTGTGTATTTTAATAATTATATTCAGTTGGTACTTGGCAATTGCTTTTTGAAAGATGTACATTCAAATTTAAGTGCCTGAACATTATGTAAAATCTAATTTCCTTCATTTTCTAGAGCTGAAATTGATTCTCAGAAGAATTCGTTTTTTGAAAAGAAAACACAAGAGAATGCGTCTCGTCCAGAGTAAGAAATTAATGATATTTTGTCTATGATAAAGGATCAGAATACATTTCTATAAACATACGTTGTCTTTCGAATTTAAAATACAAAATACTTTACTACTAATCCTGTTGGTAGTATTTTGGTCCTTAAATTAACCAACATTATTGTTGTTTTTATTTACTCCCAAATCGGTGCTAGTAGATCCACTTCTTCTTGCTTGTTACCGAGCGAACTAGTTCCTCCCTGAGCAATGCAAGGAGATCCAGTTGATAAATATGAACTCAAGTTATCCGTGCATGAAAATAGTCTGTTTTGACCATATTTTCGGTTGACTGCACAGCTCTTGTGTTTTTTGACCTATCTTAGCTTTGCAATTGATAAATAAGTGTAGTGGTATAATTCTTGTTTTGCTGTCAGTATCTCGATTAAAATTATTTACTTAATCTTCCACGAAAATTTTACGTATCCTGCTTACGTATTGTTATTGGGTACGCTTCATAACATTTTGTTTTGTACTCCTTGCATATATCCCCCTTCAATCTACACTTTCAGGCTTACTAAAATATCTACCGTAAAAGTTTCAGTAAATCTATCTGTAAACATTTGAATGAATGTGCTTAGTACAGTTACGTATTACCAAACTTGATAAATAGCCTTCAACAGAAATATATATATTTACTATTTACAATTATCAGTGGCTTACCACCAAGTCAAGGAGGGCGATATACTGGCTTTGGCTCGACACCGGCGGATTCCGTGAACAAGGAACAATCATCTGGTGAGCGTTTAACTGGATAAAAGATGTCGTACTGCTGATTGACCAGTAGATGAGTGAACTATCTTTTCAAATAAAGCGGAGAGTTTTGTGGTTGCCCTGCTAGCAAACCAATGTTTTACCCAACTATAGAAAACGAACAGTTGGGGAAAATGCATAATGTTTATTTCTCATGCTGTAGGAATACTTAAACTTTTTAAAATAGAATAAAGGAGAATGGCGCTAACATCTTTATAATATTTTGACTTTATAATATTGACTTTAGAATGATCTTTATAATATTTTGACTTCATTGATTGTAGCGTATAGCTTTCAAGTTGCAGAAATTGATTCGTTCACTCTTACGTCTGCGATCTTTTCTCAGTTCAATTTGAATAATTCAAATCCTGTGTCTTCGTTTGCGTGAAACAGCTACATTTTTTGAGAATTTTTTTTGGGGTAACGTTACGGTGATTGACTATTTTGCTTTTGTTTATTTCTTTCAGGTTGGGAGTCTGCGCTTTCTTCGTTTTCATATGTACGCTCACTCCATTTTATACTAACTATACATTTATATTTTGTATTTTAAATTTTGTATGGAAATTGTATTAGCTGACAATAAAATTATAACTTCAGACACATTGTTTATTTACAGGGTTGGAATAGTTTTGCTTCAACTGCAGCACAATTAGCAAAGCAAGCGACGGATGAGGTTACATTTTTGTTAAAATCTACATAAGAGCTTAATCTCCAGTTTTGAAACATATCAAAAATAAAAACACGATGTACATTGTTATGGAGTTAGAATTTGGAAATGGAATTATCTACTGTTGGTTATGTGTAGTCAGCTATTTACATTATCAGGCTGGAAAATGATGAAAAGCGTGTGCAATATGGGAGAATAAATTGAAATTAGTCAGATATTATCCAACTACGTATTTATATAAGATTACATTATTTCTTTCCAGGCCGTGAAAATTGGTGGTGCGGTTAATGAATCTGTTCTCAAACCAACTGCGAATAAGGTAAAAAAAAGCTATTCTGCTTACTCGATTTTATTTAATCGTTTGCTAAAAATCAGATTTTGCATCTTGTGTTGTACTTGAGCTCAAACATAAGTTTCCAGTTTAAAATGATGGTTTTAGGCAACAGAACTTGGAAACTCTGTCAATAAAAATCTCAAGAAAGTGTCCTATAAGGTAAACTGTAAACGTGAAAATTACCTTTAGCAACATGCTGGTCATTCGTAAAAATAAATGATGAGTTTGAGGATGAATGTGGATTGTTCTTTTTCTCCAGGTTCAAGATGGGACACTTGTTGAAGATTTATCGACCTCTATGTCTGGTTTGGCAAGCAAAGTAAGTAATTTTTAGGTTATGGTGAATTGATTTCGTTAAGGCAAGCCTGATCACCCGAAACTCGAGGTTGGTTCTCAAAAATTGACACACGTTTACTGTCAAAAGGATGTTGTGTTCCCATGGGCCCATTCACACAAAGGTCGTTCTCATGACATTTCACGCTTAGTTTGTTTTACGTTAACTGACGCATAAATTACCTTAGAGATTAGTTTGATATCAATCTGTGATCGATCTGGCTGTGAACATGCCCTATATTTAGTTTTAGCTAAGCTAGTGTTTGGGCTTGATTTTTGTGGTTCGTCAAAGATGACACATGAAACTCAAATATTTAATAGTGAAAGGCAAAATGGCTGGATGTATTCAATATGAATATGGCAGACGCACTCTAAACAAAAATAGGCCAGTGAAAGATTGGGTGGAATATGTACCCCTTGGCCTTTTTGTCGTCAGTGTAAGCCCTCCCCGGAATGTATGGAGAAATTCATTTCGACAGGTTTATGACTTTGTCTTACGCCATATTGTATGAGTTATTATGCGTACATATATAAGTAATAATGCATACTTATATGAGTAATAACTCATACTTATATGAGTAATAATGCATACTTATATGTGTAATAATGCATATTTATGCATGTTAAACCATAAAATTTAACGAGGTTACTCATTGTGGTGTACGAAGCTTACAAATTTTTATGAATTCATCTTTTTTATAACTATGTGAACTTTTCACTATCTGTTGATCTTTGTGAGCTTTTCAACATCTTAAACTTTATATCAACTCTTAACCTTATTCTCTTATTTGTAAAAGTTTTGAGATTTTAGATTGCCCAGTATGTCATCATGTAGTTTATACGTATCTTTTCTGCGCAATGCTAGGATTTAGCTGTCATGTTTTTATAGTCGAAAGCTTATCATTTCAACTGCGTCAAACATGTGTTTAAGGTAAAAACAGCCGGCACTCAAGGGTGGTTTAATGTCCAATCATACTTCACTTCAAATACTGCTTCCGCTGACATTCCACAAAAGCCTATTGAATCAAATGAAACTCGATGCAGCAAAACGAGGTAGATGAGTGGCATTGGGATCACGAAGAGACGACTAATGCACTAGATGACGATTTGAAAGACAGCAAGGTTTTTAAAAGAAATGATGATGGTTGGGATGACGGGGAATGGCTAGACGTTTCAAGTTGGAATAACGAAGGATGGTCCACTAGTGCCAATACATATACAAAATCAAACAGGACTTACAAGAAAGGAGACTAGTATTTCGCCTTGTTTCATTTTGCACTGCTTTTTAATGGGAAAAATTAGTAACCATAAACAGTCGCGTAGCCAGCCCCTCAAATTTGGTCTTGCTATGTTAATTTTTCTGTGTTCACTCCTGTAAAACAACAGATTACCAAAGAAAGAAATAATGATAATGATCTAAAATTTACCTAGCATGACCAAAATTTGCTGGCTGGCTACGCCACTGACCAGAAATGTTTTCATACAACATAAAAAAGGGTGTCTTAAAAATGATGTATTTTTACACGGCGCCTTTTTGTTGTCTATTAGAGCATGAAAGCATCGACCTGACCACTGGAGATATTGAAATATAAGATCAAAGTTTTTTTAATTTCAATTATAATGATATAAGAGAGTATAAACTATGTTGTTTTTCTTTTAGTCCCACTGAAAATGTAGGTCACGTTTTTTGTCACAAGGTCCTTGGTTAAGGTGCTTTTTTTACCATCTTCAATTGATAATTACACTATACGCAGCAGTCTGTGTTTGAAGTCAATTTTAACTTCCTTCGACATTGACGCCTGTTTTCTAAAAGCTCACTTACACTCACACTCTTTGAGTGTGGCACAGAGATCTCGCTCCCACTTGTGAAAGTCCATTCAGCATTCAGTAAAGTGAAAATATCTTCTTTGAATAGTTGTAAGGCAATTTTTAAGCCCTGTTTGGTGAATGTGAGTATGAATGATCTTTTAGAATGCAGAAGCAAGACCTTAAAGTTCTCACTAACATTTATTCTACATTTTAACAAAGTCCTATATAATTAAATGGCGCAGTTAACTTGAAGATCAAATTTTTCTGTCTTTCACTGTATAAATTAGCTCATTCATTTGCCTAAAATATTTTGTTTTGAAATCTGATGAGGTGGCACCTTTGAAATCTCTTTAATTTTGGCAAGGGAAATTTATGAATAAAATGTAAATATTGAATAAATGTAGAGTAAAAATAAATTATGAAGAATTTAAGGAGTGGTAACTGTAAATGTTGCTAGAATGTTTGCTATGTTCTGTGGTTTTGAAAATGAATTAAAGTTTGTACATGAATTACGTAATGATAAATAATGAAAACGTAACTATAGAAAACAAATTACTTCAGGATAGGAGCTACATAACTATTTATTGCTTATTTTAATTGGATTTCAGTATTGTATTTCGTGCCATGACCAACAGTACACTTTTTATTTAATACATCTGAGGAAATTACGTTTTACTAACTACTAAGTAGGATTGACTTGTTTACAAAATTTTTGCATGTATTTTGTCTCTTTAGGAATAAAAGCTTCTCGAATTTTATTTTTTACAATGGCAATATTTTCGTAAGTGTGGTAGTGAGTCAGCAATACATTTCGGTTGATCACCGTATTTGTTTATTCTGCTAACATCTCCTTGAACTAAAATTTTCCATTTAAATACAGCACACTCGCCTCAAACATTCCGTGATTTGGGAGTGTTACAAAGCTGATTTGATATCTACAATGATCCTTTGCATTAAAAACGCTTGAGTATATGGGCTCATAACCATCTTTACTTGATTGCTTAAACCTAAGAACGTCTACGTTGGGAGTCTCTATTTCGGCTCTGTTCATTTTAAAAAGAGTAAGTTTAGAGCATTTTTCTGCGCCTAATTCCTCTTTAAAATTCAAGTCATTGATATGACTGATAGCTTCTAACGCAGCTCTTTGCAAATGATTGTGCTCATGATCAACAACTGACCAGTGCAAACATGGACACCAGTGTGATGGGATGCTTGCATCCTCGCAAGAACGATCCAGGGGTACTTCATTTAGTAGGCTCATCCCATGCCCTGATTCTTTCGGTTCATTTGGATACTCCAAAATGTGATTGAACGTTGCATGTAAGTCAAACCAACTTGTCAATCGTTTGGTATTAGCTTCCAAATTTTTTGCCAATTTAGGGTATTTTTTCTCAAACCAAGTAGGAAATATCATTGTGAAGAGAGGAAGCCTTTCTTCTAACTTTCCTTGAACTGTCTCTCTGAATTTTCCATATCTCGAACCGTGATCTCCCAGTATGATCAACAAAGTATCATTTAAATATCCAAGTTCACGAAATTCTTTCAGGAATGTGTATAAATCTTCGTCCACGTACTGTACGGTATTGAAGTCGTTGTGTGATATTTCTCCTGTTAATGATAAAATACGTAGCTCATATGTTTATGAACATCAATTGAAGTCGAGAGAAAAAAACAATTACCAATTAGATGTAAAAGAAACTTCCTGCGCCGAGGGTAGGCTTGGTATATCTTTCTCGCCAAATTAAGATGATAGTTGTAAATTTTTTCACTGCCATGACAATGAGGAGAGTTCTTTGAGTAGCCTTCCGCCGCGATAAAAAACGACCGTGGATAATAATCAGTGGGTGGATCTTCAAAACCCATCAATCTAAAGTTGAAAGTTCCAATGCTTGGTGAATCTTCACAAAATGTTGTGAAGTAATCATGTGCTGAAATAAAGATATTGAATATTGTAAAATCTGAAAATACTTTAGTTATGCATGAAATATTATCATATAGTTGACTGGTCGTTTTGTGGTTAGGAGGTTCATCATAGTGAAGCATTTTAACAACATCAAATGTCACATTTGTACTTTAAAACAATACCAAATATTGATATATGAACATGTTGAAATATTGAAGAAATATAAATAATCTAGTTACTCTTAGTTTTATCAACAATCATAGCAAACTAGAAGAGCTTGTATAACATCCACTCACATTTTGCCCTTTTAAAAATAAAATTCCAGTCATCAACTGTTTTGGCATTCGCTTCTCCTCGTCGTGACTCGTAGTATTCTTGTTCACCCTTCCCAGTTAAAAATGCTGCCACCTGCTCTGTCGTACCATCACCTACCACGCTATGACCCATGAAAATATAACCATGTAGAACGTCGCGTATAAATTTGTATGATTTTGGCAGCTTTCTTTGCGCATGAACGTTGGATGTTGAGTCAATACCAATAATGAGGATGTTTAAATCCATCTCTGTATCGGGTGATGAAGATGAAAATTTTTCATCTTTTGCTATGACTTGTATTAAATACTCCTTCACTGTTGTTTTATCATCTAAGGTCATCGTAAGCTCAATGTGTTCATGAGGTACTTGGAATTGTTCAAAAGTGGTAATCTCAACCGGGTCACTCAAAGAAATTTTAAAGTCATCTTTTTTAACTCGATTTATGCTTCGGTAACTGGCTAATGCTACATCAGATCCTATGTTAAAAAGAAAAGATACTTTTTCATTTGTTTATACCGACAAAGCACATCAATGTCAGAAAAAGAACTTCAGTAGTCACTTAATACCATAGTAAGTGAGATCTAGGGAATAACAAAAATGTTAACACAAAAACTAAATGCTGACTTTCAAAAATAGAATTTAAAATGACTCACCGAATATTTTTAAAAGTCCTCCATCCAACACAGCTCGTTGTTTTGTTGCACACTTTAGTGGTTCCTTGAGTTCTTTAACTAGATCCATTGCGTGTGGATGAAATGGATCTATTTTTGGAATATTGCACTTTGCATAGCCTAACAAATTGCTGGAGTCTTCTTGTACTTTAATTGGCTGAGCGCAATAATTCTGAAGAACAGTATAAATAAGTATAATTTTGGCTTAAAGAAATGAAGTTAGCTACATCGAACGTGCATGTGGATAGCCTGAATTGACAACCTTGCAAATGAAGGCATGACAGTCATAAAATGAAACGAATCGATGAAAACAGTCGAAACGATATAGTAAATATGTCATTTTATAAACATGAAGCAAAAAGATGGAAGCAGACAAGTTTTATCAAGAACTTTAGAATTAAAGATAAAACACATTCTCTCATATCGTTAGCAGCGTATGCTGGAAGAAAGATAACCGGCAAATGGATACAAAATGCATAGACGCCTTGTTTACACATAGATTAAACGAATATACTTTTGAAGCGCACCCTATCCAAGTTGGTTTTCACATTCATGGAAAAAAACCCGGGTGTAGTCATTTAATGAGTAGCAGAGAATGCATACTCAACTGTCTATAAATACTGCTTTCGCTGTTGAATGTTGAAATTCCTCAAAATTAATCGTCTGCGATATAAAAGTTGTTATGACGCGATTTCAGTCAGCTCAATCACCTTATGTCACTATCGTGTTTACTTCTGGCGATTGCTACTCATTGTACGAATTGTCGAACATATTCTATTGCCACACCACATAAATTCACCGAACTTGATTTGATTCATTCGCTGAATTTTTGCCTCGCTTAATTTACGCGCTAATGCGCTCAACATATTCACTCAACATTGTCCACTCAATATGTTTAGCGCGTTTGCACAGCCTGTTGAGTGGTGTTGAGAGGTGTTGAGCGTTGTTCAGAGAAGTTTATTCTTGTTCAAACATTCGACTCAGCAGCCCTCGACGTTTTCTTTGTTCCGCGCTCATCTATGCGTGTCTAAACATTGTTTAGTGCGTTTGCACAGCTCACTCAACAATAAACTAAATGGTTTGAACCTGGGAGTATCGTTACATGTTTGTAAATGTAGATCGTCCAGGTTGGTATAGTCCTGAGAAGGACTGTTTTTGTTGTTGTTGACTGACGTTTTGACAACCTTAGCGGTAGTCATCTTCAGAGTCAAAAGACTAAATATTACGTCTGGACGATTTATACGTCTAAGCTTTAAACCGTCCAGCAAAAGACGGGTCGACTTAACTCAAAACTAAACGGCAAAATCAATTGATCGAGACGAGTTAACAACTTTGGTTCGTCTGTTAAGACGATTTAAATGCTAAAGTCGTCAGGACGGTTAATTCGTCTTATGGCCGTCTTTATCCTTTGACGATTTAAGAGACGCATTAAAAAGATTCGTCTTAAATCGTTCAGACGTATTATCCGTGTTAACCATAAAAACGGCCATTTCTGAACATCACACAACTAGAGCTAGACAATGTTGAGTACATGTTGAGTCAACATGTTGAGCGCGTTTGCACGTAGCATTATGCCGACAAAAAGGTGGATTCGTAGTGTATTTAGCACATGAGAATAATTAACATTTTCGTCAGATTTCCTCGACGAGATCTTAGCAGTTTAAAGCGAGACGGTGTTTTGTGCTTTCTTTAGCTATGTACATCATCCAAACCACAGGAAAACATAGTAACGAGTCTTCATGACATTCGCATTACTAGAAATTCAATATCCATCTAGTGGTATATATTTCTAAGAAAAGCCAGCTGGAGCATTTAATGGCCGTTACGGCAGAACAAATTTTCTCGTGAAAAATACATGCCGGCCCGTATGTTTACGTGCTGTAAACTTTTCACGACAAATTTTTATGTAACAAATATACTTTTTCATATATTACATGTCAACATGATACATTTGTAGTTTGCTTGATTTCCAAATGATTTTGTAGATCATACACGCGCACAAAATGGGTCACGTGTGGAACAAGTACATTACAAGTACATTTGTTCAATAGCTCACTTGCTATAGCTTTTTTAAGTTTTAAACAAATACATTTTTCTAGAAAAATTTGCTAAGGAAAAATTTCTGGTTTTGTTCTTCTTTAAATGGGTAGTTTTCGTTTACATTTTTATATTGTTTCTATGATATACTGATACATACCATTCCGTTCTATTGCTTTTCAGAATATTGTCGATTACATTACAATATAAATAAAAACCCACTAAATTGATTTTTATTTGAATTTTAAATCTGTGGACGATGAATATAAGTTTTAATTGGCTTTTATAAATACTGAACTCACATTAAAGACGGTATCTTCACGAAGATCTTTCATGAAGCGGTAAACACAGAATACAACCAAGAGTGAAACGATGTAGAACGCGAGGCGTTTCCTCGAATTTCGCATTCTAAAGTAAAAGCAAGTAATTGATACACTAATATGCGACTGAGCGAGCATCAAAACTAAATTTCGTCCGACGGCAGTTCATAAACATTTTACAACAAAGAATTCACTCAGACCAACTGTACATCGTTGTTTACTTTAGCATAGAGTTTTAAATTTACCTGATACTATACATGGTAAATATCTTCTTTTTCGAGTTGCTATGCTGCAACATTCAACATTTACCTTCTTTCATTTAGTTATTCAATAACCATCAGCTTTCTATCCTAAAATGCCATTGCATACAATTTGCTTTGACGGTTAAATTTAAACACCTTTCCACAAGAACCGGATTCAACTTGTAAAAAACAACTTGTAGTTTATTGTCTTTAAGTTGTTTGATTTATTCACGTTTTTGTTCACATTGATTTATTCACGTTTCAATGTACAACCTGTGCACAATAAGTTAATAGTTGTCAACAGGTGAAGCTTTTACTTTTAGACTTCACAAGAGCAATTTAAAAAGCCCTTCATGATGCGTGAACTTATGAGGCGCCAAATTGGACTTTATTCTAAACTTACATTACTACATAACATACTAAAATTATACATGGCAAACTTTATATACTTCGAAACAAATCTAAAAAATATATGCGAAACTTGCTGTAGGACATTCTAAATTTTTCATATACGTTCGAAACTTCTTGATCGTATCGTCAAAATTTATAGCCTATTTTGAAGTTTCATGCAGCGTTCAATCCTTTTTATAACATGACAATCGTCGTATTTTTTATATAGTCTGTGAGAAATTTTCATATACGGTATGGCGAACTTTTTACATCGTGTTGCATAATGCTTTGCGATCCCACTTCGTTTACAGGTTTACGCGCTTTTTTCTCAAATTCAAAATGGCGGGCTTAGGAGGCATTGGAGGCTTGGAACACAGTCTTCATTCATTTTTTCAGAGAACTAAAGCAATTATTGCTGAAGCAGAGCATTTTATCATTTCAGAACACCTATTTTTTGACAATATGGACGGTTTAGAGCGTATACATGAGCGACTTTCAGATGCTGGAGACACTGTATTCACGTTAAAACAGAGAGCAATAAATCTTATGGATGATTTTGATATGGCGAGTTTTTATAATGACATGCACCAGTTATCCTTCTATTTAAGTCGACTTCAGAGTTTCTTTCAGAACCTTATGAACGACCTTCAGGATCAGATACCTTATACTCCAACCTACAATTGCCATAGAAGGTACACAGGCACAAGAGGTCAACTGCGACTCAAAATATCTAAGAGATTAGTAGAATGTCTTAGGGAACTGCACTTTTCTTGGTCTAGAATCGCTGAATTATTGGGTATCTCAACAAAAACATTACAACGAAGACGTGTAGAGTTTCAAATTGATACGGAAGAATCTTGGTCTACCATAAGTGACATTTAACTTAGAGAAACAATGCAAGAGATTATGAGTGTTACTCCAGGAATAGGACAAACACGTATGGTAGGTGCACCGAGGAGCCGAGATATAAGGGTCCAACGGTCACGTGTGAGGACATTAATGCGTGAATTGGATCCAGTTGGAACAGCACTTCGTTGGCGGGGAGCAATTTGCAGAAGAAATTACAATGTGGGTTGTGCAAATGCTCTGTGGCACATCGACGGGAACCATAAAATGATTCGCTGGCGAATGATGGTTCATACATTCATTGAGGGCTACTCCAGGTTGATACCATATTTAAGCTGTGCTACTAACAACAGAGCAAACCCAGTTTTAGAATTATTTCAAAATGCATGTCGTTCATATGGATTACCTTCAAGAGTGAGATTTGATCATGGACTTGAAAACGTGGGTGTTGCTCGAAATGATGTTGGAGTGCCGTGAAACAAACAGGGGATGTATCATCACAGGTGCTTCAGTTCACAACCAACGAGTTGAAAGGCTTCGTAGAGATGTTACTACTAGTGTTCTAAAGGCTTATATTGATCAATTTAACATGATGGAGCGTCCAGGTCTTTTTGATCATGCCAATGAGGTACATCTTCTTGCACTACAGCTTGTTTTTGTCGCAGTCATTAATCAGTCCTTACAGGAGTTTGTTAATCAATGGAATCACCATCGAATCAGTACTGAAGGAGGGCTATCGCCTTTGCAACTTTGGTCAGAAAGCATTGTAAGATGTGCAACACAAAGCAACTCAACTTACTATCAAGTACTTACAAGACAACGTACTATCAAGCAATGAAGTTGAATCATATGAAATAGAAGCACGTGAAGAAATCGATAATGTAGCTGGTGTGGTTGTACCTGAAACAACACTAAATTTAATTGAAGATCAGTTTGCCTATATTGCAGCTTTAGCAAGTCAAAACAACAACTTATTTGACAAAGCTCACACGTACATGCATGTTGTGAATGCCATTAACGCAATGTTTTAAGAATTTTTAAGCTTACAGAAGAGTGAACCATTTGCCTAAAGAAAATGTTATTACCTTTGTAAAAAAATTTGTATGATTTTTGTCTGAGCATGCACTTAGTAATTAATTTCAACTTTAATGTTTTCATGAAAACGCACATGGTAATACTAGATTGAAAATGGTGGTGGTATAAAATATATAATTGCTTTTCAAGTGAAAAGTTCAATCTTAACTCAGTCTTACTGTACAATTTCATAGCCTCCAATACTGTTTTATTAAACATCTGAATTACGTAATCCATTTTAGCATTTTTCTTAGGCACCCTGCTGGGGAATTTTTTAGGAAGGTGCGCTTTCCCCTGCCACCCCCCAGATAATCCACCCCTGATGATCACGCATGTCAATGCAATTGAAGTATATATCAAGGCACACAGTAACTATGTGTAAGATTGCTCTGTAATATTCATGTAATAATATACGTAGATATGCCTGACTAATTTCAACAATTTGTCAAACAATGTCAACTATTACAGTAAGAATTGGCAACAAAAATTAAGTTTGCCATCTATGTTAGGGAATACATTTGAAACATTGGAAACTCTTTCAATTTCCGAGTAAATACATTGAAATAAAAACAACTTATTAAGCAACAATCAAAATGCTTTTGCTATCTTGAGTTTGTACTTTCATTAACAGATATGACGTAACAACAAGGGTAAAATGATATGATTCTTCTAAAGCAGCGACCTTCTTCATGGCAAGGCTATTTTTGCAAATTTCATAATTTCTTGCCTGCTTATGTCACTTATTAAAAATAATGACTACGTAAATCCAAGAATTGTTATTTTTATTGCCAATATCTTAACTGAACTATAAAAATTTAACGAAAGATAAAATTTAAAAAACGTTCCAAAACTTTAACAATTAAACACCAATAATACTTAAAACTAAAACGTAACATTTCATCAAACTATATTTGTTGTAAGAACAGTTATTCTTATGTAGTCTATGAATGCCTACTTTTACATTCCTACCGAGAAGTAAAAGACTGCTTAGATGACTCAAGAACAGCTTTTAATGATGCATTGAATGACTTTTGATCAATAAGCTGGTTTGGAAGAGTGACACTAATTAGGCAAGTAGAAGCAAAAAACGAAGTGGCATTATTGAATTTTACTTTTATCTTACCTAATCCAAAATTTGGCAGTCTGGTGGAACCTGTAGTAAAAATCAGAAATTTTTCAAGAATTGGATGATCTGCATTAAGAATAAATTGCTGCAGATTATTAGCAATTGTTGACTCGCATTCATTTAACACATCTGAGAACTCAAGAGCATCAACCACTGCTGATGGACTCATTTCACGTTCACTGCATGGAAAAAATAGTTCTTGAAACTTGTCTGGAAATTCTTTCATTTTATCTCTAAATCCAAGTGCATTCAATCCTTCGGCAATTTGGTCAAGAACAATCTTTCGCCGGCCAATGACATTATGGATGATTAGTAGTTGAATAATCTTCCTTTTATTTTGATTCTGGTATAAAGTTACAATACATAAAAAATAAACAAAAAGCTGATAAATAAAGGGCACAAATTCATAAACTATGTATGTGTCACACACCAATGAGTCTTTGTGGTTATGGTCACGTTTTATGTTTCAAATCCAATTGCATCATATTAAGTAATATACCATGGCTAAGACAATGGACATATAAATCATCAAAGATGCGTAGCACTATTAGTTCAGATATAGACTACCAGACGTAGACTACCTATTTAGTTCAAATATACAAAGGATCACTAGCATCATACTTATCATTATTTAGTCAAGAAAAATATAACAAGTGAATGCAGACACCATAATGCTTTTCAACTAAAAAATATCTGGAAAAAATCACATGATACATACAGTTAACATTTCTGTAACGCCACATTCAGACATGATGTTGAGACACTCATCCTGTTGATTCTATCAGACGACATTCAATTGTCAAAGTATTTCTATCATCGAAATTATCCAGAAGATTACGCGCCTCCTGAGCAAGATTTGATAAAGATGCTTTACGTTAACTGGCCCCAAAATTACCTTAGAGATTAGTTTGATATCAATCTGTGATTGATCTGGCTGTGAACATGCCCTATATTTAGTTTTAGCTAAGCTAGTGTTTGGGCTTGATTTTTGTGGTTCGTCAAAGATGACACATGAAACTCAAATATTTAATAGTGAAAGGCAAAATGGCTGGATGTATTCAATATGAATATGGCAGACGCACTCTAAACAAAAATAGGCCAGTGAAAGATTGGGTGGAATATGTACCCCCTTGGCCTTTTTGTCGTCAGTGTAAGCCCTCCCCCGGAATGTATTGAGAAATTCATTTCGACAGGTTTATGACTTTGTCTTACGCCATATTGTATGAGTTATTATGCATACATATATGAGTAATAATGCATATTTATATGAGTAAAAACTCATACTTAATTGAGTAATAATGCATACCTATATGTGTAATAATGCATATTTGTGCATGTTAAACCATAAAATTTAACGAAGTTACTCATTGTGGTGTACGAAGCTTACACATTTTTATGAATTCATCTTTTTTATAACTATGTGAACTTTTCACTATCTGTTGATCTTTGTGAGCTTTTCAACATCTTAAACTTTATATGAACTGTTAACCTTATTCTCTTATTTGTAAAAGTTTTGAGATTTTAGATTGCCCAGTATGTCATCTTGTAGTTTATACTTATCTTTTCTGCGCAATGCTAGGATTTAGCTGTCATGTTTTTATAGTCGAAAGCTTATCATTTCAACAGCGTCAAACATGTGTTTAAGGTAAAAACAGCCGGCACTCAAGGGTGGTTTAATGTCCAATCATACTTCACTTCAAATACTGCTTCCGCTGACATTCCACAAAAGCCTATTGAATCAAATGAGAACTCGATGCAGCAAAACGAGGTAGATGAGTGGCATTGGGATCACGAAGAGACGACTAATGCAATAGATGACGATTTGAAAGATAGCAAGGATTTGAAAAGAAATGATGATGGTTGGGATGACAGGGAATGGGGAGACGTTTCAAGTTGGAATAACGAAGGATGGTCCGCTAGTGCCAATACATATACAAAATCAAACAGGACTTACAAGAAAGGAGACTAGTATTTCGCCTTGCTTCATTTTGCACTGCTTTTTAATGGGAAAAATTAGGAACCATAAACAGTCGCGTAGCCAGCTCGCAAATTTGGTCATGCTATGTTAATTTTTCCGTGTTCACTCCCTGTAAAAACAACAGATTACCAAAGAAATAAATATTGATAATGATCTAAAATTTACCTAGCATGACCAAAATTTGCTGGCTGGCTACGCCACTGACCAGAAATGTTTTCATACAACATAAAAAAGGGTGTCTCAAAAATGATGTATTTTTACAAGGCGCTTCCTTTTGCTGTCTATTAGAGCATGACAGCATCGGCTTGAGCACTGGAGTTATTGAAATATAAGATGAAAGTTTTTTTAATTTCAATTATAATAATATAAGAGAGTATAAACCATGTTATTTTTCTTTTAGTCCCACTGAAAATGTAGGTCACGTTTTTTGTCACAAGGTCCTTGGTTAAGGTGCTTTTTTTACCATCTTCAATTGATAATTACACTATACGCAGCAGTCTGTGTTTGAAGTCAATTTTAGCTTCCTTCGACATCAACGCCTGTATTCTAAAAGCTCACTTACACTCACACTCTTTGAGTGCGGCACAGAGATCTCGCTCCCACTTGTGAAAGTCCATTCAGCATTTAGTAAAGTGAAAATATCTTCTTTGAATAGTTGTAAGGCAATTTTTAAGCCCTGTTTGGTGAATGTGAGTATGAATGATCTTTTAGAATGCAGAAGCAAGACCTTAAAGTTCTCACTAACATTTATTGTACATTTTAACAAAGTCCTGTATAATTAAATGGCACAGCTAACTTGAAGATCAAATTTTTCTCTGTCTTTCAAAGTATAAATTAATTCATTCATTTGACTAAAATATTTCGTTTTTGAAATCTGATGAGGTGGCACCTTTGAAATCTCTTTAATTTTGGCAAGGGACCTTTATGAATAAAAATGTAAATATTGAACAATTGTAGAGTAAAAATAAATTATGAAGAATTTAAGGAGTGGTAACTGTAAATGTTGCTATGTTCTGTGGTTTTGAAAATGAATTTAAGTTTGTACATGAATTACGTAATGATAAATAATGAAAACGTAACTATAGAAAACAAATTACTTCAGGATAGGAGCTACATAACTATTTATTGCTTATTTTAATTGGGTTTCAGTATTGTATTTCGTGCCATGACCAACAGTACACTTGTTATTTAATACATCTGAGTAATTACGTTTTACTAACTACTGAGTAGGATTGACTTATCAATTAACTTGTTTACAAAATTTTTGCATGTATTTTGTCTCTTTAGGAATAAAAGCTTCTCGAATTTTACCTTTTACAATGGCAATATTTTCGTAAGTGTGGTAGTGAGTCAGCAATACATTTCGGTTGATCACCGTATTTGTTTATTCTGCTAACACCTTCTTGAACTAAAAATTTTCCATTTAAATACAGCACACTCGCCTCAAACATTCCGTGATTTGGGAGTGTAACAAAGCTGATTTGATATCTACAATGATCCTTTGCATTAAAAACGCTTGAGTATATGGGCTCATAACCATCTTTACCTGATTGCTTAAACCTAAGAACGTTAGCGTTGGGAGTCTCTATTTCGGCTCTGTTCATTTTAAAAAGAGTAAGTTTAGAGCATTTTTCTGCGCCTAATTCCTCTTTAAAATTCAATTCATTGATATGACTGATAGCTTCTAACGCAGCTCTTTGCAAATGATTGTGCTCATGATCAACAACTGACCAGTGCAAACATGGACACCAGTGTGATGGGATGCTTGCATCCTCGCAAGAACGATCTAGGGGTACTTCATTTAGTAGGCTCATCCCATGCCCTGATTCTTTCGGTTCATTTGGATACTCCAAAATGTGATTGAACGTTGCATGTAAGTCAAACCAACTTGTCAATCGCTTGGTATTAGCTTCCAAATTTTTTGCCAATTTAGGGTATTTTTTCTCAAACCAAGTAGGAAATGTCATTGTGAAGAGAGGAAGCCTTTCTTCTAACTTTCCTTGAATTGTCTCTCTGAACGTTCCATATCTCCAACCGTGATCTCCCAGTATGATCAACAAAGTATCATTTAAATATCCAAGTTCACGAAATTCTTTCAGGAATGTGTATAAATCTTCGTCCACGTACTGTACGGCATTGAAGTCGTTGTGTGATATTTCTCCTGTTAATGATAAAATACGTAGCTCATATGTTTATGAACATCAATTGAAGTCGAGACAAAAAAACAATTACCCATTAGATGTAAAAGAAACTTCCTGCGCCGAGGGTAGGCTTGGTATATCTTTCTCGCCAAATTAAGATGATAGTTGTAAATTTTTTCACTGCCATGACAATGAGGAGAGTTCTTTGAGTAGCCTTCCGCCGCGATAAAAAACGACCGTGGATAATAATCAGTGGGTGGATCTTCAAAACCCATCAATCTATAGTTGAAAGTTCCAACGCTTGGTGAATCTTCACAAAATGTTGTGAAGTTGTGTGCTGAAGTAAAGAATTTGAATAATGTAAAATCGGAAAATACTTTAGTTATGCATGAAATATTATCATATAGTTGACTGGTCGTTTTGTGGTGAGGAGGTTTATTATAGTGAAGCATTTTAACAACATCAAATGTCACATTTGTACTTTAAAACAATACTAAATATTGATATATGAACATGTTGAAATATTGAAGAAATATAAATAATCTAGTTACGTTTTATCGACAATCATAGTAAACTAGAAGAGCTTGTATAACATCCACTCACATTTTGCCCTTTTAAAAATAAAATTCCAGTCATCAACTGTTTTGGCATTCGCTTCTCCTCGTCGTGACTCGTAGTATTCTTGTTCACCCTTCCCAGTTAAAAATGCTGCCACCTGCTCTGTCGTACCATCACCTACCACGCTATGACCCATGAAAATATAACCATGTAGAACGTCGCGTATAAATTTGTATGATTTTGGCAGCTGTCTTTGCGCATGACCGTTGGATGTTGAGTCAATACCAATAATGAGGATGTTTAAATCCATCTCTGTATCGGGATGATGATGATGAAAATTTTTCATCTTTTGCTATGACTTGTATTAAATACTCCTTCACTGTTGTTTTATCATCTAAGGTCATCGTAAGCTCAATGTGTTCATGAGGTACTTGGAATTGTTCAAAAGTGGTAATTTCAACCGGGTCACTCAAAGAAATTTTAAAGTCATCTTTTTTAACTCGATTTATGCTTCGGTAACTGGCTAATGCTACATCAGATCCTATGTTAAAAGAAAAGATACTTTTCATTTGTTTATACCGACAAAGCACATCAATGTCAGAAAAGAACTTCAGTAGTCACTTAATACGATAGTAAGTAAGATCTAGGGAATAACAAAATATTAACACAAAACTAAATACTGACTTTCACAAATAGAATTAAAATGACTCACCGAATATTTTTAAAGTCCTCCATCCAACACAGCTCGTTGTTTTGTTGCACACTTTAGTGGTTCCTTGAGTTCTTTAACTAGATCCATTGCGTGTGGATGAAATGGATCTATTTTTGGAATATTGCACTTTGCATAGCCTAACAAATTGCTGGAGTCTTCTTGTACTTTAATTGGCTGAGCGCAATAATTCTGAAGAACAGTATAAATAAGTATAATTTTGGCTTAAAGAAATGAAGTTAGCTACATCGAACGTGCATGTGGATAGCCTGAATTGACAACCTCGCAAATGAAGGCATGACAGTCATAAAATGAAGCGAATCAATGAAAACAGTCGAAACGATATAGTAAATATGTCATTTTATAAACATGAAGCAAAAAGATGGAAGCCAACAAGTTTTATCAACAACTTTAGAATTAAAATAAAACACATTCTCTCATATCGTTTGCAGCGTATGTTGGAAGAAAGATAACCGGCAAATGGATACAAAATGCATAGACGCCTTGTTTACACATAGATAAAACGAATATACTTTTGAAGCACACCATATCCAAGTTGGTTTTCACATTCATGGCAAAAACCGGATGTAGTCATTTAATGAGTAGCAGAGAATGCATACTCAACTGTCTATAAATACTGCTTTCGCTGTTGAATGTTGAATGTTGAAATGTTGAAATTTATCGTCTGCGACATAAAAGTTGTTATGACGCGATTTCAGTCAGCTCAATCACCATATGCCACTTTTGTGTTTACTTCTGGCGATTGCTACTCTAACAATTTTGTAAAATTTGAATAATTTTTCTTAATGCCAAGCTAACGCATGCGCACTGTGTGGCGTATATTATTGTAAAAATGGCGTCACTGAACTGTTTATAGAACTGTCTGTAGAACGTAACGCCATTATGTATGTATAGTTCCCGCCGTTGTTAGGCATCGTGGAATATTTTATCTCAAAACTAAACGGCAAAATCAATTGATCGAGACGAGTTAACAACTTTAGTTCGTCGGACAAGACGAATTAAACGCTAAAGTCGTCAGGACGGTTAATTCGTCTTAAGGCCGTCTTTATCCTTTGAGGATTTAAGAGACGCAGTAAATAGATTCGTCTTAAGTCTTCCAGAACAGTGCTTTAGAAGTGGGGGGGAGGTGCTTGGGGGAGGAGCCCCCCTTCTACCTTTGAAATGGGTAATTTTAAAAGGGCACTATTGACAAAAACGTCAAGAGAGCCCTCCATCTGATAAATTTAGTTCTACAGCACTGGTCCAGACGTATTATCCGTCTTAGGCATAAAAAAACGGCCATTGCCGAACAAGAGCTAGACAATGTTGAATACATGTTGAGTCAACATGTTGAATGCGTTAGCACGTAGGTTTATGCCGACAACATGGTGATTCGTATTGTATTTAGCACATGAAAATAATTAACATTTTCGTCAGTTTTTTCTCGGCGAAATCTTAGTAGTTTAAAGCGAGACGGTGTTTTGTGCTTTCTTTAGCAATGTACATCATCCAAACCACAGGAAAACATAGTAACGAGTCTTCATGACATTCGCATTACTAGAAATTCAATATCCATCTAGTGGTATATATTCTAAGAAAAGCCAGCTGGAGCATTTAATGGCCGTAACGGCAGAACAAATTTTCTCGTGAAAAATACATGCCGGCCCGTATGTTTACGTGCTGTAAACTTTTCACGACAAATTTTTATGTAACAAATATACTTTCTCATATATTAAATGTCAACATGATACATTTGGAGGTTGCTCAATTTTCCATATGTTATTGTAGATCATACACACGCACAAAATGGGTCACATGTGGAACAAGTACTTTACAAGTACATGTGTTCAATAGCTCACATACTATAGCTTTTATAAGTTTTAAACAAACACATTTGTTATGAGAAAAATTTGCTAAGGTGCCAGGGAAAAAATTTCTGGTTTTGTTCTTCTTTAAATGGGTAGTATTCGTTTACATTTTTATATTGTTTCTATGATATACTGATACATACCATTCCGTTCTATTGCTTTTCAGAATGTTGTCGATTACATTACAATATAAATAAAAACCCACTAAATTGATTTTTATTTGAATTTTAAATCTGTGGACGATGAATATAAGTTTTAATTGGCTTTTATAAATACTGAACTCACATTAAAGACGGCATCTTCAATAAGATCTTTCATGAAGCGGTAAACACAGAATACAACCAAGAGTGAAACGATGTAGAACGCGAGGCGTTTCCTCGAATTTCGCATTCTAAAGTAAAAAGCAAGTAATTGATACACAAATATGCGACTGAGCGAGCATCAAAACTAAATTTCGTCCGACAGCATTTCCTAAACATTTTACAATAAAGAATTCACTCAGACCAACTGTACATCGTTGTTTACTTTAGCATAGAGTTTTATAAATTTACCTGATACTATACATGGTAAATATCTTCTTTTTTTCGGAGTTGCTATGTTGCAACATTCAACATTCATTAACCTTCTTTCAATAAATTATTCAATAACCATCAGCTTTCTATCCTAAAAAATGCCATCGCATACAATTTGTTTTGACTGTTAAATTTAAGCACCTGACCACAAGAGCCTGATTCAAATTGTAAAGAGCAACCTGTAGTTTATTGTCTTCCAGTTGTTTGATTTATTCACGTTTCAATGTACAACATGTGCACAGTAAGTTAACAGTTGTCGGCAGGTGAAGCTTTTACAGTTTCACTTTTAGACTCCACAAGAGCAACATAAAAGCCCTTCACGATGCGTGAACTTCCGTTAGAGAATTTCCTTGCTCCAATCACAAACCGTGTTTTCTCTAATACAAGATTTTTGTGGCCTCAGTGACATTTCTGAGCTCACGCCAGCTGCATTGACCATAATTGAACAAAAATAAATCTGGAACGATAAATTACCCCGACTTATCGTTACACATGGATTTTAGTTCAATAGCCGGCGGTGATAAATTTATGGCGTTTTTAAGCCCGAAAAAAGTGACATTTATAAAACAGCTAACTCAAATTTTAAATTTTATAGCAAAACTGGCATAAATATGGCGTGCACACACGGACAAATCACGCCATTTTTACGGCATTTTCGCGACGTCTTAGACAATACGTCGTCTTTGCTGAATTTCACTATTCATATATATATAAAGATCTTATGGCAGTTTTAGTCGTAACATTGGACTGTGGCCAGTTACAATCTCAAGCCAGAAAATGTATGACTGATGGCTTTTTCAAAGGTGCTAAAGATGTTCAACAATGTGGTAAGAATGCTGACAAAGTTTTTATCCTAACAACCAAGACATAGGATATGTACAGCACAACGAAAATGCACCGCTGATCTTTTCTATCCACAAAACCACATGAGCATGTCCACGCGTTTTTCAAGTTCAAAAAAACGTATGTAAAATAAAAGTATACTCAGTTCAATCATTATAATCATATAGATGTGACAATGAACTCAGAAGCATTGTACTATAGTGTGATTAAATATTTATAACAAGCAAGACAGTTAAGCACTGTCTCCTAAACCTGTAATTTGTTGTCTTTGTGCTGTTTGATCTTTTCACATTTAAATCCTTACAACTGGTGGAATTTTTACCTACTTGTTGAGTTGTTGTCGTTTGTAAATGCCATCGACATCGTTCACAAAAACAGATGCTGCGTCAGTGTGGTTATTTAATTATAAATCAGCACATAGAATCAACAGCATATGACTGTACTATGAAACAACATCAAAATGACCCAACTAAAACTTAAAGTCTTGTCAATTGCATCTCAGTGCATCTTATGGCAGTTGGCCATATATTATCGTATTCACATTCAATGTATTCACAATTCCAGCTGTGACGTAGCTAACAACGATGACTGGGGGGGGAGGCAATATTCATATATTTGATAGGTAATGGCATAGCTTCTCATGCAATATGGGAAAAACAAACACTCGTGAGTTTTTCAAAGACTTCAAATTGCACTCGTCCAAAGCTAGAACGAGGTATCTACTTTAAGCAGCGTTCATGTTTTTATCCTGAAACATCTTGCAAACAGTGAACTGTAAACTTTTTCGCCAAAGAAAATTTACATAAAACTTACGCCAGCAATTCTAATTGCTTTGTTTACAACAACAACAATTAAACTTTCCCGCCTTTGAAATGTTTTATTTTGATTGGCCCTTAGATCACTTCTTTGTTTGACTCACCAATCAGGAGCACATTTTTCAAAACTAATGAAAATGAAAATTACCATCGATGTGATGCAACTAAGTGAATAACATAATCTACGTGAGAGAAACATTAATAGCTAGTTGCTGGGAAAACATCACCGATTTTCAAAATCATCCGCCATTTTGAATACAGAATAGATGCCTATCGATGAACTCTACAACAACTGGAAGGCTAACTCAATATACACATGCCTAGACTTGAATTTCGAAGTGATGTATTTTGCCTCCGTACCCTAAATGGCGGCGATCATGCAGGCTTCAAAGATGGCTGCCAAGTTAGCCTTCCAGTTGTATTAGAGTTCATTGGTGCCTATGATGCACAACTGCAACGTATCAAATTGTACCGGCGGTAACTACATCAAAATCTTGATCACAAAATTGACTTGAGAGACAAGCAGGTTGAGACATGGTTTTGTAAATAGCACTTGTCTTTTCCTCTCAAGAATTATAAACTTTATGAAAGAATGTTAACTATAAACATTCATCTTAATGTTCATTTAATTATAAAGTTTGCTGGTTTGCGCCAAACACGATTTAAAAAAAAACACAAACACACATATTCCCATGGGATTTTTAATTTTTGTTTGATCAGTTTGGCGTATTTTCTTGGGCTCTAATTATCTCACACGACAAAACAAAATATTCTCTTTTATTTAAAGAAATTTTTGAGAAATATGAATAAAAAGGCAACACCGCAAATAATTCAAATTATTCAGCCGATTGTAGCACGCCTTGTGGCGCAATTCATCATTTCTTCGCGACTTTCTATCTTCTTGCGTACTTCTTTCGCTCTTGAATACAATTCATCCACCTTGTCAAAGATTTCGTCCATATCTTTACGCTCGCTGAGAAGACCATAAAATACTTTGGGAAACGGAAATTGAGTACTCTGCAAAATACATTTACTTACCCTTCACATTTAGAAGATAAAATATCACACACTTTTTATGCAACATAATTAAAAAAGCTTTTCTCAAATAGGGCACTAAGATAAAGCGTGTTGCCATTTAATGAGTCAAACACTTACTCTTCTTCGCTTTATGCGAGGTGCCATGTGTTCTGTCTCATTTTCCTCTTCATATAAAGGCTGCACTCTGGCTGGATGTAAGCCACTCGCGTCTTTACCAAAAACGCCGTAATTATTGCCAAAAATATTTACAGCCTAAGAAAGTTTCAAGTAAAAATGGTATAGGTGTTCCTAAGGAAAATTGAAAAGACGGCAACATTAAAACAAGTATAACAGGTTCTGCAATTTCATTGGTCGAGAGCTATGATTTATAAGAGGACATAGGCACGGAATTAACGTCACAGAAAATTTCATGTTTATAGAAACAAACAAATGGGAGTTATATTTGAAAATTTATAGCAATACCTCCCTGAATGAGAAAATAAAGATATTCACAAAGACTTAATTGAGGTAGTTAACGTATTTGAGCAAAAAGAAAAGAAAAAACCAGGTTTTCAAATATTAATTTGTACTTTGTCTTCGATAACATAATTTCAACAAAATTGATCAGCCAGTGCTTGTTTATTTTGTTAGCCAATCACATTTTATCACATGATGAAGCTAGCCAATAGCATTTCTTCAATCCTATAGACTCGTAAGCGTGATATTTGCAAAATCTAGACTTTTCAATGAACCAAGTGTTGGGAGACAAAGAAAACAAACTGTTTGACCGTTTAATTTGGGAATTTTTTTGATTTTATTATATAAAACAAATAGATACCATTTAACCGTTGTCTATACAGTTGTAGATACACGGATAAGACGTCATTTGTGATAAAAAAACAACACTCGCCCCGGCGGCTCGTGGCCACTTTTAGTTTTTATCACAATTGACGTCATAGCCGTGTACGTATAACTGTATAGACAACGATTAAATGTTATCTATTTGTTAAATAGTATCTTTTATTTAGTTCACACTCGTCTTCAAAAAATCGTTAATGTTCGTGGCAGAAAAATGTGTCACGCTACTGGAAATGCGAGTGTTGCTCGGTTGGTTACAGTTATCTGCTGATTTTATGAGAAGCTGCAGTTTAATATATATCAAAGTTTGAATACTTGGCAAAAGTAGAAAACTTCACCTCTAGCATTCCACCTAGTTTCAATCTCAACTTTTTCATGAAAACACTTGCACTGCTGAATTCCAAAAACTGGAGTCTCTCTTTCAACGTTGGCTGTTGAGAATTTTCATTCTCCATTCTTGCAGCGTTCTTGAGAAATCTTTGGATGATAAACATGGCAAACGCCATGATTGTGAAAAACAAAAACGGCAATCCAATCATGCCCAACGCAATGGTCAAAATGGTGAAGAAGATAGCGGCTGAGCTGCATACAAATCCAATAACGAGAACTATGAATCCGGCTATAATTAATGCAATAGGAATGCACAGTGGCGCACAAACAGCCGTCAGTAACATAATGAAAATTTTATGCATTGAAATGAAATTATTTTTCTTCATGTCAGTTTCGCACTTATCAATTACTGTAGAACTAATGACATTAGTAATTATTCCAATTAAGAATTGTCATAATTAGTGTTGCGTATTTAATTCAAAGTAATTAAACTAATTATTTCCTCAAAGTTTAAGTACTAATTCAATTTCAAATGTATACTATAGTAAATGTTTGACATGATTTTTAAATTGTAGTAATATAAGATGGCAAAGAAAAGGGTCGTTTTCCTCGCAAGTAAAGCTCTCAGTGCTCGTACGATAGACAAACGAAGACAATGGGGAAACCATTTCAAAGCATGGGTAAATGCGTGACTAACGACAATGAATAATAATAATTTTAACTTAACATAAGCGAAATTTAACTAACATGACGCATCGTCTAAGACGTCGTGAAAATGATGTGATTTTCCCATATTTTGATCCACGGCGGAAAACAAAACTCGTTGTTTTCTCGGGAGCGTGCGTGTCGAGGAAACCTTTGGGGAAGTCAAGAGCAGATCAGTGCAAGCCCGAAACCGAAGGTCGAGGCTCAGGGTTGCACATGCTCAAGTGTTCTTACACACGTCGGCTCCGAGGTTTGTATAAGCCTGTGAAAGCACAAAAAATATCTTTTATCTCTTTTGTAAACAATTATGCGAAACAAACAAATTTAAAAGAAACGTTTTAAGTTTTCCTCTAACATGTATTCATGATTGATTAGCAAATTCTCTTTAATTATTGATTGATTGATTTGATTAGTTGAGCACAGGTTGGTTTGCACAGGCTAATGCAAATACGGCTGTAAACCAATTAGAGCCATTAATGATTAGAGCACGCGTTATATTTTTCTTCCCCTCCCAGCCTCTAGCCCTTTATCTCTCCCCATCCTCTCCCCTTCAAAGATCTACGTGTGATGAACGGTTACTATAGATTTACTGCACTAAGATAAAGTAGACAATTGGTAGCGACCGATGAGCTGATAAACCGTTGGCTCAGGTAACTTAAAAGCGCGGAGTACCGCGGGAAGATTTAAAATCCTACCAAATCTTGTCAAAGTCACGACGTGAAAATTTTACATTTTAAATTTTGATTATTTCTGATAAATGGCCGAATCAAAACAGCTTCAACAAGAAAATAAAGATCGCGAGTGAGTGTTTTGTAACGTACTCTATGTTTACAGTTTTGAAGAGCATCTATCGATCGAGTGTTTATCTCCCACTTCCCCACCTAACGTTATGTTGCGTTTCTAGATCTTCACACCTGAAACATTTTCATATTTGATTTTTTAGGAAAGAAAGGATACCATGCCGGTAAGTTATTGTCGTGTCCTTTAAATGTGATTGAAGAACACAATTATTTTGAAAATGTTTTAAATTATTTACAGTTTTGACTGTAAATTGACAATAAATTGACTTTAATGTAGGTATTTTATTCGTGGATCATGCCGAGAAGGTACCAGGTGTGCATACTCTCATGATGAAGCTGATATTCCTGTAGGTTAAGTAAATTTCACTCAATCCCCAGTGTCAAGTGATGTTGGGAGGTTTTTGCTGCATTGTTTTCTCAATATTCTCATTTTTTATTGTTATTATACTTATTATTATTGTTGTTTCTATTATTATTAAAACAAATGAAGTATTTTTATTCAGCACTAATTCAGCAATAAAGTCATATCCTTTCTTAGAAACATTAAGCTACAATAAATACATGGCTTATGTGTATGTTTCAATGAAAATTTGTTTTAAAACATATCTTTATTGACAATGCATATGACTATTCTGTGTAAATTTAAAATGTTTACAAAACAATTGCCTCAAAGGTTCTTAGCACCAATGGTAATTATAGATTGTACAAGCAATTAGCTTTACATTTACTAATATGCACTTTTTCAAAAATAACATATTGTTTTTATCTTCAAGGTATGTCGATATTTTCTGGGAGGATCTTGTTTGTACGGTGACAAATGTTGGTTTCAACATCCAAAGGATGATTATAACATGTCAAGGTAATGATGCATAGAATCATAACTACCTATAGATATGATTTAACTTTATTAGATAAACACAATAAAATGTGTGCAGTGATTGGTCTCTAGCTGTGTTTTCATTAACCTGTGAAAACTGATCTGGGCTCAACCAATCAAATCAATCAATCAATCAATCAAAGACAATATGCAAGTCAATCATGAATACATTTTAGAGGAAAAATTAGAATGTTTGTTTGAAATTTGTATGTTTTGCATTATTGTTATCTTATAAAAGAAATAAAAGATGTTTTTTGTGTTTGCACTGGCTTATGCAAATCTCTGAGACATTTGTGAGAACCTCGAGCAAGTGCAACCCTTGACCTTAGTTCTTGGGCTTGCACTGATCTGCTCTCAAGTTCTCCCAAACAGTGTCGGATCTAGGGTACTTCAAAATAAATTATAGCTGCTTGATTTTCAATTCATCAGAAAAACGCTATTGGTTTTGAATTTCTAACAAATATAATTTTACCAATGAACTTGTCTCTTAGGTGCTTAGAAATGTTAATATATTCCAAATTGCGCTGCAGTAATTAATTTTGAGGTACCCAAGATCCGCCACTGCTCCCAAAAATCTCGGGTGGCATAAGCCTGTACAAATGCAGTAAACATCTTTTATTCCTCAAATAATCAATTTTTTCCATAATAATTTTCCATAATTTGTTTCAAAGTTGTTTTTACTATTTAATTATTGTCAGATACTGTATTTACAATTAATCTATTATATTGGTCATAGGTATCTTTTAAATTACACCAATCACATGGCAAAAGTTCAAGGGTGTAACTTTGGTCATCACTTTTGAGGAGGGAGGACCTAATTTGTATGACATAACTGCTAACTTTAAATTTTGGGGGAACGTGAGCCTTTTATCATTTAAAATCATTTCCAAAAGTATAAATTATTTTACTTGCAAAAGAAAAATGATTATTTTAAGGCGTACTCCACACGTGTGCTGTAAACCTTGGAAAATTATGGTATGATTAGATTATTTTCACATTTATTCTTAGCTCCTTCGACGAATACATCGTTCCTCCAGAAAGTATTTTCTCTTTTGGTAATATTTTCAGCAACTGTAAGTTTATCTTGTTTGTATTCAATAATTATTCCATTGTTTTGCTTGTGGTCGTACAAAGGTACGTAAACCGTAGTTACATCTGCACTGCTGTCTACTCAGCACAGCAGTCCAGAAAGAAAGCATTTGTTATTAAGCATTTTTTTGTTTGAGCACATTGTCAATGGAGGAAAATGTCATGAACAACGAGCATTAAGTCAATTTTAAGGGGGATTTTAGACAAGCATTTTTCGACAGGTGAACAAGCAAGGTTTTACTAAATATTTCTTTTCAATGCTTCAAACTTGCCGAGGGCGTTTTTTTTTTAATTTCTTTTTGGTGCAAAACTTAAAACGAATGAACTGAATATGATCCAAACTGCATTTTCCAATTGTAGTTCTAATTACAAATGCTTTAATTCATGAATAAATCAATGTCCAACTATATAATATAATATGGGATAATATTATACTTTCTAATCTGTATGAAAAAAGGTCCGGAGTCGCCACCTTTAAGCAATTTAAATCTCTTGATGGCGGCTGCAATATCAACTGCTTGGTCCGAAGTGAATAACAGCGAAGACAAATGTGAAACTCCTAAGGTTTCGATATCATTGGAAAAAGCAATTGAAATGTGGAAAACATAGTCAATGCAGGTATGAACAAGAACGCAGTAATTTCATTTTATTCAGGGGCGTAATTACTGGGTGGGGGATTTGAGGGGTGGTTCACACACCAAAAGTTGTTTTCGTCCTACAAGAAAGTGTTTCGAGGACAACTGATTTTTTTGGAAAATTTAAACGTGAAATCTTTCGACAAAATCTGTAGAAAAACCATTTTAGCAGAAATAATTACAAAAGTATACCATGTTCTTTTGTCTGGCAAACTAAATACCGCGTTCTCTTCGGCAAGTTAACAGGTCACTCCTCCAATCTCGAAACCCAAGTTAAGCTCAATAGCTTTAGGTTGTCAATCGTTGCCATACAGATTGTTTTTGACATGATTTTTATTTTTTTATTTTTGGTTCGGTCTTTCGTAAAACATAGTTTATCTTTTTTGAAGATAACGATCGGAAACTTCAGGATTTCAACAAATCGATGGACGACAGCTGCGAATCTTTACAGTTTTGGACGACATCAACCTATTTTTTAATAAGCTTAGCAAATTCGATATCAAAAATTGGCCTTACTCAGATGTTACTGAGCTTCTGTGTCTGATTGCCGAGTTTGAAAGTGAGGAAACGATAAATCGCGATTTGAGTAATGACTTATTTTTTGGCAATGTTCTCGTTGAGTTATTACGTTCATGGAAGCCATCAGGATCAATTACGGCCGAGTATCTTGTATCACTTTGCAACCAAATGAAAATTGATATGACACAATTAATTATCTGTTGGTTGGCTATCCTTGTCGTCTTGAGGACTTTGATTGTTTTCTCGGCGAAGTTTTGTATCACATAAGACAGAAGAATCCAGATGTTTGGAATAAAGATTGGTTAGCATATCTACTTGAAAGGTTTGAGAGTAACCTTGAATGCTCTGATGTTGATGCGGTTGACGTTCTTTCCAGTTATGGCAGGCTCCTAAACGATCCTGCTGAGTTAGGGGAAATCGCTCGTGCCTATCTAGAAAAAACAGGTCTTCAAAATAGCTTTGAGTGTCGCTGCAAAACTCCAGAATGTCATTGTCCAATTGAAGTTGATGAAGGCGTCGCATTCATTTTATTTGATGGTTTAAATAGAAGATTGAAGTGGAAGATTAATGAGAAGAAAGCTTTCTTTTGCAAAGCTGTTGACGGATTGTTTTTGAAAGGAGTTCTTTGTCAACTTGGTAATGTACAACGATGGTTAAATTTTCAATAACGTATGAGTTATTTATCTTGACTCAAAAATTCATCCCTACGTTGATTTTCCATTTTCATGGGGATGTTTTGCATTTTCTTTGGCATAGGTCTTAGCATGGGCGACGAACGTAGGAAGTGAATGCAAAAGTCGGGAAGAGCCACAGTTGAACAAAGTAAATATGCCTTTATCAAAATGTCCGAATGCAGACTGCAGTAACAACGCAAAGAGAGATTGTTTAAACAACTTATGTGGTTTGTGCTGTAAACGAAGTGGTTTGTGGTGCGATGTTCACGTGAACCTTTTTCCAACTCGTTACCAGACCGTTCGTGCGCATGATCTCGTCAAACCACGTGTAAATTTTTCCACTAAGGAAGATCTTGATTCATTCATGGAAGCAAAGGAAGATGCCAATGCTGTTTGCTTCGGACAGGATTTGTCTGTGACTGATAACGATGTCATCAGAGTTATTGACCTGTGTAAAAACTTAGTTCTGCTGGAGCTAGGTATGCGTGTGTTTACATACTATAGAACAATTATCATAAGCACTTTCCACACAAATGTAGTATGGTGTACAATAGCACTCTTTCAATAGAAACTTTTATCGTACTACACGCCTGTAATTCTTTAAAATTTTGTTTCTTTCTTTTTTATTACAAGGCTCGTGTGATACGGGAAATCCAGGAGGACATGTGACAAATGCCCTATTAAAGTACATTGCACGAAATCGACCTCATCTTCGAAAACTACGATTGGAATCAGCAACATCTGTCAACGACGACGGTGTCATTGAGTTAGTGATGGCCTGCCATCATTTGGAATTTCTCGAGGTTTCAGGAAACGACAAAATCAGTGGCGATTTGACAGATCGCACAATGAAAATATTCTTTGATCTTGATGTGACTCCAAGTCTTAAAACATTGATCATCACCGATCAACAAGGGATCAGCTATGACATTGTGATGAGGTTACGACGCTGCCGACCAAACTTGGAAATAACCGCTGGTGAGACAGACAGCGATAGCATGGCGTGGTCTTTAATCCTGGGCATGACTGGTGGATGGTACGGATCTGGCTTGTATTGATGGCGACACTTGCTTCAGTTTTACATAAAGCTTTACATGAAGTTTTGTAAAATTTTTGTTGTCTATAATATATTGAGTAATTGAGTTGATCTCATTGTGTGCAGATATAAAAAAAAGGAAATGTTTTATTTATCCTTTATGGAAAATTTATATACAAAATTTGAATTATAAAGAGTTGATCTCATTGCGTGAAAAATTCCAGATGAAGTTAAATTGATTGTAATTGAAATCGTGAAAAAATGAAATCTTATGCATGTATATGCTTAATTATTTATTTTGAAACAATATCAAATATATTTATTTTGTTTGATGAATCGAGTATTGCTACATTCAACTTATATGTACAAGGACTTGAGGGTATAATGACGAACACTTTGGGGAATGCTGTTGTCATTGCATTTCAATAACAAGTGAGATAGCATAGTGCAATTATTTATTTTCTATTGCACCTCATCATTAGAAAAATATATTAAACAATTAACTGACAAAGAGGAGAGGTTCTTTAGCTCAGTACCCACCCTAAAGCTAGACTAAATTTTTTTATTAAGTTTCCAATAATCAAATTTCGTCTACGAAAAATCTGCAAAACGAATAGTCTACTACTGAATACTACAAGAAGTGAAGAATGCTAAGGATGTGACCGAAAATTGAATAAAAAGTTTTGTAAAAGTTTTTTCACTATTTTATATTTTCAATAGTTAGACGATTTTCTTGTTTTTTTTTATGATTTATTATTTGTACTCTTGCCATGTGTATCTTTCTTGTCATCGCATCACGCAGGCGAATCATGCTCAGGACTCAGGTGCCTAATGGCCTCTCTGGGATGGCGTAAAATTCGTGATTTAGAATGCATGTTGCACTGTCTGAGAATGCATGTGGCATTACCATAGCAGTATGATTTATAGTATTTAAAAGGTTTCAATAATCAAACATCTACGTTTTTCTATCACTCCATGTAAATGGTTGAATGATGGTTTTGCTGTTTGGACATTTTAGATGTAAAGTTTAATTATCATCTTCAAATTGTTATTTTCAATGCTTGTATGCAGTTTTCTTGCTTAGACTTGTAATTAAGATTTCTCCAATTGCCAGCTTACATATAATTTCAAATTCTCGCTCACTATGATCGATAAAATTTTCTGTTGTGTTCGATATGGTATGGAATTCGGCCAAGACTAAGGGTTACGGTAAAGACCTTGCTTGATCTATTGAAAATAGCCTGATTCAACGAAAGGTTGGTGGAAATGTTCACTGTATGCCTCTTTGTTTGATGTTTATTTTTGGCAATCAATAGTGAATCGAAATCTCATGTAAACAGTATGATTTATGATTTGACGAGTGGTATGTAAAAAGCAAAGATTGTAAAATCGTTAAATGGCAAATCCTTGCACGTAGTCATGAATGACGTACGGACTTTTCCAAATATGGCTTGAAGGATGAACGCAATTCTTCGTGCCATTCCACCGGGAGCATATCAATCGATACGCACGGTCTTTTTTTTAAATAGTGAGAGTTATCGAATGTTCCATTATTTCTATGTTTCTGTCAGAAAGATTGTAAATTCCATTGAGAAATCAGAGTTTCTTCAATGATAAGTGATAAAATTTGAATTTTTGATTTTCATACATTTGTATGGTCATGTTCACAATGACACATCCAGGACACGTTAGAGTATTTTTGTAACCGCTCGATATATATATAAATAACAATGATGATCGGTCGAAAATTCCCGAAGAACAAGTTTTACCGATCGAATTGCTGTTTTGATATGTTACTATCCTAGAAAAAGCTGGTTTGTTAAACTTGTTGTTAGTTGACGTAAGATTCGATTCGCTGTTGGCTATCCAATTTTCAAGAACCCTCTGCCTCTGAGAAACACATGTTTAATAAATTAAGTGAATTACCTGCTATGTCAACATAATGTGCTTGCAATTATTATTTCGACAATAAATTTTTTTCACAAATGACGTAGGTTATAATGGCATTAGCCATTATATTGATTTAGCACATGCAATATTGGTTATATAAATATTTCTAGAATACAGTTTAGCTAAATAGTTCAAACGAGGACTACATTGTGACACATTTTATCAAACAACATTGATTCCATTTCTAGAGCAAATTTCTTAATCGAATACCTAGACTATCTTGCCATATTTTAACAAATAACCCACTGATTAAATCTCCATAGAACCTTCAAATTTGATATGTGCGCAGACATCTATCGTCTATATAATAGCTGGCCTCATTTAACACATCTCACTGACAGTGAAAATTAATAAGGCCAAAATGATTTCCTTTCATACTAATACGAATGACTTGTAATTCGTCCAAGTCAAAATTTAGAAAGGGTCAGCCATGAATCGAGTCAAATATCTGTCCTCATTTGCATCTACGGCTATAAGCAAGTCAAGCAAAGTTGCGTTACAAACAGCTAGGCATCGAAATTTTTCTATCAAGCATTTCATGTGAACGATCGAATTATGAAGATTTTTTATGTTCATCGTGGGAAATACGCCATTTTCATTTGAAATTGGAGAAATTCATTATGTGATAAGAATGAAACATATCAATTGAAATGTTTATTCTAAAGCACACATATTTTCATTTTCATAGACACATTTCACAAGGACGCAAAGAAAACAAACTTACTTGTAACATACAAAAAAATAATGATTTCGCACACTAATGACATCTCTTTTTTTTACGCAAAGTTAGCTGTAATTACAATTTTTATTACGGAGTGTTGAAATGTTATATACCAAAGAGCATTTCGCCGAAATGAAATCTGAGATCATGGAAAGAACAATAAAACCTTTTGCTATATTAATCAACAACCCATAATATCCATTCAGTTAGTCGACTTTTTCTATTGATTTATATTGTCCTATGTTTATAGTCGACTCATGACTGTGGTGTTCTTATACGTGCGTACCTAAAAATGTCGTAGACAGTCACTAGAGATATTCTATATCATTTATCGCCAGTTAGATCAGCTCTTTCATGAATCATCATGTCAATTAAAATGTGTCATTTCTTCAATGGTATAAGATGATTAATTAAAAAGTTTCATGTTGAAAGGCGTATAAATTAAACAATAACCTAAACTGAACAGTTTTTATGTTAATTCACACATCAAAGCAAAAAAAGTGAGTATTTACGTATATGTTTACTCTACAAAAACCAGCTCTCGTAGATAAAATGATGTTCAATGTCGGTCATGTCTGGTCATTAATGTTAAAAAGTGTAAAGTAAATTCTAGCGGAATTAATGGTTGTTGGGTTACGTTATTAAAATATGGGGGATCTTATAAATAATATTGTATTCCAATGCTCTCAACTCGTCGCCATTCCAACATAAAATAGCGCCTCACGTCTGTTAAATGCCAATTATTAAATACAGAAATTGAAAGGTAGACGCACCGATTCTAACAGCTGCAGGTTCTATACATATTCAAAATATATGATAGGCAGAATAACGTAAAATCGTATGTTTTCCACGCGACTTATTTTTACTTCATAATTAAGATTATGATGGATTTTCCTAGAGTTTTAAGAGTGCTCTTAGGAAAGTAGCAAAGTAAAATATTAAATGAATAGCATTCTTTCAAAGTAAAATATGATGGACTTTAATAGCACTACTAACACCAATTTTCATTTTATTAATATCAACTAAGTATTTTTTTCTGAAACATGTACGCAAATACCCACCAATGAGCCAAATATTTTGTTGTTGTTTTTTTGCTTTATGAAACTAGCGCAAAATTTCTTCGTTGTATTTATTGTTGTTTATATAGTATAATTGAAATATAGTAGACGTTGTGTAAACTAGAAATAGTGAAAAATTCATGTCAGTCAAGAAATTCTAAAGCATGTTGCGTGATATTATTGTGTGCTTGATTGATACACATGACATTACATAAATCATCGTCAGTCAGTCAAGGCTTGTTTAAATAATAAAAATATTTGCTGAGTTCTCTTTAACTCCGCTCTCAGTATGAGGTTTTTTTTATAGAGATTTTTTCGTGGGTAGGGCCAGTCTGACTGGGATAATTGTCATCTTTCGTACGTGTGGACGAATTTGCTGTACGGCGCGTTGATCTCATATACACATCCAATACAAGGCTCAGTTTTTCATTCTGCGTCGTTTTTCGATATTTTGTAACGGTTTGGTCAAGGATGTTTGCAACAGACAATTACTTAATCTCGCGCATGTTCTTAGATTGCGTGGTTACTGGCTGCACAGGAAAAGGACTGTTACCTAAATATCGTTAACAAAAATATATACAGGTCTTCCTATATTGATTAAATACACGACTGCCATTTCATTATTTCTATTAAACAGCATGAAAAGGTAATTTCAAAACTCTTGAAAAATTTTTTCTTGAAGCTTTTCTCTCTCATTGCCCTCTCTGTATGTAGTGATGTCATTATAATCAACGGAATACGTGCATGTGACATGTGGTAGTTTTTAACCAGCACGATGCCCTATTTGGAATAATGGATAAAAAAAGATTTATGCCTTGGTTTTCAAGAGCTATGGTAGTTTTTTCCTTCTACAGCAGTAAATCCTTTCACATATTTATCAATTTACTTTTCACTACATAAATATAAGAGGTGTTTTTTCTTTGATTTTGAACGATGTCAATAAGGCTTTTTCCAACATAGAGAAAATCACGATTAATGGTCAAAAAGATAACATAATTGTTAATTAAACTTTGATGGAACAATGTCAAGAACTTCAAAGCGTTAAAATGCATGGTATGTAGGTAGTTTCCTATGTTCATATGAAACAAGTGCTTGTGAAATGTTGTACATATCTTTTACGTTGAGTGCTTTGACGTATATCTGACATTCCACACGCATGCTCGATATTTTTTTTGAACTGCGAGGTGTGCTGTTCTCATCTTATCGGACCAAACAAATCTTACACACGAGTGTGTTTACAGCTCACATGATAACGTTTTTCATTTTTTCACTTATCAAGCAAAACAACAGCTGATTTCACTTCAACTCAATGGAGTTTGCGTTATAATCGTCATCAGATTACGCCTGATCCAATTAACGCACGCTCTTTCATCCAAATTCTAGTCATGAAATACTTTTTAATCTACATACAAAATATATAAATGGAACTCGTGATCCAAGTTTTTTTCTAGTAAGTGCACAGTTTAAGCAAGTCAAAATTGCAAAAGGATTGATATAACAGAATACCACATGTAATTTTTTATATAAGTGTTCTGCTTTGACATCTGTTTTTCTTGATCAATGTTAATCGATATTTTCCGACTGCGGGTGCAAAAACGTTGTGCTGACGTGACCTTTTTGCTGCTTTTTTCATTTTGAAATTTAATCTGTAAAGTGATGCAAAAGCTTTTCACGATAAAACTCAAGTAGCCGTTAGCTGAAGTGCTCATAATTGACTTCATATCTGTCTTCGTTGTGCGCCGCGTGTACTACGCATATCTTGAACAGACAAAATCATGAAGGTGTATTCTTCTTGGTTCTCATTACTTCTTGTCTTTAAGTTTCACGCAGTTTGCGTAAATGCAGATATTCATAGCATTCTGCGGCAGATTTACGACGAAGAAAATTCGCCAAATATCACAGTGGCCGAGAAAAGAAAGTTAGACGAATACCGAACGGCTATGGTGAAACAGGAAATTTTGAGAATGCTTGGACTCAAAAGCCCTCCAAATATGTCCATCACATCTCGCGTTCCAAAGAGGTTGCTTCATACTGTTCTAAAAGATGAAAACAAAATCAAGACACGGAAAGTCTCAAAGGAAGTAATTGTTATTGCGGAGCCAGGTATATCAAAATTTTCTCCAATAAATTTGCAGCAATAAGCGCTTTGTTCATCGTAATGAGATATAATTAAATACGTTTCAGATTATTGCTCAATAAAGATAGATTTAAGCTTTTACGATTTGGCTGTTGCATGTTTGTTGAACTAATTTATTGAGCAAACAAATATTCTATTTAAAGAAATTAACGCAATAGGTCTCATTATTGTCAATTACAGTCACTAATCACTATGTTAAATCTGTCCAAGCGACTTCTTAGTGATTAAGTATCGGAATGTTTGTCAATTCTTTATCGTAGAGCTCCAACTGCTAACTGTTCGATTAAACTCATTTCGCGATGCGTTTTCGTCGCAGTATCTATATAAGGGGCTTAATTACGTCGGCATGTGTATATATAGCTGTATAGGTAACAATTGTGTGAACAATACCTACCATATAAAGTAAAATTTTGGGAAAAGGAAAATAAAAACTGGTATCATGTATTCATGTAAATTCGTTTATTCTTGACTTGTCATTTTAGCCTCAAAAACAATTTGTTGCGAAATTAGTAATTATTTATTATTATACAAACACATTAATCTTGCGATCATACGTACACAATTTGATCGTCTACAACAGGCATTAAATATTTTATTTGATTAAGAATCGTAAAATATTAAAATATATATATATATGTGGGTCGACGAAGACATATGATTTAGGTTATAGGACGACTGTATGATTATATGTGCGCTCGAGTTGTTGCATCCTGTTGGAATATTTGAAGTTGATGAATGGTTCCATCAACAAGCATGTCGACTTATTATTTATGAATTAATTTTCCTTCATTACAAATTTTAGCATTGCAAAGCAATGTGTACCGCGTGTATACGAAAACAATTCAACACAAGGAAATTTTTTTTGTTTCATTGACTTTACCTGCCGTGAAATTTTGTCAGTTTGTTGATTTTCAATTCTTTAAAACCTTGAAATTATTTGGAATCGGAGATTAGCAATTTGATCTTGCGATAATTATAAACAAAACTTATGAAAAAGTTTTGTTATGATTGCATAATGTTGTGAATGGACTGTTTGAATGCGTTTGTGATCACAATCATGCTATCAGTGAAGGGTTACCTCCAATGATAGACACACGTCCTTGTCCAAATAGCTGAACAATCAAAAATGCGCCAGTCCTTAGATATACTATCAAGAGATGGTAGTACGTCACCACAACGTACGTCAATGCTTGTCCATATATTATATATTCCTCATGAGATGAAAGTACTAGTTCTTTGATATACCATCAAGTGCATGATGGAAGTATTAGTTCTAAGATTTTTACTTTCAAGAGATGAAAGAGCATATATTGTCCTCGATATACCATCAAGGGATTGAAGTGCTTGTCCTTAAATATACTATTAATAAGACTACCATGGATGTACTGTCTCATACTGCTAACTATCGAGGGTTTTTTATGTTGGAATCAACGTAAATGTTTTTGAATGTCTTGATTTTTTTACTTGCTCCGTTTATTTCTGATCAACTATCAATGCACGATTTTTTTAACTCACCACATGTTAAAAGCACGCCCAATTGCATTTATCTGTTGTTACTTGAATGCTGGAGATGGAGCTATAAAGGAGAGCATAGGTTTTTATCACTAGCTCTTTTTGATTCAATATGGAAGAATGAATGCATACTAAATATCATTGCAGGAAATACTACTTTCTGCCCTGCAGGTACCGCTATTAGCAGGAAGACTGTGTTATATCGCTCAAGTGGAGATTTGATTGTGTGTGATTGGTTATTTTCACTTAACTGAATCGTTTTGGTGGGCTTAACTACGCGCAAAATGCTCATGCATCTAGTTATTGCTATGTTTTATGTACATGCTAGCATATTTGTTATTTTGGTGAGCTTGCCCTCGATCCATACCACATGTGTAAAGTCATATAGGCACAATCTATTTTTTTGTTAATATAAACCTGTGTGTTGCTTTTAATATCATTCAAATGTTAAGTCAAAAATTTTGGGTGGAACTTTTCACTACATTAAAAGTTTTAAAACTCTTAAAATGCTCTCACGGAAACTCTCAATTTTAAAGGTGTTATCGCAAAGACGAAGTGCGATACAATAATTGGTGCAAAGATTAAACTTTATTTTCCCAATGTTTTTTAAAGGCCGATTTTTGTGACGCAACTGAAAAACAAACAGTAAAGTTCACGTGTAAAAATCAGTTTTTATTTAAGTACTGGCTTTTACTTAAGTATTGTTTGTATTATGTTGCAATACATGTGTCCCTCAGTCCGTGTGACTTTGCCATAAATCTCGACGTTGCATGGAGTCTATTGACCTATTAAATTTTTCGCTATTTTTGTAAGGCTCGAGTGGCTTGTTTTATCAAACTTTTAATTCTATATCCGTAACGGAAAATGCCTTTCTGATGCTTGGGGATTAGTTGGAGAAAGGTGGTTATTCATTGGATGGTAGCTGTAGTTTTCAGTTACATTAAAATCGCTTTGAGATAATGCAGACAAGTTAGCCTGTAAACTAAAGCATCTGCACGATAAAACATGATATTACATCAAATATATTGTAGCTCGTGCATTTTGTAAGCTAAATTTTGTATAGTAAGATCTTCATGTCAACTGTAGGGTACTTTGAGGAGCAATTGCAGTGCGCGCACGGCGTGTATAACATAAAATTCATATCTTCAAGTTGTCGTGTAATTTGAAGTTTAATTTTCAAATAATATAACTAAAAAATTTATTTTTTATTTACATAGTTCAATTCATATATCTTCAGGATGCCAGCATGGTGTCATTAGAAATCCATGATTTATGTTTGCAAGGGTGTAATCACAACTTAATACATTTTACAGGTGTTAATGAAAAAAAAAGGAAATCTCGAAGATCATTTTTCATTCGACTCAACAGCAACGTAGAGCTTCGCGCAATTTCTTCAGCGGTGTTGGTCATACCTCGTGATCAATTGTTGCACACAAAGAAAGCACAACTCAATCATCGTTCATTATTCATAAGAATACATGGGTTGTCCCATTCACTCGACTTTCTTAAAGGTTATCCTGACGCCATCAAAATTCGCAAAGGAATCGTTAAGTTGGACATAACATCAATTTTGAAAGCAAAACCAAAGACCAGCAACGGTTTTGTCAGAAACATTTCTATCGAAGTTGTTTGCGAGAAGTGTAGAACGTTTTCCGCTTTTTCCCGTAAAATCAAAAAACGACGTCCTGTCGTGATATTTCGTCTTAAGTCGCTGACAAAAATGCGCAAACAACGTTCCAATTGCGCAGGAACTTGTTGCTTGCAAAAGTACATGGTAGACTTTAAAAAACTTGGCTTTTTCTTCGTTATGCAACCCAAGAAATTTGCTTTGAACTTTTGTCGTGGTTCATGCCAGCCACATTCTCCTCAAATATTATTTATGAATCGTATAAACTTACTGCAACCAAGTAGTTCGTCTAATCCAAACGACAGTTGTTGTGTTGTAAGTTCTTTTCGCCCACTTTCAATACTTTATCAAGATGACAACGGTAGCATAAATAAAAAAGACCTACCAAATGCTGTTGCAACTGGTTGTGAATGCTCATAACAATAAAACGACGGCAACTCTCGCAACAAGCAGCTGGTAATGCCTGACACAAAAGTATTCCCTACATATATATATATATATATATATATTACATATATATTACATATATTTAAGACAATTTAAGGAAACAGGCCAGTTTTTTAATGTCCTTTATAATTATTTGAAAACGGGTGCTTCTATTGATAACAAAAAGCATAAAAAACGATTCTCTTGAGAGAACATTAGAATTACAAAACAAGTATTTTGTTAATATTAACCGCTCCTTGCATATTGTGTGTAAATATTGTCGGCATTTAATGGATAAGAGTGCCTCCTCAACTACCAATCAACTTGAACTCTTCATCTAAACAAACATTATTTAGCCATTTTAGAAATATGTACATCGGAGTATATATTAGACTTCTAGGACTTACAAAATGTCATGTTGTCTTGTTTGTACAGAATATACGTAAAATGAGACATACCAAGTTTTCATTTAAACGAATAATGACAGGTATCGGATTTTATTGTACTGACTATAACGCGTATCATATATCGTACTCATGTGATCTATTGAAGTAATGAGACTTGATGACACTTGATGTATTAAACATTGTGTATTAAATTTACTAAACTAAACAGCAGAGTTTGTGTTTCTTGTTGGACATAGCTGGGTCTCTTCGTGACTGGTGAGTTGAGATTTAACTACATTGTGTAAACTCAAGGAAAAGCACACAATTGAAAATGAATGCCACGTATAACTTTGCTATATACATCTGCTCCAGCTTGCATAACATGTGCTTCAACGTTTGGTTTCGTTTCGAAACACATATTGAAAACGTATGCGTAATATAAAATGCGTAATTATTTACTAAAGTTTGTAGAATTACCTGGAATCCAAATATGTTCATTGAAAATTGCATGAACGGTATATTTTGCCGTTTGCACTAGCTAAAACAGGCCTAAATCTCGAGCAACGTACGTCATTGCAAATCCTTTACAAAAGCCTAACAAGCGCAGTTTTGTTGTTCGGTTAAACTAAAAAGCTAAGCTGGGTTTTAATCATTGATGCGTGAAGGTTTGCCTCCATAAAAGCGAAAACAATTCTTTTTTAGAAGATTCACGGCCCGGCAACAGCTTCCTTGATTAATGATTTTCACATAAAATAAGAAACCGTTGTTTTCAAAAGGCAAAAACTATCTGATTTCTTTCTACTTATTCTTGTAATTTTTCATTTACAATAGATTATCACAATAGCGAAAGTAATATAAGATAAGTAATTCAGGCAAAGTACAGGCTGCTTTGTAGCGTACCAAAATAATTAAAAAAATATATGATTTTAGTCAATTTACGATTGCATATCAACGACCGAACGCATATAATTACTTTTTCGCGTGTTGTGCTTTTTCGTTCAGAGCTTTTTCTATTTTCTGAGGCAGTTAAATTATGCTGTTAACCTTTTAGTCATTAAATAGTCTAAAGCAAGCCCTTCGCCGTTGCAGTTGGTGCATATTTTTACTTATTTTTTCATGCCTCAGTTTGACTCAAGATAAGATTAATGTCGAATGGTTTTTAGTTAAGTGAAATCAAGAACAGCAATAAATGACAAATTGTTTTATATATTTGCAATGAGAATAACGATAGCACTAATTTGAAATAATATCTCGCAAATATTTTACGTAATTCTAAACGCAAAGTTGGCAATGAATAAAGTTAATATTATATTTACACGGAATGTATTTGGCAGACTGCGGAGTGTTATACATTCTTAGATTTCGCTTTCGTGCATTGAAGGTATTTGATTCTCATGCTTCAATAGCTCAATAGGCGTACTAAATTTCCAAAAGATTACAGTTTTAGATTTACCTGCCAAGTCTCACGCATTATCCGTGTGGCACACGCCTCAGCATCAAGTTTCGATTACAAAATTTCAAATTTAGCACAATTGCAAATGGCAATCGCAAAATGTTTTAACAGTTTTTGAAAACAGATGTTTTATAAATTTTAATATTGATTGCCGTCAGTTCTGCTAAATTTTCATTACAACGAGGCTATCTGTTTCTCGAAGTCTTATTGTAAAATATGTTTAATACCCAACAAAGTTTTATGACGTTAGAGGTCGACAATGAAATTTGATCACTTCCTTTTAAAAGGTGAGATTTTTATGGCTCATTGCGAGCTCTAGTAACTGCAGTTAGACTGTAAAATATTTTCCAAGAACGACAGAAATGGCATTTCACAAACCCAAAATTCAAATTGTGAGGAAATACCGTCTGACCTCCCCTTTTAAACGTGCATTAAAAGAAAACCAGATCTATTATGTACAAAAATGTATAGTAGATGCAGGTTTTTTCATTCAATATATAAATTGTGTGAAATAAAATCTACCCCACACATCTTTTCAGTTTATTTGAAAATTTTTTAATACTGTGTATGTGCACAGCACATTGGATAACTAGCAAGTAGGATTGAAATCAACATCGTTCAAAAGATTTTCTTCAAGAAGCAGAAAAGTCATATGAAATCAGTAGAAGTTGAAGTAAAGCTGAAGAATAAGGACTTTAAAATGACAAAATGAGAAAAGTACAATTGATTTATGAACGCGTGAGAGACTGAGCCTTGAAGAGTGATGGCGAAGAAATGATGGCTTCAGTTTTTTCTGACTTCTGTCATTTTTCCATTTATCTAAACATCCAGTTCACTGTTTTAAAATTAACGTACTTTGCCGTGGTATGGCCGAAATCCTCGTTCCAGGTCTATTTTCGGTCAAATTAAAAATGGCTGCCCATATGCAACTCCGTTTTTAAATGCTACTGCCATAGTCAATTGTATTGTACTTTAATCAACAATTATTGGATAAGGCTGACTGCTGAGCATATAGTTACAGAATACTATGAATTATTTGTAAATTAAACGTCATCGAATTGATAATTTAAGGAACTATTTTCTGGTGGCTAACCAACTAGAACAATGATTAAAACCGAAATTGCTTATATAGTGAATAATAATTGTATTTAATTGTACCAGCCTATTGAAAATGAGCACCATGCGAAATTCAATACAAGTAAGATATAATATGCGTAATACCTCGTCCATTCCTTTTAAACTATATATTTTTTTGTTTTAATTTTTACATGGCATATCAATCATTTTATCAATCAGTTATGGTAGGTCTTTTAATCCAATTAACTTTATATGGTTTATCAAATTATGTTGTTTATTTTTTTCGATAATTTAGAAAGATGTTTAGTATTTTGATAACCGCCCTCTTACTCCATTTCTCATCTGCTGTGAATGTAGCAGTCAGCCCATCCTCGTTACTTGAAACTATTCCTGGAAAACACGGAGATAAGGTTAGCAAAACGAATTTTTCGCCGTAAATTTATTTACTATCGTAAAAGTCGCCAATGTTGATTTCGTACCTTCCAACATAAACTGTTTTACATTTTTCTTTTAAAATGTAAAGAAATTCAGATTTTTTGATTGATGTAGTGAATGATTGATGACGCTTTTTTTACTTCCACTATGCAACGGTGACAGTGTTATCTGTCTCCATATTGATTGCAGCTACATTTTAGCCTCACACCAAGTTTACATAAAAATTATCAAAACATTTAAAAAGTTTAAAAATGAACCATCGAAGTTCGAACGAAGAGTTCGAACAAACAAGCCACGACATACCATTACAAGCCACGACATACCATTAGCCACGACATACCATTAGCCACGACATACCATCATCATTTACAAACATATGACATACCATTCTTAAAAAAACACAGGACCCAGCAAAACTGACAAACATAATGTATTTCTTCCTCTTAAAAGGAAAGAACAACTTCAAACAGAATATTTCCGAGTACGATTTGATTATCTCTTCATTAAAAGAACAAAGTCTACATCATAGACACCTCTCAGTTAAGCTTCAAAGTGTACAACACATAAACCTTTAAGCCAACCTTCAAAGTTCATATGTCCTTATTTTGGGTTTTAAGCGATTTTGATAGACTTTTGAATATTTTCTTTTAGTAACATGCGTATTTCCAAAGTTACAACGACTCACATACAGATTTTGGAAAAAAGTAGCGAACACTGCAGAACTGGAATACATTTTGTGGAAATTATTGAGTTCATTTCGCAGTACACTTTTTTTGTACCTGCGCAGTGTTAAAACAGTTATAAACAAGGCATGTTTCGCAAATGTTTACCATATAATTTGTATATTGTTGCTGAAAGTGTATTTCTGGGATCCAGAACTTTGAGTGCGCTTAATCTGTGTTTGAGCTGTATTTTTTCGGGAAATATTGTATGTGCGTTAAAACTGATTTAGAAATTGTTTATTAACTTTTTTGAGATCTGCCAGGATAAAAAAATCCAAAACGAGGTTATAAGCACATTAACTACATTTCATACTATAAATAAGTTCATATTGTGTTAAAAAAGGTACCAGCACTTAATAGTAACACTACACGTCAAGTAAGTAATACAATGCAAGTTTCATTTTTCTAAATAGAATTCCAGGTTGTCTTTTTGCTTTCCAAAACGTTTCATAATTTTGCATATATGAAACTTCTATATTTCTGTGTGTTAAAACTGATTTAAAAATTGTTTATTAACTTTTTTGAGATCTGCCAGGATAAAAAAAATCCAAAACGAGGTTATGAGCACATTAACTATTTTCCCACAAGAAATTTCATAGTATTAATAAGTTCATGTTGTGTTCTACGTAAGTTACATTTATCTAAACAAAAGCTTTATTAATTTATGAAATATAGGTAAATTTGGTTCCATGTAACAGCACTGCTTATTGTCAAGATGGAAATACCTGTTGTAAATTACTTAGCGGTCAATGGGGATGTTGTCCTTTGAAAACGCAGTTTGTTGCTCTGATGGTATTCACTGTTGTGAGAGTGGGTACGTCTGCGTACAGGGGCGATGTTATAGAGATTCAAATGTTCGTCCGATGTTGAAAAAAGTACCAGCACTTAATAGTGATACTACACGTCAAGTAAGTAATACAATGCAAGTTTCATTCTTCTAAATAGAATTCTGGGTTGTCTTCTTGCTTTCCAAAACGTTTCATAATTTCGCATATATGAAACTTCTATATTTCCACGTGTATGCTTCGGTTGACGTTCAACGGATCTAACATGACCATATGTGATTAAACGTATGATGATGATGTACAAACTGGTGATTTGACTTTCAAGTAAAAATATTGATTGTGGTTAGGGCCTAGAAAGTTTGGAAAATGATACATTTCTAGATTATCTGGTCGTTAATTGAGTTTCCTCATCTAAAACTTGTTTTTTATTCCAATGAACCAATCAATGGACTAAAGGTTTCACTTGCCATGATCGTACAGATTATTAAAAGCAGATGAGTTACTTCATGGTAGTTGTAGAAAAGTGAAAAAAATTAGTCTAGCGTGAACTTACAATCCTTTAAACTTAAAATGTTTGTTGCATGAGAGAGACGGGTATTGGATATATATTATCAAAAGCTTAATTTAATGTGTTTTTGTATCAAATGTTTAATATCATCATTTTAATATTAAGAAAAAGGCTAATCTCTTTTCATGTAGTTTTACTGATTTTGTGAACAATTATTTCGGCGATACATCAATGAAGGTTTACATTCTATATATTAACTGAATTTTGGACTATTTGTTAAGGAAAGACATATAGATGCACATAACCACCATTTCTTAAATGCAGTACGTTTTATCAATGCAGTACGTTTTATCAAAGCATAATCTTTCATCAATGCAGTATCTTTCATTGATGCAGTATCTTTCGTTGATGCAGTATCTTTCATTGATGCAGTATCTTCCATTGATGCAGTATCTTTCATCGATGCAGTATCTTTCATTGATGCAGTATCTTTCATTGATGCAGTATCTTTCATTGATGCAGTGTCTTTCATTGATGCAGTATCTTTCATTGATGCAGTGTCTTTCATTGATGCAGTATCTTTCATTGATGCAGTGTCTTTCATTGATGCAGTATCTTTCATTGATGCTGTGTCTTTCATTGATGCAGTGTCTTTCATTGATGCAGTATCTTTCATTGATGCAGTATCTTTCATTGATGCAGTGTCTTTCATTGATGCAGTATCTTTCATTGATGCAGTATCTTTCATTGATGCAGTGTCCTTCATTGATGCAGTATCTTTCATTGATGCAGTGTCTTTCATTGATGCAGTATCTTTCATTGATGCAGTATCTTTCATTGATGCAGTGTCCTTCATTGATGCAGTATCTTTCATTGATGCAGTGTCTTTCATTGATGCAGTATCTTTCATTGATGCAGTGTCTTTCATTGATGCAGTATCTTTCATTGATGCTGTGTCTTTCATTGATGCAGTGTCTTTCATTGATGCAGTATCTTTCATTGATGCAGTATCTTTCATTGATGCTGTGTCTTTCATTGATGCAGTGTCTTTCATTGATGCAGTATCTTTCATTGATGCAGTGTCTTTCATTGATGCAGTGTCTTTCATTGATGCAGTGTCTTTCATGGTTGCAGTGTCTTTCATTGATGCAGTATCTTTCATTGATGCAGTGTCTTTCATTGTTGCAGTATCTTTCATTGACGCAGTGTCTTTCATTGATGCAGTATCTTTCATTGATGCAGTGTCTTTCATTGTTGCAGTATCTTTCATTCCCGCAATATCTTTCATTGACGCAGTGTTTTTTATCAATTACAATACCTTTCATTGATGCAATGTCTTTCATTAATGCAGTATCTTAATTTCTTCAATGTGGTACCTGTCATAAATGCAGCATATCTCTCATGAATGCAGTATCTTTCATGAATCAGTGCAGTTCCTTAGATTGATGCACATGTCGTTGAAGCAGTATCTTTTTTTAGTATTCTTGAACGTTAATTGGAAAGCTTGGAAATTGATAAATTTCTGCATTTCGGTTACATTGATTAGGTAAACTCTGTGATTTGTGATGCGGGTGCTGCCGAATGTCCTGATGGTTCAACGTGTTGTAAATTACCTAGCGGTGAATGGGGATGTTGTCCTTATGAAAACGCAGTTTGTTGTTCTAACCATCTACACTGTTGTCCTGAATCTACCACTTGTGATGTTTCTCAAGGCAAATGTTTATCAAAGGATCAGAACACAGAATTGGTTTTAAGAAAGATAACGGTTCCAGTCCAAAAGGTAAAAATTGACCTGAAATACTCTTCATAAAATATATTCTCTCTATATTTAAATATATACATATATATATGCTGTACTGTTAATGCAATAAAAAGCTTTATTAATTTATGAAATATAGGTAAATTTGGTTCAATGCAACAGCACTGCTTATTGCCAAGATGGACATACCTGTTGTAAATTACTTAGCGGTCAATGGGGATGTTGTCCTTATGAAAACGCAGTTTGTTGCTCTGATGGTAGTCACTGTTGTCCTGAATTTGACACTTGTGATGTTTCTCAAGGCAAATGTTTATCCAAGGATCAGAACACAGAATTGGTTTTAAGAAAGATAACGGTTCCAGTCGAAAAGGTAAAAATTGACCTGAAATACTCTTCATAAAATATATTCTCTCTATATATAAATATATACATATATATATGCTGTACTGTTAATGCAATAAAAAGCTTTATTAATTTATGAAATATAGGTAAATTTGGTTCAATGCAACAGCACTGCTTATTGCCAAGATGGAAATACCTGTTGTAAATTACTTAGCGGTCAATGGGGATGTTGTCCTTTTGAAAACGCAGTCTGTTGCTCTGATGGTATTCACTGTTGTGAGAGTGGGTACGTCTGCAAACAGGGGCTATGTTATAAAGATTCAAATGTTCGTCCAATGTTGAAAAAAGTACCAGCACTTAATAGTAATACTACTCGCCAGGTAAGTAATACAATGCAGTCTTATTTTGCTTAATAAAATTTCGGATTGTCTTCTTCCTTTCCAAAACGTTCAGATGAGAGAGACAGATGTTCAGAATTTGAGTATGTATTATTGAAAGCTTAATATAATGTATTTTTATGTGGAAAGTTTAATAGTATCATTTTTTATCATTTTAATACTATCATTTTATTTTGTCATTTTAAAATTTCATTTTTCAATGTTATCATTTAAAAGTTATTATTGTAAAAATAAGATGATGATATTATCATTTTATCATTTTCAAAAGCTTAATCACTTGATGAATTTTCGCTGATTTTTTAAAACAGTTATTTTTGGTATATATAAATACACTTATTTCAATATAAACTGGATTTTTCACATTATGTTAAGCAAATACATATAGATGCACATAACCACCATTTGTCGATGCATTATGTTCATCAATGCAATATCTTTCATAAGCGCGATATATCTTTCATGAATGCAGTATCGTTCATTATTACAGTAGCTTTTCTCAATGTAGTACCTGTCATTAATGCAGGCTCTTTCCGAGAGTTCTTCAATTGCAAAGACTCTAAAGCCCGTATTTATAAAAAAGCTTGGAAATTGATAAATTTCTGCATTTCTGTTACATTGATTAGGTCAACTCTGTGATTTGTGATGCGGGTTCTGCCGAATGTCCTGATGGCTCAACTTGTTGTAAATTACTTAGCGGTGAATGGGGATGTTGTCCTTATGAAAACGCAGTTTGTTGTTCTGACCATCTACACTGTTGTCCTGAATCTACCACTTGTGATGTTTCTAAGGGCAAATGTTTATCAAAGGATCAGAACACAGAATTGGTTTTAAGAAAGATAACCTTTGCACTCCAAAAGGTAAAAATTGCGATAATCTCTATCCGGCTCCAGATGCATAAACTTGTGTTATTTTCTGTTTCTACTTATGACTCACACCTTGTCTAACACTTTTCATCACCATTTGGCAATTGTTTGATAGCAACAAATACACTATCTATAGGCATAAACTTACTTTCAAGCAGAACACTCTCTTGCACCCACACCCCACCCCCCCGTCTGGAGTTTAATTATGACTTTATATGAAACAATTAAGCAAAAGACTAGAAAAACAGTTTCACTCTAAGCGTAGAACGTCACCCGATTGATGAAATCAAGATTATGTTTTATCTATTTATTTCTTCTTGCATAAGGCATCAAAAAATGCAGTTTCTATACAAAGTACAAACCGCTCTCAAATTTTTCAAGTCGACTTTTCTGCTTGTTTTTATTTTTAGATTAAGTGTTAACTAAAGCATCCGAACTAGCAAAAATCCAGTGATAATTTCCTGAATGTATACATAACTTAACATTAAAAATTCATCTACTTTTTCCTGATGCACCCTGCATACATCTATATAAATCTTTCTTGTTTTTCATATGTACACGATATTTGCTATAGAGCAGCCAGATCAAATGTGTTGATTCTCATTGCTCTTCTTACGAAACATGCTGTCAACTATCAAAGAATGAATGGAGCTGCTGTCCAATAACAAATGCTGTTTGTTGTCCAAGAAGTAGAACATGTTGTCCTGAAGGTTACAGATGCAACCATAGAACTCTATCTTGCTCTCCAGTAAAGGGAAGTGTATTTATCACCAAAAATATACCTGCAGTATTAACTGTATCAAAGGTAAGCATTGATTCTCCATTGTAATTACTTTAATTGTATTATATGCTCTACTCTACTCCGAGATTGAGCACTTTTCGTCGTATTTATGTACATACATATAACTTTGAAATTATTTTTAAACCATGATCAAAATGATTCACTACACAGTGTTTGACGTCTATCGGCGATCTTCAGGCGAATAAAGACGTTATCACTAAACATATGTACACGTCATACAGATGATTGCGCTCAATATTTAAATTTAAACCAAAACAATTAGGCGCGCAAAAACACTTCGCAGCAAATTTTTTTTCTGTGACGACATTTTGCAAACATCTCACATCTTTTGTTCAGTAATAAGTACTGATTTGACTCTGTAATTTTAAGTTTTTCCTTCAAACATAGACAACGCGATTTACTTCCAGCTTTTCTTGATGGTGCGCACTTGACTATAGACCATGAGACATTAAACGTTTGTTCAGTTCCTTGAGTTGCAACGCATATTTAGATAGCTCACTTTTATTTTGGTGATTGAAGTGGAGTAATGACTTGGTATGTTTGTTGTGGAGCTCTTCGGCTATTGACTTTCTATGTTGGGTGAAAGCAGAGCTAGAGGGACAAATTTCAAAAATTCAAAATAGTGGCAAAATTCTATGGCAGGGGGGCTCCAGTCCTTTTGCGGCTCAAGGTTGTAGTAAGATGCAAAGATGATGTCTGAATGTAATGTAATACACCATTAAAAATATCAATTTCCTCATAAAAATCGTATATATCATGAAAAAGTTTGAACCATGAATCTCAATGGAATGCTCCAGATCAATAATATGCTGCAGCTTTCACTTTACCAAAGAAAAGAAAAATCCATTAAATCGTTGAAGCAAATTTTGTGGCAACAAGTTTTTACAGAATTTTGTTCTTCTGCAAAACGCTGATTCATTTTAACGGTTTTATTGTAGTAGTTTTTATACAATGTAAAAAGTATTTTTAGACGATTCGTGACTTGCTATATGTTGATTGGCATTTACTATTTCGTGTTAGCTACGTATCGCTAAGAGTATATACATTCTAATTTTACTGTTTAACTTCACGTTTTGTTTTTTCTGTGCAGAATGAACGAACTTTTAATTCGCATGAGGATGTTTCCACTTTTTGAAATCAATGAAATTTGGCAAAATTTCCTGTGAAAGAAAGTTCCGACAGCTGAACGAACCAATTAACTATACGAATGTTGTTTTTAGGTAAATGAGGTAGAATGCCCTGGAGGTGAATATTCTTGCAAAGATGGAGAAACGTGCTGCTCACTGGGGAATGAAAAGGGATGGGGTTGCTGTCCATTAAAAGACGCAGTATGCTGCTCAGATCATGAACACTGTTGTCCTAAAGGGTTGATGTGTCATGGGAGTAAATGCATAAAATCACCTGGTGTTATGCAGCTGTTTAAGAAGCAACATGCAATTAAGGTATACATGTTATTTTTATCGATACATTCATTGATACCTTAATTCCTGTTTACAGAATTGTTTATGTTAGTTTCGTTAGGCAAACGCACCATGCTATAGAATAACATCTTTAAACTCAATGCAAAAATTAATTTTTGATACAAGCACACATCTGCATTGCCTAAAGCAATGAGTCGTATAAATGAAGAACTGCATGGTCCATGATAATCAAATGATTCCATGTATTTCAATAACGATGTTTAGTGATTGTGTAAATCTTGAGGTGGAACTCAAGACGATGTCACATTTTTCATCGCTTATTGCCAAGGAAACCTTAATTTGCCAAACGTTTTGGACTTTGCATATGGTATTGTTAGGTTTTTGGCTGCTCATCGTTGATAGTGACCTAAGTTGGCTAAATGCAGCCCATAATCGAATTAACAGCGAAATTATTCTACTGTTTATTCTTATACTGCGAGAATTGAGAAATGTCATTCGTTTTGTTGTAGAATAATGTGGCAAATCTCTCTAGATTGTACAAAATCTTTCCTTTTAGGCAAAGAAACCATTGCAGATCTGATGATATCTTGATTTATGAAATTACCAGAAATTTTGAATGACGTACGACTCATATACAAATATTTAGTTATAAAATTTAGTTATAAAAATGATTTTTTGCAAAATTAGCACTATGCCCTTTAAAGCTGTTATTGCTTTTCCCATGGTATCTCTTTACTACTTAATTAAAATATAATTAAATCATTAATTTGTTTTGAACTACACGAGATTTTTTCATTGAAGTTTTCTATGAAAAAGCACCTTTGTTATTTTGTTGGCAATGTTGTGCCCCAACAATTATCGGAAAGTTTTTTGTTCAACATAAAGAATTCGATGTTCCAGAGATATTTTGGATCTATCAGGATCATCATTCATGAACAAGTAGGAAAGAATCAAAGAACAAGAATAGACAGTATATCTGTCTCTTGCTCATGGCGATGTAACTTAATTTGTTTTCAGAAGTGGTCAGCTTACCGCCTAAGATATCAGCTGAAACGCATTCTTCAATATTCTTCATTATCCTTTCCCATTACTCTTCTGATCTCTTTGAAATGTGATTGGATCCTCGTGTGTTGTGATATTCTTGTGACATGCCCGTCAATTGGATGAATTTCATTTTTTGGGAGTTCATAGCCAATGACCTTGTTATACAGGTATTTCGAATTTGAAATTAGCGGTTGTCTATACACTTGTATCTAATGCTATGCTGAATATTAATGTAGGTAATATGTGTAAGATAATTCCCGAATTCCAGGTGTTATTGAAATTTTTGAATTTATTTGCATTTCTGGAGATTATAGCAAAGATTCTTTTAGAGATATCTTGCTTGACATTATGTGGAGTGATCTAAGATTCTTTTAGAGATATCTTAGATCACTCTTAGAATCTTAGATAAGAGTTATCTAAGATTCTTTTAGAGATATCTTGCTATTTTTTGTTTGACATTATGTGGAGTGAGGATGTCCGCGAATAATCAAGTTGTTAAAGAAAATATTTTAGTTATTCTAGTGAAGTCTGTGTATTTTGAAGACGACGAGCCGGATGTATTCGGTCGTAGTTTTTGGAGTTTGGACTTGTTAGAAGAGCAGAAGAGTTTGTGCCCAGCCGTAGAGAGGATAAAAGTCGTGGCTGATATATAAATTGACGCTGCCGAAAACGGGAAAGGCACAGTGGTAAAAAACATGGAAGGAAGGTGAATTTCGTTGAATTTAAATTAGTAGCTATTTTACTTCACAATTATAGAAAAAAATTACTAGCGACTGGTTTGAGATTCTCGGAAATAAAAGTATCAAGCGAATTTTTCCTTAAAATGCTGAAAAGAAAGTGTTACGAGCATACAGATTGTTTCAAGTTTGGTGAGAATGACGTTGAGAAGCCGGTTTTTTACGAAGGAAGGGACACGTTCTTTGGCAGACAGTGCTATACTCAAATGATTCATGAATCAGATACAGATAAAATTTAGAGTTTGACTTGAAAGAGGTATTAAATCAATTTTGAATTATGGAAGTGATTTTTTTAAATGATCGAATTCATTTTTTTAAATAATATCCTCCTTTTTTTGATTAAATTAAGGTAGTAAACGATGTACGGTTGAATTATTCAACAAGTCGTTTATTGAAAAAGAACCAGTTGAAAACAGTGAAAGGGTGCATTAAATCTTGTATATATTTTGAACATTTAAGTGTACCCCCCTCCCTCTTATCAAGCTGGCTACGTCACTGGGAATAACGCATTGACATCATTTATTTGAACACAACACAACTGGGAAGCTCCCTCCCTCCCTACCTCCAATATTTGAAGACAACAATTTTTAACTAGTCCCAGTTTTTCCACGCACGGCACAAGTTCATAACGACACTAATGCTAAAACGCGGGACTTTACCGTCTCTTGGCTTCATCCAAGTTCAGGAATATGCACGTAATAGTAGCCTGCCAATGAATGACATACACTCAATGGACCATTTACGATTGTCAGACATACATACAAATTTATATATAATATCCATGACACCCTCAAAACATATTAAGACATGTAACAGCAGAACGCTTAGATATAATAAGTTTTATAAATAAGCGTTCGAAAGCTCGTCAAACAGCATCTTTAAATCTTCATTTGCATTGCCTACTGAAAGATAACACTGTTCTTCACATCTTCTAAATTCCTCTTTTGAAAGCTAAATTTTTCTTTGGACTTTGATTTCCTTAATGACGTATTTGGTGTATTACATTACAATCAGACACATGATGGTCGATCTTTGCGTCTTACTACAAGCATATGACCCTCACAAAAACTCACTGGTAATTGGAGTGCTCTTCAGTCCTCGGTGATCTGATCATCTCGATAACGCACAGACAAAGTCGCTCGAATTTGAATCTACGTTAATTAAGGTAAACGTTTTCATGGATGTATATATTTTTGATTTATACAAATATATTCTACGAATTCTTTTCAATGAGAGATTTTTATTGCATCTACGCACTAAAGATAATTCAATTTTCTTAGCTGTGACATTTTTTATAAATTGACTTTCGGCGATCATAACTTCATATTAACTAAATAGTAAACATCTATTTATTTATTGTTTGAGTCACATTCGCATGATTAACTTTTCGTTCAATCTCATCAATGCCACTCGTTTGTTGAGGTACAAAAAAATAATAAAATCCTTTGGCGAATGGTTTCTCAATAATTTTTGTGTCACATGAATGACAACAGATAGCGCTTGTGGATATCACACGCACTCATCAAATTCTTTTGAACTCTACATAATGTTTTATGTGATGCATTATGTATACTTTTTCATGTATTGTTTTGTGTGTACTGTTTAATGTATTGAGTTGAATGTATGGTTTTATATATTGTAATGTATATATTTCTGTCACAAACGTTCTCTATTGTTTCTCAATAGGTCATATTTATTCTTGCAAAACTAGACACTTCTTCCTTTCCCTTCTAGTTTTAAGGATTCTAGTTTTAAGAATTTGTAATTAAATTTTAATTTTCCTGAGATATAAGTAATTCAATCGATCTTTGCAATAACATATTTATCTAAAATCGTCATATGAACTGTTCCGGGGCGTGAAATCTGAATGAGAGTGTTGTTTTATTGTAGTTTTTTTTCTAAACCACAGCAGAATTTGAACAAAAAATGTTCGATAAATACGATATGCCTATGTTTCGTTTGTTAAATTTTGTTAATTGCCCACCATTCCTGCGCTTTGTAAATAAACCAATCGTTTCCATGGTATAATCAGGTCTCTTGATATGAAATGATTTCTGTTTCAGTTAGAAGCACAGAAAAGTGTGGTAAAAATGAAATTGGTGTGGATTGTTGTTTGTGCTCTGATCCTTAACCATATGATCTTTGTTGATGGCATTGGCGGCGATATCGAGGTAGCTTTGTAATGCTGGCATCCCACAATATTCGTGACAATTTCTGCATGAAATTTTATTCTTGGAAAATTATTTGACTTTCGCAATATTAGGATTAAAAGACTTTTTCTGATAAGAATCAAGCGTTTCATTTTAACTGCATCATATTTGGAAAAACTGTCACCTTGTATTGCAGCTATGTTTAGTTGTGAATTATATTCAACAACACACAGTATTTTACATAAAAGAACGCAATGAACATGGATTCATGGCTTAAACAATTATAGCCAAAATTGAAAGATCAATTTTTCGTCTAGTTTTTGGCAAATATTCCACTCCATAACAATCTATGGCAGATCACTCTGTATGCCTGTAGCACAGTAGCTACACTTTAAGCAAAAACAAAAAAATAGAATTGACTGGTTCATTTGTTAAAGAACAAAAGATTAATTTTATAGGCCCTAAACTTCAAATCGCCTTTCATGACAAATTTCGAAATATTATGCCATAAACATAATTCTTATCACACGTATCCTCCTCCTTTGTTTGCTAGACATTTTTCAGTCTGTTTTAAATATTTCTGTTGCACTTCTTTAGAAAAAAAAAGTAAAAAAATGCGAAGACAAACAATACTCTTGTCATGGCAGTGAAACTTGCTGCAAAAAAGAAAATGGGTTCGGATGTTGTCCTGCGGGATGGGCAACGTGCTGTGACGATAAAAAGCATTGTTGTCCGTTTGGATACATCTGTATGATGTTTTTGAAGACATGTATCTTAGTAATTGGAAATGAAACATTGGTAAAAAAAAACTTGAACATACATCCAGTAATATGAGCTTCATTTATTGCTTCATTTTAACAACATTTCTAAAACGTGTATCCTCCTGTGATATTGTCAATCATAAGATTACAATAAAACATGTTTACAAAATTTTCACGAAAGTCTTAGCTAATTTTGCTTTTTTTTCTCATGGGACTTCGTAGTGAGGTAAAACAATGACGAAATAGAATAGCAAAATTTCGTTTGTGCAAGCAGCTTCTTTGGATTTTAAGGTGGTGTTCATAAGAGCCTGGCTAACAGGGATTCCGTGAGGCGTTAAAAATGATTTCGAGGCATTGAAAGGGGGCAAAACTTAAAGCTTAAAAATTACATCTGTTTGTTGAGCTCAACTAGTCATTTCTGTTGTAATTTTCAAATTAGGCCAAACTGGTTGTTTCAATTTTAATTGTTTGCATAGTTATTACATCAGAATATTGTGAAATTGCTCGAGAAGATTTATCCGACGATAAGAATAAAATCGTTTCCATTTGCCAAAATCATTTAACGCCTAACTGAATCTCGGTTAGTCGGGCTCATGTAAAGTTGTGAACAGCCTCTAAATCACTTAAATCGATTCTTTTTGCTTTTATTGATCTTTAGACTCAAAACCTGGTCTCAATGATATAAACGCAGAACAGTTTCAAATTAAAATTCAGTCGAGAAAGAGAAAATTTGGTCACTGGTGCTATGAGAAAAATAGCTTGAACAATATAATGGTGTAACCTTATAAAATATTATGCTTAAAAATATCATATGGGATGGAGATTGTGTTTGAAATTAAGAAATAAAACAAAAAGCCAAAGAAAGTCGTGTTCAATGCACATTAAATTACGTTGCTTGTGATTCTGATAGATGTGCGCATCATCTAAATGCAAAATTTAAATCTCAAATATTTATTAAATCTCAAATATTCTCAACTATATGGTTCCTAAACAAAAAGAATGATAGCATAATGCTATAACCAACAACTACAAACTATAACGACCTTATCTAACAACATTTGAGAAATTAACCTTCCACTCCTCTTCCTTGTAAACGAGACAAGTCTACTCAAAAGCAGAGAGCCTTATATGCTACAAGTCTGCTTTTGAGTAGATTTGTCTCCTTTACAAGGAAGAGGAGTGGAAGGTTAATTTCTCAAATGTTGTTAGATAAGGTCGTGATAGTTTGTAGTTGTTGGTTATAGCATTATGCTATCATTCTTTTTGTTTAATAACATTCCAACTATTTAACCTTGTGATTATATGGTTCCTGACTTCACTCTTCTGCCATTGTCCAGACGATGCCAAATGACTGAAATCGATGCATTTTTGAGGGCGTAAGTTTGGTTTCGAGATTGAGAGGTCGGGAATTGACGTGCTATACAAAAGAACGTGGTATTTCCCGACTGGCTGGTTTTCACATATGACATAACTCGTCAGAATTTATATGTTGTAATTATTTTCAAGGCTGGTTTTGAAAAACATAGCTCGTCATTATGTGATGTACTTCATGTCTCTATAACTCGTTGTAATCGAGGCTTGCAGTAAAATATAATTGCATTTTGTCCATATTGACGGGAATCGTGGTTTTTATTAAAATTAGACTATTGCAAGACTGTTTGTAATTAACTTGAAAAACAAAAAAATAAAATAATTTATATATCGGTTTTCGTATGTCAGATTGTGTATAAGAAAGAAATACATCAAATTACAACTGTGAAAGCGTAATGTACACAAAGGGTAATGCCTTAATCCATGTGAATTTTAAAAAACACTCTTTGAACCTAGCAGATGAAATTGAGCCGCTTATATACTACAATTTTACATGCCACTTGCGTAATGCAAATTTTGTTGTCCCACGAAGAAATTGCTTTTAGCTGTACTCCCTACTCCCCCCCCCCTCTCACACACACAGCCAGCTGCAAAAATCTTGACAACGTCACTGCTCATCACGCTGTATAACAACAACCCACTAGAAAGATATAGGTCAGGCATTTCAAGTGATGACAAGATTTTTTAAAGTAAACATATTTCGGCATTCTTATGCCATCTTCAGTACAACAAATGACTATGCTATCTATTTACAGTTTTATTTATATTATTAAAGTGAGAGTGTATCGAATTAATGTTTTTTGTTAGAGCCTTTTGTAGAATGTACCAGTCGATTTGATTTCGTATAGTTGTAAGTTCCGATGATTTCTTCTTTAGATCATTTTGATCGTTTGACTATAGAAGACAGAAACAATCGATTGCGTATGGCGTGGACATCTTGGTTATCAACATTTGGAAGGGGAAAACAAATAAATTTGGGAAAAACTTCGAACGACTGACAATCTCTTAAAAAATTAACATCCAATTCAACTTTGCGTTTCTTCGTAGATAACTTCTCAAGTGATATATATAGTGCTATTAATGAAATTATAAAGATATAGGTATGATAAATGATGTATGCATGGCTATGGCAGGGGTGTATTGCCAAAATTTTTACAAGGGGGACTCTCTGGCATAAGCTAGCAGAGCGAAAAAAACGTACTGTTTGTTACTGTTTGTATAAACAGTTAAAAAACAGTCATGTTGTAGTAATCTTATAGCTTGCATTTACTGGTACATATAGGAATGATCAAGCGTATAAAAGCACAAAATCATAAGCTTAATGGAGGTGAATTATTGAAGAATTATAAAGGGGAGGGGAACTGAGCCCCCCTAACTTGACAAAAAATTCTAACAAGGGGGGCCAACCCCCTGAGCCCCTCTCCAATACACCACTGGGCTACAAGAGTTCTTAGTACTATAATGCATGAAATAATATACAGCACAAAAAATTAATTCGTTGTTTTTCTTTCGCTTCTTCTTCCTACGCATTACCTCACCCTTGAGTTGTTCGTCACGTGCAGTGGCGGATCCAGAGTACGTCAAAATAAATTACTGCAGCACATTTTGGCGTTTATTTACATTTCTAAACACCTTAGAGGCTAATCCATTGGTAAAATTGTGTTCTTTAGAAATTAAAAACCAATAGTGTTTTTCTGAATGTAATTGGTACAACTGAGGAGCTAAAATATATTTTGACGTTCACTGGATCACGTTAGTCAAAACACTTGTTAAGTGTGTTTGTCATACTTAAAAATAAATGTATTTCTTTTCCTTTTATTTTCAGCATTTGATGTTCTTTGGACGTGTCGTACGTCGCATGCGAGTGTCGTGTGTCAATGGTTTCATGAAACAATGCTTTGTTACAAAAGTTATTTAAAAAAAGTGCTATCTATTTTGGTAGGCGTTAGAGATGCTTCGTAAATTTCACAAAATAACACGTATGAATTGAAATATATTAAAATACACAAAGCGTAAAATATTTGAGGAAGCGAGAAATGTAAGCTCGAGCTACAATGTTAGCACACTGACTGGTTCTCAGAAATGCTTAATTTGTTATTGTTTACGTGTTAAAAAAACATCCATTTCAGATAAGTTTGACTTCGATGGAGTGAAAGTGATGCTCCATAGACTTTACTTTATTATGTTATGATCGTGTTATTACACGTATGAAGTGATACTGAAATGTTATGTTAATAATCGATGCAAGAAATTGTTTCTCTAACGTGATTGGTTATATAACAAAAGCAATATTTGTCCCGCCAAGAAATCTTAACTTGAATTCCTTATTCTGTGACTTGAATGTGGATATGTTTTGAAATTTGAATAGTGTATTGTTGAAATGGTCGCAATATAATATATACATGTTTTACGGTGTTGTCTTTATGTTTTATCTTTTAGGCCGTCAAGAGAAAAAATAAAGGAAGAGAAAACAGCTTACATTGCGGAAAAAACATTAGAAACATTCCAGGTTGACAACTGACCGTAAAGAGGAAATGTTATTTATTTCATATTCAAATTCACAAACCAGACGCCCACATTTGACGCCTGTCGTTTTCACATACACTTAGCACTTTTGCGCGGAATTTCCTAAGAACATAGAATCTATCGATTTTTTGAAATTGAAAATTACAGCGCCATAAAATTACTAATCTAGAGTAGCCGAAGACGCCATGATGTGGAATCAAAGCCAAACATGGCTCTATACGGCATGGTTCGTCGCTATTTTATTCATTCATCATCAAGTGAAATCCGGTAAGAATGTTGTAGAAGAATACGTAATGTGACACAATATTTCTCCGTTGAATCTTTGTATGAAACAAGAAGACGCTATCGAAACGGTTTATCTTATCTATATCCATATTGAAACTATATATTCTATGAAACTATCGGTTGTCACAAATGTATTTTCAAGTATTTTGCAATAATTTTTCAGAAATTTTGATTAGTCATGATAGCTGTTGATGCATCCTATAACTTGAATGGCTTATTTATCCAAGAGACATGCATATTTTTATTTTACTGTTTTATATGGTGGTAAGAACAAACCAACAAATATCGTGCTTTAAAATTTATGGCCGGTTTGCATGTAATTTACTTCCGTGTTGAATGAACAATTTGGTTGAAAATTATATGTATAATTTGATCTCCTAAATGCCATATTGTTAATAACGCAAACATTAAATTTCTTTCAAAGAAATGTTTGGTGGCTAGACCTTTCTTCATATTTCAGTAAACGCTTGATGAACCTGAACTATTTCCCTTAAGTGATTTATTTTCATATATCTTTGAGTGGAATTCATGGAATGGACATTGCTGTACCAATTTATCTGTAAAACATTGCTCAAATCTTGTTAAATTCATTTAATTTAGATAGATTTCTGTTACATCATGGTCTCCATTACATTTTGTTTGTTTTTTATTTAACCATGACCCTAGTAGCATGGTTAAGTAATTGCTTGCTATTTTTGAATGCTTTGTTATTGACATTTTATTTATCAATATGTTATTGCCAACATCTGAACTTAATCAAATAATGCTTTATGCAGTGTGTTAAATGTACAATTTGACCATATATTTACCCCATTGCAGTTAAAACCTGCCATGAATATATGTTGGATATGACAAGAAATATATAAAGTCATTTAAAGTTATTTGTGCCATATTTGTGTGTTGTTTAAAGACTAGCTATGAACAATGTTAAACAAGTCAGTCTTAAAAACTAATTTGTGATAATCTCAACTTCAGTTTTACTGTTCATGCTAATATTGGTCAAATGGTAGCGGAGCAGTGTAAGCTTGTATTTGTTTGATGTAATTGAATAGGTATTTGTCGTAAGAATGAATTTGAGGTGGATTGATAAAAAATAAAACCTTTGTGATTGTGTGGATATTTTCATGCACTTTAGTTCACTGCTGGTTTGTGAACAAGATTGAGTTTTGGGGATAGCTAAAATATTTTTTAGTACATTCTAGTGTTCATAGGTACCAGACTGGAAAGTTTGTAAACTGTGCACTTGAGTTTCGTAATGTGTGTGCATAAAAGCATATTTTCCTCAAAATTATACACCCAAGATCTCAGGTGCTAACTACAAACTTTCCGGTCTGGCAAAGGCTTGAAAACCCTTTTACAAGATTTTTTGTTTATAATGGAAGTGAAACAATTTCTTGTGGCTTTCCAAACATAAACATGTCAACGATTATGAAAGGTTTTTGGAGAAGTTTTAAATTTTACATTTAAATACTACAATAAGTATGCAATAATACTTGTTTGATATTATTTTAGTGTCTCACTTGTAAATTTAGTATGACCATAACCTTTGATCATAATATTTTGCATTAGGCAATTTCCTGAGATAAAAACTAGTGCAAAATTATCATTATGGAGGATAGTTGAGTTTGAAGACTGAATTGAAGATTGAGTGTTTACTACCATAAAGCGATAGTAGAGAAGTCCTTGAAAATATTAGTTGAATATAAACTATTTGCATGAAATTTTTCCAAATCAATATTGAATATATGGTTATTTGATCTGTCAAAAGTTGTTTGAATAAAGTAGAAAGGGTTTTATATACATTGCTGCAATGGTTTTTCAGTAACATTTTAAAACTACATGAAACATGCTTAAGTGCTTATTTAAGTGATAGATGTTTCCCTTGTGCTTAAGTCAGAAGCCTTTTATGCAATATTAGTAACTTGTAATGTTATTGCAGCTCCTTTGCAAGGTCCCAATGTCACAAACATAAGGGCTGTTAATTCTACATCACTTGAAATTACATGGGATATGTTACCAGAAGAGGATGCTAATGGGGACATAACAGGATACATGATTTGTTATCATACAGAGCCGTTTTCCAATCCTACCTGTCCTAAAAACATGATTACAGGAGATGTTACATCTTTCAATTTGACTGGTTTAAATGAAGCAACGACATATTATGTCAGAGTAAAAGCTAGTAATGGTACTAATGCTGGTCCTTTGGGCAATCTATTTAATGGCACAACATTGGAAGACAGTAAGTACCATGTATTAAGAAATTATGGGTTTTTTGAGACAAGTTAGTAGAATGGAAGACTTAATGTAATGTCATGTTTTTTGTAATTGATTATCCTGTAAGCCATTACTTTTTTTGCTAGTCGGCATGTTTCTTCTCAACGTAGGTAGGAGTTGCTTCAATCCTGTTGCCCACTGTGTTATAAAAATCCAAACAATTTTTTGGTATGTCTTCACTTGTTGATGTTGGTGCATTGCAACTCACTTCCATTCATACCGTTGCAGTTGTAGTAGTATTGCTCTCCTGGGCATAGCCAGCTTGATCAGTGCGGGGGATTATATTCATAAATTTATGTTTTGGCTTATTAAGTTCCTTTGAAATCAATTGTTTCTTAGGTATTAAAACGTGATTACATGAATATTGTTCCCATCACTTATCGAGCTGGTGACGCTACTGCACCTGTCAACTTCTGATGAGTTTTCTTCAAAAAGTTCTAGTTTCCTATATTTCTTGGAGTGCATGTGTTAATCATTGTCTTTATTTTCCTTGTCATGTGGTACCATTTTTCATGACATTAAGTACGTTACTTTCATTGTTTTCTGTGTTCGTTGGAGTTGTGCTAAACTGTGTTTCTTTGTTTTCATCCGGTGGATTCTCATTCATTAGTCGATATAATTAACACTTTAATCAATTGATGTGAACAACATACATAGTTAGTTCCACTAAATCTATATTGGAAGTCTGGTTTTCCGTCAAAACAAGAGGAGATAAAGGGGAAATCCCGTCGAGTAACCCACATTAGACCGATATGAGACGGACGCTTGAAGGGCCTTTACATACATCACAATCATGTTGTCGTTTCGTTGATTCACTAACTTTTAAATAAAATTTTTTTCAAAGTCCTGCTCATCCTTTCAACAATGCCCAGCTTTGTGTATGATTAGGTGTTGTTCTGGTTTTCTTTATCCACGTTAGTCGTATCTTTAAATGCTCCATTGACCTTTCATACTAACGACAACAGCTCTTTTTAGTCGTAGAGTACGTTCTTTCTGCCTTCAGCTTTCTTGTTGCATGTGAAATAACTCTCTCCTTTTCGTCCACACATTGAGATAGAACTACCCCAATCCCGCTGTCACTAGCGTCTGTGTCCAACACAAAGGACTAAATTTGTCTGCAACATTTCCTACTGGTTTTGAAAATGTCGTCTTTTTACAATTGTCTTCATAAACTGTTATTTGCCACTAATCACGAACGAGGTCTACATGTGTAAAATAAGCTACTTCCACGAGTGATTCCATGAGATTTTGCCGTATGTGTGAAGTGGAAAGATCTCTTTCTTCGTTATTGTAATTACCTTGCGCTACTCATTGCATGCAGAAACGCTCATTACTGTCCTTTTTCTTAAATAAACAATGGGTTTAGACCAAGGTTCAGTCACGTTACTTGTCAATATTAACTCTACTGCAAAACTTCTCTGTTATGGAATTTGTTACTCTTCGAGCTGGAACTCTGATTGGTGGATGGACAATCATATTGATAACGTGATAATATATTTTGCAAACTCTCTACCTCAGAAAGAGAATTTTTCCATATTGGAAATAGTTCTTTGATATTAGAGATGTTCTTATTTTGTGCTCACCTCGTTCTTGTGGACAAATAGTTGTCCGACGCTCACAACTTCCTCTATAGCTAAATGAGTTTATCTGTAGGAGTTAATTTAATAAATCGGACTAGTAATCTCCCCATTTTTTATTATCACCGTCATCTTAAGTATATCTGTTCTGCAACGTTCTTTAAGTTTAAGCGTTGGCTCTGCAATACTTTAGATTTGCCATCTTGAGCAAAATCCTTTTTTACTTTACATGTGCGACCCATTTATAGCAATTGAATTTGCAGATATTATCAGGTGTTACGACAGACTTCGGTAATCGTAACTGAACACACCTTTAGATCGTTACAACACCAAAGAACCTCCTCCTGTTTTTTTATTCCCAACTTTTTTTTCAAAACTACAAATGTATCGTTAAAGTTTCTAGTATTCGACGGCAATTAGCGTAACTTGCGCCAGATCATTGCATATTAGAAAATCATGATGAAACTGTTTTCCCATAAATCACAGTATCTACTTTAGCTTTCCCAATGAGTCTTGACGGGCATTTTTATGCTCCCTGAACGATTTTTATCATCAATGAAACTTCTACGTAGTATCTGCAACTCAGTATGCTATTGCTGTTCGTGCATCTACGGCTGTTAGTTTTGGACCGCTGAGGGCGATTTACTTGTTATAACTAATGAAAGTGGTAAGATAGATGTGTGTAATTGAAGTACAAATATTATGTTTGATTATCCCATTGTGTGGTGAAGGCAGATATATCAACTCGCACGGTTCAGTGCCGTGTGACATACGATTTTCACTTTAATCTTGACGTCCATTCAACATGATTTTTGCCAGAATGTAGAATGAAGTGTTCCAGATTATTTATATATGTATAAGAATATAATTAAATAATAAATAGTTTAATGTGACGTTGATTTGTTAGTCGATTGTCACATCATTTAAGATGCTTACTCCCAATTTTCTACGAGTATTTTCAATCAAGTCAACTTCTTGTTGATATTTAATAAAACTACTTAATTTGTCTCAAATGTTTGATCAATTAGATGGCCGATGGCCCAATGCAAACACTTGGGAATGTTACTTGAATTGTCAAAATGGAAATTGTTTGATCACCAGAGCACGAGTGTACGTCTGAAGGCCTGCTTAATGACACACTGTAATTACAGTAACTCTGTGTGAAAATATATGAATGATGGTATTAATGAATAATTTCCTTTTTAGAACCAGCAAAAGGTCCTAACGCAACTTTAAAGTTCGTTAATTCAACGTCAATTCGTGTTAATTGGAACACATTGAGTGAAGATGATGCAAATGGTGTAATAACAGGATATGAAGTATGTTATGAAGTGGGAACTGAGGTTTCAAATTGCACTAAAAATGTACCAAGTAATACAACCAGTGGAACGATCATGGACTTAAAACCTGCAACTCATTATGCTATTGCTGTTCGTGCATTTACAGCTATTGGTTTTGGACCGCTGGGGGCGATTTTACCGGTGACAACTAATGAAAGTGGTAAGATAGTTGTGTGTTATTGAAGTATAAATATTATGTTTGATTATCCCATTGTGTGGTGAAGGCAGATTTATCAACTCGCACGGTTCAGTGCCTTGTGACATAGGATTTTCACTAACGTCCATTCAACACGATTTTTGCCAGAATGTAGAATGCAGTATTCCAGATTATTTATATATGTATATATAAATGGTTGAGTAATAATTAGTTCGACTTAATGTTGATTTGTGAGTCGAGTCTCTCATCGTTTAAGTTACTGCTTTCTACAAAAGTCCCAAGCACTTCTTTCTTTCATAACAATAAAGTTGTAGAAATTGATTGTTTTCACCATATCTGTGGTTAGGCTCAACGAGTTTCTTTTGCAATGAAGCAGGGAATTGCCGAATCTTTGTCGAACCAGAATTGTAAAGAAAAAACAATTTGCTTTAAGCCTTATTCTGTTTATCTTTATTTAGTTTTCAAATGTCTCCCGTTGACAATACAGTTATGTTGTCTGACATAACAAAAGGGAATAAGATCCATTGCCTCTGGTTTAAAATTAAGCTGGATACAGTGGGAATAAATACCCGGCTTTTGAATTTGATAGTCTTATTTTATATATTAATGATGAAGTGAACATTTTTTTTAATTTTATAGTTTTATTCAACCAAACTTTTAAAATGACTGTAGACTTTCATGAACGTTTTATGGTTATAACGAAAGCATCTCTGCCCAGTCAAAATAAAATATAATCAAGTATACTTGATAATTCAACTTCTCATTATGTAATCTGACGTCACTGGTTGTACAACAAAAACCAAACTTTAATATCTTAAGAATTGAAAAGTTGTAAGAATAAACAGGCTTACGAAAGTCTTATTAAACGATATAATTTAAGAAAACTATGAGTTCAAAAGTAATGTTTTCGCTTCATAAGCACAGTAAAACACTTAAAGGTTTTTCTCTAAACTTCTTTGAGAGTGAAAATGAGATCTTAAGTTTTTACCTTGTTCAAAGTTGGCAGGTCTGTTAAGGTACATTTGATGTCTGATTACTTTTTTTCGACTACTGTTGAGGTATAATGAATTTTATCTTGTGCATACCAAACAGGAATGTAAAAGCTAAAATGTGAAATAATTTATTGATAATTTATGAAATTATTTATTGTTTTTGCGTTGTTTTTCATCATTTTTCATCACAGCATATTGATCGACATTTAATGCTCTAACCCGTGTCATTAATATGATGAATATTTGATCAATGAATTATTCAGTCATTTGAATTTAGTACACTGAAAATATTCTCAAGAAAATTTTATTCAACTTTAGTAACATAATATATTACAGCTCCTGCGCAAGCCCCGACTGTGACTGCAGTACATCCTCTGAATTCAATGGCGCTACGAATTGTTTGGGAGATGTTACAGCCAGAGGATAGAAATGGAGATATAACAGGATACATGATATGTTATGATAGGCAGACGTTTTCTAATGGCTGTCCTCGAAGTAATTTTACAGGAGAAGATGTTACGTCATTCAATTTAACTGGCTTAAATGAAGCAACTGATTATTATGTTGGTGTGAAAGCTAGAACTAGTGCTGGATTTGGTCCTTTGGGTACTCTGTTAAAAGGCACGACACTGGAAGACAGTAAGTACCATGCACTTAGAATTCATAAGTTTGAAACGTGTTTTATCACAACTGGATTGTTATGGTCTCGCGTTTGTTACTTCGATTAGCAGGTCTAAATTACGTCAAATACAATTGATTGGTGAAAATTTATTTTGTAGGAATCCATAACCAAATTTGTTTTGAAGGTGTTTTGAGTTCAAGATTGCGAACATATATAATTTATTTTGACTAGTGCTATACACACTACTTCGGTTACTTGATCTGTCTGAAGGGTTTACGTATAATGAGCAGAGTAATGATGAAAAAATCATGATATTAGACATTTGGACAGATTAAACAGCCTCTTTAGTTTCTTAAATACATATATATCATTTACTTCAGCCACAGATTTAAGCTTACTAGTATGTCTGTAAAATGGTTCGTTTGTACAATAGTCTCGAGTTAAATGTAGTGTGAGAAGCCTGGAACTTATAAAAGTGATAAAACCTGAAATTAAAGCTGTGCTATTCGTATTTTTGTCTATAATTTATTGATTTTGTATGACACACTGTAATTACAGTAACTCTCTGTGTGAAAATATATGAATGATGGTATTAATGAATAATTTCCTTTTTAGAACCAGCAAAAGGTCCTAACGCAATTTTAAAGTTTGTTAATTCAACGTCAATTCGTGTTAATTGGAGCACATTGAGTGAAGATGATGCAAATGGTGTAATAACAGGATATGAAGTATGTTATGAAGTAGGAACTGTGGTTTCAAATTGCACTAAGAATGTACCAAGTAATACAACCAGTGGAATGATCATGGACTTAAAACCTGCAACTCAGTATGCTATTGCTGTTCGTGCATCTACAGCTATTGATTTTGGACCGCTGGGGGCGATTATACTTGTTACAACTAATGAAAGTGGTAAGATAGTTGTTTGTAATTGAAATATAAATATTATGTTTGATTATCACTTTGTGTGGTAAATACGGATTTATCAACTTGCACGGTTCTGTGCCGTGTGACATACGATTTTCACTAACGTCCATTCAACACGATTTTTGCCAGAATGTAGAATGCAGTATTCCAGATTATTTATATATGTATATATAAATGGTTGAGTAATAATTAGTTCGAGTTAATGTTGATTTGTGAGTCGAGTCTCTCATCGTTTAAGTTACTGCTTTCTACGAAAGTCCCAAGCACTTCTTTCTTTCATAACAATAAAGTTGTAGAAATTGATTGTTTTCACCATATCTGTGGTTAGGCTCAACGAGTTTCTTTTGCAATGAAGCAGGGAATTGCCGAATCTTTGTCGAACCAGAATTGTAAAGAAAAAACAATTTGCTTTAAGCCTTATTCTGTTTATCTTTATTTAGTTTTCAAATGTCTCCCGTTGACAATACAGTTATGTTGTCTGACATAACAAAAGGGAATAAGGTCCATTACCTCTGGTTTAAAATTAAGCTGGATACAGTGGGAATAAATACCCGGCTTTTGAATTTGATAGTCTTATTTTATATATTAATGATGAAGTGAACATTTTTTTTAATTTTATAGTTTTATTCAACCAAACTTTTAAAATGACTGTAGACTTTCATGAACGTTTTATGGATATAACGAAAGCATCTCTGCCCAGTCAAAATAAAATATAATCAAGTATACTTGATAATTCAACTTCTCATTATGTAATCTGACGTCACTGGTTGTACAACAAAAACCAAACTTTAATATCTTAAGAATTGAAAAGTGTTAAGAATAAACAGGCTTACGAAAGTCTAATTAAACGATATAATTTAAGAAAACTATGAGTTCAAAAGTAATGTTTTCGCTTCATAAGCACAGTAAAACACTTAAAGGTTTTTCTCTAAACTTCTTTGAGAGTGAAAATGAGACCTTAAGTTTTACCTTGTTCAAAGTTGGCAGGTCTGTTAAGGTACATTTGATGTCTGATTACTTTTTTCGACTACTGTTGAGGTATAATGAATTTTATCTTGTGCATACCAAACAGGAATGTAAAAGCTAAAATGTGAAATAATTTATTGAATATTTATGAAATTATTTATTGTTTTTGCGTTGTTTTTCATCATTTTTCATCACAGCATATTGATCGACATTTAATGCTTTAACCCGTGTCATTAATATGATCAATGAATTATTCGGTCATTTGAATTTAGTGCATTGAAAATATTCTCATGAAAATTTTATTCAACTTTAGTAACATAATATATTACAGCACCTGCGCAAGGCCCGACTTTGACTGCAGTACATCCTCTGAATTCAATGGCGCTACGAATTGTTTGGGAGATGTTACAGCCAGAGGATAGAAATGGAGATATAACAGGATACATGATATGTTATGATAGGCAGACGTTTTCTAATGGCTGTCCTCGAAGTAATTTTACAGGAGAAGATGTTACGTCATTCAATTTAACTGGCTTAAATGAAGCAACTGATTATTATGTTGGTGTGAAAGCTAGAACTAGTGCTGGATTTGGTCCTTTGGGTACTCTGTTAAAAGGCACGACACTGGAAGACAGTAAGTACCATGCACTTAGAATTCATAAGTTTGAAACGTATTTTATCACAACTGGATTGTTATGGTCTCGCGTTTGTTACTTCGATTAGCAGGTCTAAATTACGTCAAATACAATTGATTGGTGAAAATTTATTTTGTAGGAATCCATAACCAAATTTGTTTTGAAGGTGTTTTGAGTTCAAGATTGCGAACATATATAATTTATTTTGACTAGTGCTATACACACTACTTCGGTTACTTGATCTGTCTGAAGGGTTTACGTATAATGAGCAGAGAAAAAAAATCACGATATTAGACATTTGGACAGATTAAACAGTGTGTTTAGTTTCTTAAATATATATATCATTTACTTCAGCCACAGATTTAAGCTTACTAGTATGTCTGTAAATTGGTTCGTTTGTACAATAGTCTCGAGTTAAATGTAGTGTGAGAAGCCTGGAACTTATAAAAGTGATAAAACCTGAAATTAAAGCTGTGCTATTCGTATTTTTGTCTATAATTTATTGATTTTGTATGACACACTGTAATTACAGTAACTCTCTGTGTGAAAATATATGAATGATGGTATTAATGAATAATTTCCTTTTTAGAACCAGCAAAAGGTCCTAACGCAACGTTAAAGTTCGTCGATTCAAAATCAATTCGTGTTAATTGGAATACATTGAATAAAGATGATGCAAATGGTGTAATATTAGGATATGAAGTATGTTATGAAGTAGGAACTGTGGTTTCAAATTGCACTAAGAATGTACCAAGTAATACAACCAGTGGAATGATCATGGACTTAAAACCTGCAACTCAGTATGCTATTGCTGTTCGTGCATCTACAGCTATTGATTTTGGACCGCTGGGGGCGATTTTACTTGTTACAACTAATGAAAGTGGTAAGATAGTTGTTTGTAATTGAAATATAAATATTATGTTTGATTATCCCTTTGTGTGGTAAATACGGATTTATCAACTCGCACGGTTCAGTGCCGTGTGACATACGATTTTTGCCAGAATGTAGAATGCAGTATTCCAGATTATTTATATATGTATATATAAATGGTTGAGTAATAATTAGTTCGAGTTAATGTTGATTTGTGAGTCGAGTCTCTCATCGTTTAAGTTACTGCTTTCTACGAAAGTCCCAAGCACTTCTTTCTTTCATAACAATAAAGTTGTAGAAATTGATTGTTTTCACCATATCTGTGGTTAGGCTCAACGAGTTTCTTTTGCAATGAAGCAGGGAATTGCCGAATCTTTGTCGAACCAGAATTGTAAAGAAAAAACAATTTGCTTTATGCCTTATTCTGTTTATCTTTATTTAGTTTTCAAATGTCTCCCGTTGACAATACAGTTATGTTGTCTGACATAACAAAAGGGAATAAGGTCCATTGCCTCTGGTTTAAAATTAAGCTGGATACAGTGGGAATAAATAACCGGCTTTTGAATTTGATAGTCTTATTTTATATATTAATGATGAAGTGAACATTTTTTTTAATTTTATAGTTTTATTCAACCAAACTTTTAAAATGACTGTAGACTTTCATGAACGTTTTATGGTTATAACGAAAGCATCTCTGCCCAGTCAAAATAAAATATAATCAAGTATACTTGATAATTCAACTTCTCATTATGTAATCTGACGTCACTGGTTGTACAACAAAAACAAAACTTTAATATCTTAAGAATTGAAAAGTTGTAAGAATAAACAGGCTTACGAAAGTCTAATTAAACGATATAATTTAAGAAAACTATGAGTTCAAAAGTAATGTTTTCGCTTCATAAGCACAGTAAAACACTTAAAGGTTTTTCTCTAAACTTCTTTGAGAGTGAAAATGAGACCTTAAGTTTTTACCTTGTTCAAAGTTGGCAGGTCTGTTAAGGTACATTTGATGTCTGATTACTTTTTTTCGACTACTGTTGAGGTATAATGAATTTTATCTTGTGCATACCAAACAGGAATGTAAAAGCTAAAATGTGAAATAATTTATTGAATATTTATGAAATTATTTATTGTTTTTGCGTTGTTTTTCATCATTTTTCATCACAGCATATTGATCGACATTTAATGCTTTAACCCGTGTCATTAATATGATGAATATTTGATCAATGAATTATTCGGTCATTTGAATTTAGTACATTGAAAATATTCTCATGAAAATTTTATTCAACTTTAGTAACATAATATATTACAGCACCTGCGCAAGGCCCGACTGTGACTGCAGTACATCCTCTGAATTCAATGGCGCTACGAATTGTTTGGGAGATGTTACAGCCAGAGGATAGAAATGGAGATATAACAGGATACATGATATGTTATGATAGGCAGACGTTTTCTAATGGCTGTCCTCGAAGTAATTTTACAGGAGAAGATGTTACGTCATTCAATTTAACTGGCTTAAATGAAGCAACTGATTATTATGTTGGTGTGAAAGCTAGAACTAGTGCTGGATTTGGTCCTTTGGGTACTCTGTTAAAAGGCACGACACTGGAAGACAGTAAGTACCATGCACTTAGAATTCATAAGTTTGAAACGTATTTTATCACAACTGGATTGTTATGGTCTCGCGTTTGTTACTTCGATTAGCAGGTCTAAATTACGTCAAATACAATTGATTGGTGAAAATTTATTTTGTAGGAATCCATAACCAAATTTGTTTTGAAGGTGTTTTGAGTTCAAGATTGCGAACATATATAATTTATTTTGACTAGTGCTATACACACTACTTCGGTTACTTGATCTGTCTGAAGGGTTTACGTATAATGAGCAGAGTAATGACGAAAAAATCACGATATTAGACATTTGGACAGATTAAACAGTGTCTTTAGTTTCTTAAATATATATATCATTTACTTCAGCCACAGATTTAAGCTTACTAGTATGTCTGTAAAATGGTTCGTTTGTACAATAGTCTCGAGTTAAATGTAGTGTGAGAAGCCTGGAACTTATAAAAGTGATAAAACCTGAAATTAAAGCTGTGCTATTCGTATTTTTGTCTATAATTTATTGATTTTGTATGACACACTGTAATTACAGTAACTCTCTGTGTGAAAATATATGAATGATATTAATGAATAATTTCCTTTTTAGAACCAGCAAAAGGTCCTAACGCAACGTTAAAGTTCGTCGATTCAAAATCAATTCGTGTTAATTGGAATACATTGAATAAAGATGATGCAAATGGTGTAATAATAGGATATGAAGTATGTTATGAAGTAGGAACTGTGGTTTCAAATTGCACTAAGAATGTACCAAGTAATACAACCAGTGGAATGATCATGGACTTAAAACCTGCAACTCAGTATGCTATTGCTGTTCGTGCATCTACAGCTATTGATTTTGGACCGCTGGGGGCGATTTTACTTGTTACAACTAATGAAAGTGGTAAGATAGTTGTTTGTAATTGAAATATAAATATTATGTTTGATTATCCCTTTGTGTGGTAAATACGGATTTATCAACTCGCACGGTTCTGTGCCGTGTGACATACGATTTTCACTAACGTCCATTCAACACGATTTTTGCCAGAATGTAGAATGCAGTGTGACATAGTAACAACTATTGAAAGTGGTAAGAAAGAACTTTGATGGCAGTTGTGAATGAGAAAAGTTGTTTTGTGTTTATTTTTGAAATTTAAAGCTAACACCTCATGTGTTGTGAAATGTTTAGAAGGTTTGAAAAAATTGCCCGTGTCGATTCATCAAAAAAAAGTAGCAAAAGTAATTTTTTCAAAAAAAATAATTTCGTGAACACATTTCCGAAATGGTGCAACCAAATGCGGGCAGTAATAAAGCTACAATTGTAGAAAGAATTTTTATTGCTCGGCTTGAAATCGAAGCAGTTGTGTTATCAAGTAATAGCACTCGATGTATTTAATTAAATCATTAAAGTCTATGAATACTGAAACATTTAATTAGCTATAGCCTAGGATATTGTATGTGCATGGAAATGATTAGATTTCATAAAAACTTACAATAATGTGATAACATCTTACAGCTCCTGCGCGAGGCGCCAATCTCACTGCATTAACTCCTGTGAATTCAACGGCACTTTTTGTAACATGGCTGAAGTTACAAGCAATTGATACAAATGGGAATATAACAAGATACAGGATATGTTATAGTACTGGGACGTTTTCTGCAAATGAATGCCCTCGTCAACATAATGTTAGAGGAGAAGATATGACAACTGCCATTTTGAGAGGTTTAAATGAATCAACTTTATATTATGTTGGTGTGAAAGCTGGTACTATTGCTGGATTTGGTCCTTTGGCTAACTTGTTGAGTAACAAAACACTGGAAGACAGTAAGTGTTTTTCTTAAATACCCTTTGAAAAAAGTTGAAAAGGATTATTAGCTGTGTTCTGCAGTTTAACTTTTGACAATATACAAAAACCTTCTCCATTTTGGATGTTTGTTTGTTAGGAATAAGTGCAAAATACTGCCAGACTTATCACACGTTTTTATCATAGCTGCGTTAGTAAGGTTGACAATGTTAGTCTTATTAGTACTTTTAAAACGAATCATACAGGATAAGAACACTTCAACAAATTATTAAACTTTGCTGCTATCAACGTGTGTCCTGTTATGCCCTAAGATAAAAAAATATTACAGCATAGGGACTATATGTAATAAAAATATATTTAGTAATTGTAATAAAAATTTTAGATGATAGAAATAGTTCAAATGTTCATTAATATATGATCGTCAAGAGATTATGAAAATTAATGTTGGGAGTTTTAGTCAAGTTGGCTGTTCTAGTTGTTATGGCAGTATTAGTTGGGTTGTCCGTTTTGGTCAGTGGTGGGATAATCGGGGTGGCCGTGTTAGTCGAGTTGGTCTTATTCGACACATTGACCGTGTTAAATCATAATGAGCGTATAGTTGGGTTAGCCGCGCATAGTTTAGCAGACTGTGTCTGCGAGAAAACAGCGATACTCCCAAATGGTCAGTCATGTGAAATTCATGGTATATAATGCTGTTAAATGAATGAAACAACGTAATTTTAATCGCTCTCGCATTTTTTACCGTCGCTAATCTATAGAGAGATTATAATATTTTTTTAATTTCTCAAGAACCAAGTAAAGGTCCTATTGTGGCTATTAAGTCAAACACTTCGACGTCAATTGAAGTTTCGTGGCAACCATTAAACTCTGATGATGCGAATGGTAAAATTACGAAGTATGCTGTATGTTACGAATTGTTCAAAGAAAACGAATCGTCCATTGACAAATGTAATGAGACTCGTGGTGGCTCTTCATTCAATATTACCAACTTGAAAAAGTTTACAAAATACAGGATTGCAGTGAAAGCTTCGACTAAAATAGGATTTGGTCCACTTGGTAAAATATTATAGTCAGCACTGATGAAGATGGTAAGTATTGTGTTAATTGCTGGACAATGTTACAGTTGTACAGATAGTAAAAGCTAACACAACACTCTCTCCAGTACATTATTTACTGTCTAATATATCTGGATGTATGGTCTACAGCAATGTTCATTGCCCTTAAACTTACTTAATATAAAAAGGCCTTGGGCAATATGGAAATTGGCTTCTAATTTTATATTTTATTGTTTGCATCAATTAATTAAAAAATTAACTGACTTAACCGACTTTAATTTAAATAATATGAAAATAAAGAAAATATATATATTTGCTTTGTGATTATGAGCACGTCGGAAGATTGAAATTTTCTGTCGTAGACCAGACACCGTATGTCACATTAAACGCGTCTCAGCTTTTGTTCCACATTTATACCAGAAGTAAAATCTCATGTTCTCTTTGACAGTGCGGATTTCTGATAACCTACTTTCACTTTGTTAACAAATCACAAATCGTCACTTCTTACTGATTAAATATATTTCAACTTATGATATCGTTGGTTATCAAAGACAGACAACTCAACGTTACAACAGGGTCTATAAATAATAGACGATTTTGAAATGTTAACTAGATAATGAATTTAGCGAAAACCTCAACGATATCTTCTAGTATGGGTACTTGAACATCCTCAGTTTAATTTAGTACTAAGAATAAACAGAAATTTCAACCTGAAAAAATAGGAGCGAGCGATTGCTCCTAAAGAAGATCAATTTGCAGAAAGCGCATTTTGAAGGCCTTCTGCAAGCAAGAATGACCAAAACACAAACCTTATGAAAACAAAATTGGTTTTATCATTCTTGCACAAGCCACTTGAAAATGCGGTTTCTTCAAACTGCTTTCAGGTTTTTTGACTGAAAGCAGTTTGAAGAAACTGCATTTTGTTAACGAGGTATTTTGAAATTGTCTGCCTTTGTGGATACACTTTGTGCAGCTTCGGCTTTCATTTCAGAAACTGTCTACCACAAATTAATGCGAATCACGGGGGATTTGGGTGAGGGGTGTCCCCCTCCTATCCTTGACTAGTGGTACAGGAGGGATGTCAATTTCTCTAAAAACACTAGTATACCAAAAAATTAAGCAAAAGCAATTAGTGCTTAATTGTACACACTTTCTTAACAAAAATTGTCTGACATGCTGCCACAACAAGTAGCCACTGAATTCTAATCAAATTAGAGCACCCTCCCCCAATCTCCCTTATAAAACCATCGTGCATAGTGCCTTTATACTTGATGAAGTTTATCTACTTTTACAGCTCCTGATCGTCCTGAAAACATTCAACTCACTTCAGATTTTACCGCGATAATGGTGAATTGGACAAAACCAAGTGTATCGAATGGTGTGATTAGGGAGTACAAATATTGTCGAAATGGACTCAGTGGTTGCGATACTACTACTGGTGATATAACACGTGCTACAATCACAGGCTTAAGTCCTGGTACCGAGTACAATATAACGGTGCAAGCATTCACTATAGTCGGCGGACAAATTAATTCCAAAGTCGTTAATACTACAAAAAGTGGTAAGTTTTTTTCATATGTAAGCCAATTTTTGTCGGACTGGTAATCGCTGAGAATAAGTCTATGGACTCGCTAGCATTTGGTGGTTTTAACATGTTTTTTTAGCAAATCACATAGATAGCGATTAAGAGTTGTATCTTCGGAGCAAAAAAATGAGAAATATGTTCGCGAACATACGTAAATATGTTCGCACGTAGAAATCTGAAATTCAAAACGTAGCAAGAGTATAAATTGAAACACAAGTCTATAGAAACAACATTTTGTGTCTTGGTGAAAGTAGGAAGAATATTGGATGACTTCATTAATGTGTGTACTACAGAAAAGTTACAGTTATAGAGGGAAAGCGATAAACAAATAGGCTGGATGTGCTTGAAACTTCTGCGTTTATACGAGTTCTGAGGAGACCAGTTTTCTTATGAATGGTTGTGTAAAGATTTGTATAAGGAAAACTTTGACGTTAAAACGTCATGCAGAAATCTTTTAACGCGCGTTTTGTAGTAATCCAGCACAATAACTGTATTACAAAAACAATTGGCAAAAATCGCTTTTCAATTAATGTTGTGATGAGATGTTTGTGACTATTGACTACCGTTTTTGTCGTGTGAAAAATTTGGATATTTTTTTCAATATTCAACTGATTGTGTCTAACAACCGCATCGTAGTGGTAGTAGTTAATAAAATGTCTTTCATTGAAGGATTTGAAGCCGAAGATAACATGGTGTTTGAAACAATTGGTGTATCTGATTCAAAAACACAAATAGGATTCAAGTTACCAGAATTGAATAGCGACGAAGTGGATCTGATAAAGTTTGTAATTTTTAATACAGTAAAAAAAACCTTTGTATACACATTTTGAACTCCTTGGAAAGCCAAGGAGTAATAATTCGGTTGTGCTCACGATTTCTTTTGTGCTTTTGAAGGAGTCTTCACGTGTTTGTCAAACGCTGGCTTAGCGATGACTCGGAACGGACCTTTCAAAGTTCCTCAAGTAGAACATTTGGAGATTCGAACGACGGAATGATTGCTTACGTTGCTTTGGAAATGAATAGATATGTGAATGGAGAAAATATAATTGTAGGCAATATGTCATCATCGGCAAGGAGAAAACGGAGAAATACTGTTACGTACCTCAATGCCCCACTGGTGGAGGATACTGAATATGGCATATTCGTTCGAGTTTTTTATGATGATCAGCAGGTATAATGTCTTATTTTTTCATGTTTAAACCAATTATATTGATGTGAATCAAATTACCGGGTTATTGATCATTAGTCTTTATAAAATAACACAATGAAACGCGTGCGCTAATTGGCCTAGAGCCGTGTTTGCATTAACTTGTGCAAAACACATCTTAGCTCAACCAATCAAATCAATCAAAACAATCAATCAGCCAAAGAGAATTTGCAAATCGATCATGAATACATTTTAGAGGAAAATTTAAAATGCTTGTTGCTTGTTTTTTTTCGCATTATTGTTATTTCATAAAAGAAATAATGATAGTTGTCGGAGAACTCTCGAGCCGGTACAACCCTCGACCTTCGGTCTCACGCTTGCACTGATCAGCTCTCCAGTTCTCCCAAAGGTCTCCTCGGTTTGCATAAGCCCGTGCAAATACAGTAACCTTCTTTTATTTGTAAGTGTACTTTGATTGTTCTCATTATGCTCTCATAGCGCAATTTAAGTGCCTCTATCAGCAAAAATTTTTATTAGCGATATCAAAACTTGCTGTAATGTCAAACATATCGGTGAAAAAATTTTCAATTTGGTCAAACTGTCTTCTTGTTATGGAAGTTTAAAGTTGCCTTTCAATAGACCTTGTCCGTCGTCGCATGAAGTCTGGGTCTAGCCAAATTATGACGTCATCCAAGGTAGTTGGTATATATATGTTGTATTGAGGAGTGCCTTGCATGACTTGACAAAGGTAAGTCGTTCCAGAATTTTCGAAGGACGGACAAGGTCCATTGAAAGGCAACTTTAAACATCCATAACAAGAAGACAATTTGACCAAACTGAAAAATTTTTTCACCAATACGTTAGATATTACACCAAGTTTTGATATCGCTAATAAAAATTTATGCTGATAAGGCACTTTAAAGTACGAATCACTGCATTTGTATTTTTATCTTGTTCTGGTGTGAACGTGTTCTTTGTATTCGTTTTATAAATATCGACGAGGAACTCAAAATTGTCTAACCAGAAAAACAAGACAGTAAATGATACAGAAAAGAGCTTGTTAAACTTAACACTAAATATAACTTAAAAAAGTCATGTATTGACTGTAGTACATCACCGAAACAACATCTAATAAGAATAATTGTGCAGTTCGTGGTCATGTCACGTGACTGATGTGAGAAATCATATGCAAAAATTTCGATCGAAAACTTTAAATCGCACTCTTTAAATGGTTGGGCCCTTTATTTAGCGGCCCTGTTTGTGCTTCATTTTTCAGAGTTTAAAATGCATAAAAACTAGGGCTCCACTCTGATGTTTTTTTTGCAATACATGCTATACAAAACATAAAGTCAGGAAATATGCTATGTAAAACTGGCTTCCTGTATTGCGTGGTTTCGGACTTGTCGCGTCAGTAATTCATACGTTAACAAGCAAAACATTGAACTTTTCTAAATTGATATTTATAACTATGTATTGCTGTCTAAATGCTATTTGTTGGTAAATTGTATGAACTTGCTGTGATCAATCGCTTTATAGAGTATAAGTCAAAATTCGGATGTGCTGCGCAGGACGACTGGAAAGGATGATGATGACATGAATACCGCTGTTATAGTTATCGTCGTCATAATCTGCATACTTGTACTTGTGATCGCGATTGTTGGTTTATTGCTTCTCAAAAGGTATGTTTTTTTTTTCATATGTATATTTACATGTTTGTAGGTGTAGAATGTCCAGGTTGGTACGGTCCTTAGAAGGACTATTGATTCTGTATAGGACTACCGCTAAGGATGTCGAAAAAGTCCTTCTGGGGACTCCTGAACTATAAACAATCTTAACGCATGCTGGAGTACAATCAATCGATAATCAGGGGGGGTCATATTCACTAATACATGTTATATGTGATAGAAAACAATAGACTTTAAAGGAACTTATGTTAAAAATAAAATGTGAATATACCGTTTGTTTGTTTGTTTATTGTAGGCGAAAATCTCGAACCATCTACCGTGATATAGTTCTTGAACCAGTGGCTCCTGTAAAGCGTAAGTTAAGATCATTTATCCCTGAATAACTGTTTGTTCCAGTTTTATCCTTCCAGTGAAACTTGTTGCAATATATTGTCATGCTCTTAGTACCATGTTCATGTTGCAACTCGATACTCAACATTGTGTAACTGCTCGTATGGTGTCACGTGACTATAATGAAACTGTTCATATTGTGTCACGTGACTCAACATTAGACTAATGACTAAAAATAGAAGCACCGATGAAGCCAAAACCTACAGGGTTTTCGATGTTTCTTAAAAATAGTCTTGAATGAAATTATAAAACCCGTGACGTAGTACATTTGCCTTTGTATCTCTGATTAGGATTGTGAACGACTACAACAGTATATATTTTCAAATAGCAGCAGAATTAGAGTGTACACGTGACGCACGTGATGTGACGGCAGAATTTCCTTGCTGCATGAAAAATGAGAAAATCTATAAGAGACCGAATATAATTACGATCAGTATTCAGTACTGTGTAGGATGGCGATGTATTTTTGTTTACTTTTTAAATATTTAACAAGCCGTCATTTTTTCTTTACAGCTATAGTTCGTTACCCGATACCAATCGATGAATTTCGGCAACATTGTAGCATGTTGGATCAGAACGCTGGCTTGGAATATCAAGAGGAATATGAGGTGAGTTGGTAGGAACACGAGGGGGTTGGTAGGAATTGATTTTCTAAGGGGGGGTGCAACATTTTTTAGCTAAAGGTGCCAGGGCCTCGGCCTATTGTAGATTTATAGATTTACAGATAAGAGACCTTTCGAAATGAAAGTATTTAAAGGCTTTTTTCATAAAGTTGAGTAAATTATAAATCCTAGTTCTTTAGCTGAACAGTACTTTCTTAAAATATCAACAATGCTTTATAAATCAAGTATCCAAATGTTTCTAACGATGAGCGACATACGAATGCAACAGGATGACGAACCAGGATGTGTAGAGTGCAATAATTTTTTTGAATTAATACTATCGAAAATATTGTGCTTTGTTGTTTAGAACATTCGCAATGGAGCTTTATCAGCTGAAATTGGCAAACGACCTGAAAACATTGATAAGAATCGCTATAACAATATCCATGCATGTAAGTTTTACCAATCAATTCACCTTTTAGCATTCTTACACAGCAATCTGTTCAGTTAAACTGAACTTGTACTGTTAGTAAAACTGAACGTGTTTATAGTAACTGAAAGGCTACTTGCATGTTGTCAAACACGTATTGTTCAATGAAAATGGGATAGTTTTCACATCTTGTCATGACCACGCATGCTCAATGGGAAGATTTACATTTTTTATTAGTAAATTGCATTGGAGAATGTGCTGCCCGTATTTGTAAGCATGGGAATTTCAATCGAAGCTCAAAGCTTTTCAATTTCTTATTTATATATGCGCGTCTTCTTTAAAAAATGTTTTTCGGGTTTTTGTAGATGACGATAGTCGAGTGATTTTATCTGAGATTGATGGAGAGGAAGGATCCGATTATATAAATGCGAATCACATCGACGTAAGTTCTAGTTGTGATAATGTTTTACGTATTTGTATAGAGAGGTCGTATGTGCAGGTGGTGGTAGTGATGTGTATGCATGTACTTTTAAGTACTGCAGAGGTTATTATGTGATCTCATACGTTTATATAAGTACCGGTTGTGATAATGATGTCTTTGTGTAGCTGCATGTACAAGTTGTGGTAATTTTGTAGGTATATTGTAGGTATATATAAGTACAATTAGTAGGGATTATGTAAATGTATATTAGAGGCTGATGGACGAAAATGCACTAAAAGTTGTAATTTAATCTCTGGTTACTTAATTACTCAATATTCATATGCGCTGTCAATGTTTTATTGATATTACGAAATTTATGTCTTTTCAGGGTTATGAACGTAAAAACCAATTCATTGCTGCTCAAGGTAGATATTCGATTTGTGCATTAGTCTCACGTTTTCTTGAATCATCGATGCAGAAGTCATAAATACTCAATACGTTAAAATTTACAGGCACCCTGAAGAATACAATTGTAGATTTCTGGAGAATGATATGGGAGCAGAATGTTTCGTCCATAGTAATGTTGGCAAATCCAATCGAGAAAGGAAGGGTCAGTTAAAGTTTTGTCTTCTTTTGCCATCAAATATACGTAGCTTTTTGTGTACTTAATGCTTTTCCTTATTTATCATAATTGTCATAGGAGAAATTAGCGATATATTGGCCTCAAGACAAAGCTGTAAAACACGGTCCCTTTTTGATAAAGTTGGATGGCGAAGTCGAATTGGCTGATTACGTTATTCGTAAAATGACCATAACAAAGGTTTGTTTTCTTAGACAACTATATATGTTGGCATTGCAAAGATAGGTGACATTATTATCCTTTGTTATCCCTTTATCCCTTTATCCCTTTATCCCCTTATCATTTGTTTTCTTGTTATGTTTGAGATAATTGTCCCTACTTGCTCTTAGAAACAGTTGGTTTTTATTTTGTCGTTGTCCATTTTATGGGGTTATTTTATGTAGTTTTTATGTAATGATTTTTGTATGTTGAAACACATGTTATTTTCCCAAGAATTGCTTATCTGTTATGTTACAGGATAACGTTAAAGAAATGCGTCAAATGACACAGTTTCACTACACGGTTTGGCCAGATCATGGTGTTCCACAATACACAACATCACTACAGGCGTTCCTTACTCGAGTACGAAAATTCACAAGAAATGATGAGAATCCTTTAGTTGTTCATTGTAGGTACGGTATCCTTCCCCGGTTTTTGTGCGATTGAAAGCTTAGGAAATCTAATGTCGGCATTTCTACAAAAGTTCTTGAAAAACCTTCATATCGCCATTGTCGTTTTACGTTTAGTGCTGGCGTTGGACGAACTGGGACATTCATTGGAATTTTTGCCATGTTGGATATGATTGAAAAGACGAAGACAGTGGATATTTTCAATTATGTTTGTCAAATGCGCAAACAGCGAACTCACATGGTGCAAGTTGAGGTTCGTACTTTAGGAGATTTGATGAAACAGTTATTTGATATTCATGTTATTGAACATTATTAATATAATTCCCTTTGTGTGTTATCTATTTGCTACTTGATTGTCTAATTGAAGTCTAATTGAATATGTGGATACGAATTTACGTAGAATGAATAATTTACTGTCTGTATTGTCTTTTCGCGTCTTGTTTTATAATTTAAACAAAGTAATTTCGTGTTTGCAGTTGTATTTATTGTTATTTTCATTAATTTTAGTCGCAATACGTATTTCTTCATAAAGCTGTTTTGGAAGCAATTGAATGTGGCGATACTGAGATTAATGCTCCTGACCTCCGTGTAAAACTAATCCAACTCAGTAGAACGGATCCTAATAATCCTGATCAAACATTAATGGAAAAACAATTCAAGGTTTAGCTATGGACAATTTGTTTTTATTAATTATCATGCAAGACAATTAAACTTTTTTTGTTCATATATGGAGATAGATCACGGAAGTTGTGATCTCCCATTATTTATTATTATTATATTCCCATTTTAATCAATCCCTAACCAAGAGATGTATTTTCAGGTGTTACAACAATACACTTTCGTGAAATCGAACACGGAAGAAGCGAAGAAGTCCTTCAATGCTGACAAGAATCGAAATAAGGCTATTTTGCCGTGTAAATGTTTTTATAATTGATCGATTCCAAATCTTTTTTTCAATGAAAATCATTTTTACTTTATTCGTTATTTTAGATGAAGACACTCGTGTTTCCCTTCTCAAGAGCCCCGGAGTTGATGGTTCAGACTACATAAACGCCAGTTTTATTGACGTTAGTGTATTTGAATATAAGCATGTGGCAAACATAGGTGTAGAGTTTTGTTTATGTCTTAGAGGCTTAGGTCTACGGAAGATATGTGATCTAAACATGATTGAATAAACTTTATTTAAAACACATTGGTCCGTCAACAGAAGCTGAGTTCCACGGGGAACGTGTGCAATATTTACAAGCTACATTTGTACGATAAAAAAGACAAAGGCTACTAGAAATATGACAAAGATTATAATTTTCCTTCTCACTTTTATACGTAAATATATGGGAGAGTGAATTAGGACCAATGTTATTCGATAATTTATACATTAACTTTGTTGACTTTACTTATTATGGGTGTTAAAGGGTAAAACACAGTAAAAAACTATGTCACATTTAAAGTTACAGCAATAGACAATGAGAAAATCTGCAAAATTTTTTGAGGTGGTCATGCTCCAGCTTTCCACCTCCTTTTACCCATATTCTACCTGTATGATGGCAGTTATTTCTTTCAATTTAGTTCACGTAGGGCTTAGTAAGTCATGTAAAATTTTATATTATCTTTTTCATTAATTGTATAAAGAGATAATAGTTTCAGTGGTAGTATGCATTCAATGATTTTTTTGTCTGAAAATATAATGTTTTTTATGCAGAGCTACCAGGTTCGGGGAATGTATATTGCGACACAATTCCCACTCGAAAATACTGTCAACGAGTTCTGGAGAATGGTATGGGAGAAGAAATGTAATTGCATCGTTATGTTGGCGAATATCGACGAAAATCCAGTAAGTTGTTCATTCTAACGTCAAACTTTTTGCTTATTAAATAGTAAAGGACCTCAAGTTTTCAGTTTTTTCTTCAATTAATGCATTTGGTGTCTTGATACTTTAGTTAACTAATTACTTTGGATTGGGCCTTAGTGGTCTATTTGATGACATTTTTCCTCTTATAATTAGTTGCTACATAGGTTAGGTACAAATTTCATTGGAATCTCAGTTATTTTTCTATATCCTGTTTTTTTTTTATGTAACAATTGAAGTTTGTTTTTCAGACATCGTATGAGAAGTATTGGACAGACAAGACCAACGACGCATTGCTTTGTGGAAACTTGCTTGTTTCCATTGAAAACGAGGAAAACGCTGATGAATTTGTCATCCGAAACTTCAAGTTGAAGAAGAATGACGTTGGTTTATTATTATTTACTTTTATATGTTTATCGTACATCCAGGAAAAGTTATTGTAGACAACATGACTCAATATCTTCGCATTGTATTTGTATAATTTCACTTACTTTGTAAAGTTTTACACTATTTTACACGTTATGATTTTACATATTTATCGTACATCCAGGAACAGTTACTGTAGACAGCATGACTCAACATCTCCACATTTTATAATGTACAATTTCACTTACTTTGTAAAGTTTTACACACTATTTTACACGTTATGGTTTTACATATTTATCGTACGTCCAGGAACAGTTACTGTAGACCACATGACTCAACATTTTCACATTTTATTATGTATAATTGCACTTTGCAAAGTTTTTACACTATTTTACACGTTATTTTTTAGGGTGGAGAAACTCGAGATGTTTGGCATTTCCATTTCCTGTCATGGAATGAGAACGAAGTTCCTCGAAGCCCCGTCGGTCTTATTCAAATGATTGGAAGAATTCAAGATGTACAACGTCAATGCGGAAACAACCCAATCGTTGTACATTGCAGGTATTGTTTAATGAAAGAATTCTATATTATCATAAGTAGTTGCCACGTTTTTCATAATCCATGTCGACGTGAATGGCTTTTTATTTTTTTTTAGTGATGGTGGTGGGCGAACTGGAGCATTTTGTGCTTTAGTAACATCCTTAGAGAGAGTTAAACAGGATCAATCGTTCAATTTATTCCAAACTATTATGTTGGAACGAATTCAGAGACCAAGAATGGTGTCGTCAATTGTAAGTTGTCGAGTGTTTTTTTCTGGATGATTGTGACTTAAATGAAGTAAAACGTTGCAAGCAAATCTTTGGTAAAACATAGGACAACTTTCTTTTCCAACGGTAGTGAGCAATTTCCATGAAAACATGTGTTTGTTTCTGTATCGTCTGAATAATCGTTAGTCTATCGTTTAGAGTCGAAACAAACTCCTTGTATTATTTATGAATATTTTTACCTGATTCCAAGTTTCCATCATTTTTGATATTTTAGGAACAATATCAATTCTGTTTCCAAGCTATCCTGCAATTCCTTCAATCCTTTGATGAATACGCCAATTTCAAGGAAATACAGAATTCAAGTTAATTTACTGCCAAATTATTACCATTTTTCTTATCTATACGTTATTTCCTATGCGTTACATACAGTAAAATATCACTCGAAATCTCGCGACAATGTATAGTTTTTATGAACAGTATTAATACAAAAAAAACATTCATATTTTCTCGATATGCATAAATAAGTTAATGCAAAGCAAATCATTTCAAAGTAATGCATCATTTGATGCATGCGTACAAAATAAATATAATGTAATGTCAACATACTTAATCTTTACATTTACTTAATTTTTTCATACGTGGCGTTATTTAAATTTTATGCAACAAAATATTAGCTATTTAATCGTTTTTCTGTAGTCAGTAAAATGAAAACTTGTTTTGAACAACCTGCTTTTTTATTTGTTTTTGTCTGATTGCTTTCGTGTGCCAAACATTGGATTAATTTCTTCAAATTTTCTGCAAACCAAACAGAATTTTGTTATTGACAGTATTAAATGTGGGTTTGGTTTGTAAATGTTAATGAAAATAACATATATGTCTTGTTAAAACGTATCAAAAATCAGAATTTCCGAAAAGAAATTTATTTTGGGATTTCCTATCCTATTTTCTACGAAATCGTGCTTTGCGATTGCGTCATTGCGTGTCGCAATTTTAGTTGCCTTTTGGCGGGAAAGTTTGGAGTTTTCCGGGACAGTAAATATGGCGGAAAACAAGTTTGCAAACACATGTTGGCTAAGATGTAAGGCTTAACTTGAACTGCAGTGCATAGTAAAGTGACAAAACGTTGGTAGTAGGCGATAACTAGGATGAATATTAACTGTGAAACGAAGCTTGAGGAAAAAGACAAGCTAAAAACAAAGGTATCTTACCGGAAGTGATGATCTAAATTGTCTTCTATTCTACTTATGTTAAATCTTATTGAATTGATTGTGTTACAATATTTTATGTTGACAGTTATTCAGCATGTTAACTATGACCAACCATGCTGTTACAACTTTGAAACAGCTTGGTTTTTCCATTTACAAGCTGTATGAAAAAGAGTCAGTTAAACACTTAAGATTCATGAATCTCTGTTAGTTTAGAAACCACAAGTAGTTTAGCATGTGAAATCTGACACGCTTGTAACTGTCCTATTACCAGTTTAACTGCACCATGAAACCTTTCCTTTTTTATTACACCCTGTAATGCAAACAGTTTCAACAACTTATTTGTGTTTGGATAATGTCATAAATTAATTTTAAATAGTTGATGCAAAACTGTGGCGTAGCTAGCTGGCAAATTTGGTCTTGCTATGTAAATTTTTTGGTGTTTACTCAATGTAAAAACAATACATTTCTAAAGAAATTAATAATGCTAATGATCTAAACTTTAGAAGCAGGACCAAAACTTGCTGGCTGGCTTCTTCACTGAAGCTTGAAGATTTGTGGCTTCAAAAGTCATTTGCTATGAGGGACATTTTTGCACTAATAACAAGGCAAGTTTTGGGGTGTAGAAAGATTATTAATGGCTGTGGCATAACTAGCATTGATAGTTTCTGGGATTAATATTCATATGTGCATGTTGTCATGATACAATCTGCAGAAAACAGTCAATTTCAAAACAACTTAATATGACAGAACATGGACATATGAATACCCCCCCCCCAATTAATGATCTGCTTATGCTACTGTTGATGTGGGGCAATAATATTCATATATGTATGATATGCTTTATTAAAATCTATTGAAATTCATTGTTTTCTATATACTGTATCACTACCTATTGATCTTTCTACGTCTATGGCCTATTTAAAAGCAGTTTAACATTTCAGCTGGCTTTTAACCTGGGATGGTAAAATTCACTTTATTTACGCATACCTTCAAATGTGTAAAACCTTTTTCAGATTTTTCAGATTTTACACTGACATACTTTTGAAAAATGGTCTTCATCCCTTTGATGAAACAGTTTGCTCTGTTCATACAAGTACTGCAAATAATAGACATTGTCCATTATTTGTCAGTTGATATACTATTAGGCATATACAGAAACATCCTACCCACCCAGAATGACATTTTAGTAAACATTGTTCTGTTCAATGTTTAGTGGTTGTCTATATGTAGAGCTTTTTTTACATGCAGCTTTAAGCTTTCATGAAATTGTGTTTCTAGAAAGCTTTGTGAATTTTATCTGTAATTTGCTGTGTGTCTTTACAAAAACTCTTTCATACAGTAGATATAAAAATGGCATACCTTATGAACGAGCAAGAAAAGAGAGGAAAGCGCCCTGCGAATGGAGATCATCTTTATAGAAAGCTCAAAAAACCGTCTTTATCCCTTGGCGTTAGAGTAGGTACTGAAATATTTTTCATTTAACGATCAAACGTTTATCTGACAAAAACTTTGAATATCTATAAAGCTTTGAATAAAATTTTAGACACATGCCATTGGAATAAACTCTCAGATGAAGTTATTCTTGCGGTTTTCAAATCACTCGACAAAGTTAATCTGTTTGTGTGCTCAAGAGTGTGTAAAAGATGGCAAAGATTGGCGTAAGTTAATATCATATTTTTTATTATTCATCTACGACAAAACTCTTTAATTTTTCTCGATATCACCGTTAAATCTCGCTTGGGCATTTTCACTATATTTTCACATTGCTTTCTGCTCGTCCCTCACGGTGTTTTCTGTTCTTTTCTTACGATGTTTTCTGTTCTTTTCTTACGATGTTTTCTGTTCTTTTCTTACTATGTTTTCTGTTCTTTTCTTACGATGTTTTCTGTTCTTTTCTTACGATATTTTCTGTTCTTTTCTTACAATGTTTTCTGTTTGTTTTTACTATGTTTGCGTTTTGTTTCCTACAATGTCTTGTAAAACAATCCTGCATGTTTTTTATTAGCTACATTTTCTCCTTTTCATTTTTTTTGCTTCACTCATGATATCAGACTTTTTTTGGCTGTATGTAGGTATAGATTACTCATACATTTTTTTGTCTCTGAATGATTTTGATTTTATCTTCTATCTGTTAAGATATGATGAGAGCTTATGGCAGTCGTTGAATTTGTCCGAGTTTACTGTTGACGAAAACGTTCTTAAACAACTTTTTAACCGAGGTGTCGTTGTTATGAGATTAGCTTGGCTGAAGGTAATACCAATTTCATTATAGATGATAGCATATAGCTACATACATGAAAGTATTTTTCTTTTCTGACTAGCTAGCAAAGCTATGCAGTGCTAAAACCAGTGATTTGTAAAATAGTTACTGCTATATGTTATCAAGATTTCTGTTTTATTTTCCATGATAAATTATTACGTATTTCTTCAGATTAATCACAAACTTTTCAACAAACTTTTGTTATTTAGCTCGCTCGAAGTTTATTCGGAATAAAGTATACATTTTCGTCTTTGAAATAAGGCTATTCAAATTTTTGCATTTGGCATTTAGCTCAAAATGCCGGTCATAAAAATTCCCTCATAAACAAGGGATATTTTTTGTGACGTCTTGAAGGGAACGGCATTTTGAGTCTAAAACATTTGTCGTTAACTCGGAAAAAGTCAAATGAAGTTTTTGAAAAACATGTTTGTTTATTTTTAGGTTCTTCCTTTGACGGATGTAATTGAAGATTTAAGGTAATGAGTCAAATACCTACATGGACAAGACTTTACCTGTTGACAATGTGTTGTATACTTTCAACTTATTAAAAGGGTTGATTTTGGGCTATTCAAGACTTTTTTCTTACAAACATACTTTGTCCACTAATGTCGTGTATTTTAAACGATCTATTTAGCAACGATAGTGCGGTATATCGTGTACAATATCTTGACGTAACATCTAGTTCGATTTCCGAAAAGATTTTACATCAAGTGTTGAAGGTGAATTGACCACGTTTATATTTTTAACTTCCTGGTCACACAGCCTGAAAATGAAATCATTGCCATATCAAAATTATTATATATATTTCAGAGTTGTAAGAATTTGAAGAAGCTTAGCTTGGAAGCTTGTTCAATATCAGATAGAATTTTACGGTAGGATTCTTTTCTGGGCTGGAAAATGTCCGACAACCTGGAAATTTCTCGAAAATACAGAGTAGATTTAGAATATTGATGTATCAAAACATATGAGTCAGATTACACTGTATTTAGTATTCTGTAAAGTAAACAACACTATTTAGGAGTAACTGTGCATGGAAATATTTGTTTTGTATAGTTTTAATGAAAAAAATTGAAAGAAATATTTTTTTTTGATACTTGTTGCCAAGAAGTAAATTTTTCATCCAGGCATTATTCTCTTTATTTTTTGTACTTGGGTTATCAACTATTGACGTGTTGTTAATGAGAGGTTTCCGTTAGATTAATTTATGGGATTTTGTATGGATTCCTAATGTAGTAGCGACGTTTCTCTTATTGGTGAAAGCATGCACATTTTTTAAAATATTTTCTGTAAAAGTACATTGCAGGCATTTTTAAAATGTATCGAAAATTGTCCATAGAAAAGTTGTCATCGACTCCAGCAAAGAGGTTTTTTCTAAAGTAGCAAATAGGTCTATAATTGGTATTTAAACACAAACCGCGGTAAAACTTCAGGGGGAATTTTCATTGAGATTTTCCGAAGCCTTGGAATTATGCGTTTATTTCTTAAAAGTCGTAACTAATTGCGATACTATTTTTAAAAAAAGACATAGCTAATCCTTTAGCGCTATACTCGAGGCATTAAAAAAAATTTACATCGTGATAATTTCTCAATATTCGATTTTTGTTTTCAATAATAGTGCGATAAGTCGGTGTCACCATCTCTCTGTCTTAAACTTATCCATGTGTCAATATGTTGGTAAGGTGGGCCTCAGGTCATTGGCCATCGGATGTTCAAGGTACGTGAATAATTAAATGAAGATATGATCTTCGCACTTTGCTGGACAATTTAAGCAATTGTCTCATGAACCTGAAAAATTCAGGTGACTCAACGGGAACCCTTCAAAACATGAACTTTAATACACATGCTTTTATCGTGGTTCAACGTGGTTCAACATTGTATTTGATCATAGCTTTATTATGAATTCTTATGGATCATTGATAAACTGCTTGTTTTCAGGGTAATGACAGAACTTAATCTTGCATGGACCAATTTAACTCCAGAATCCATAGATGTGGTCAGTATTCATCCTCCAATGTTTATTCATCCTCCAATGTTTATTCATCCTCCAATGTTTATTCATCCTCCAATGTTTATTCATCCTCCAATGTTTATTCATCCTCCAATGTTTATTCATCCTCCAGTGTTTATTCATCCTCCAATGTTTATTCATCCTCCAATGTTTATTCATCCTCCAATGTTTATTCATCCTCCAATGTTTATTCATCCTCCAATGTTTATTCATCCTCCAATGTTTATTCATCCTCCAATGTTTATTCATCCTCCAATGTTTTGTGTTTGTAATTCATCGTCTAGGTTTCTTGTTTACTACTGATAGCAAGTTTATACTTTTTACTTTTTATTACCTATAACATATTCATACTAGTCACTTTATACTAACATTATTACACGCTCATACTTGCTACTTTGTTCTAACAATTACACGCTCATGCATGTTTCTTTGTTCTAACAATGCAACACGCTCATACTTGCTACTTTGTTCTAACAATTACACGCTCATACTTGTCACTTTATACTAACAATGTAACATGCTCAAACTTGTCACTTTATACTAACAATGTAACAAGCTCATACTTGTTACTTTCTACAAACAATGTAACACGCTATTACTTTTTGCTTTTTATCACCAATTACACGCTCATACTTGTCACTTTATACTAACAATGTAACATGCTCAAACTTGTCACTTTATACTAACAATGCAACATGCTCACACTTGTCACTTTATACTAACAATGTAACATGCTCACACTTGTCACTTTATACTAACAATAACATGCTCATACTTGTCACTTTGTTCTAACAATGCAACATGCTCATACTTTTTACTTTTACTTGTCACTTTGTACTAACAATATCCCGTTTATACTTGTCACTTTGCACTATATCAAACGTTCATACCCCTCGCTGAAATGAAATAGGTATTGTTTTAGGCGACGTAGTGCGTTTTTTTTCAGGTTGTTAAAAGTTTTCCACTTCTTAGAAAATTAAATCTGAGCGGTTGTCGCGAAACATTGTGTGATGAAGGTAGTTTTAACGCATACAGTATATGCAATGATGGTGACATTCAAGATCATTTTACTCCTTTTTCAAGCTGTTTCTGTGCTGCTTTCAACGTGCCCTAACCTTTCTTGCTTGGATCTAAGGTCTGCTATGTTTACTCTTTCATACTTAAAGCATGTTTTCTGCTACATGGACGTATTCTTCCACAACAGTTTGGACGTCAAAGACATCTCCAGTGCAGTCTCCGATAGCATTTTCGTACCATTGTTTCCTCATGTTTTAGTGATTGTACAGAGATCAGTGAACGTTCTGTCAGGTGTATTGTCGACCATGGTAATATCAAACATTTAGCATTGAGCAGATGTCGTGGTATAGCACCTGAAAGTCTACAGTAAGTATGACTACGTTAAACAAATCTTGCTTTAGTATAGTCGTCTGGTTAGTCAGGCTGTGGACACTCTGACCCGGAGTACCTGAGCCAGGTTTTCATAAACTACCAACTGCATGTTTTATGGTTAATTATGTAATGGTTGGAGCCTGGTTACGTGTATTCTATGGGATGTATCTGAGTTCCGAGAATTAGATAAAAGACTTTTGTGCGTAATTACGTCCATTTGACAAATGTTGATGAACGATGAGATGATTTCTATGGTGTCCCTCCTTTTTGAGGGGTCGCCCTGTAGTTGATGTTCCACAATCGTTGGCTTGCAAATCTTTTAGTTTTAGTTATGTGTAATTTTTGCATTTAGGACATTATCTCTTCTTCGATCATTACATTCAGCGCAACTGTTTGGTTTCACCACTGAAAATGGGTCAAGCGACTGGGAGAAAGCATTGAAAGGGATTGAAATAAATATGAACATGTTTACTAACATTGCCCGGCCTGTAGGGTCCACTTTTAAAGGAACTATATGGGATATTAAATGCTCAGCACTACATTAAAACAAAACCAAAGTTGTGATGACTTTTACCTGGAACTTTCCTCTTTGTTTCTTGTACTTGCTGTTCTTAGCTATTGATTAGATTTTAAAGTATTCTTGTAATGAGTTAAAAACTCATTACAAGAATACGTTGTCATATCTTAGGAGACAACATTTAAAAAATGTTGTCTCCTAAGATATGACAACTTTTTTCCTTGTCGTTTCCTATGAAATGACGAATGAACAACACCCACGTCTCTCCCCCAATAAATATTTCACGTCGGTCGCGTGAGGCAAGAACGTCTGTTTGGGGTTTCCTCTGACTTGCGCATGCGTAATTCCACAAAATTACAGACCGTACGTCGCTGCCGATATCGCCGTTGTCATTTCGGAAACTTGCTATTCATCAACCCGTTACCCCGGGATGTTCGTATTCATGGAAGCAGTTTCTTTTGGCATTTTATTTCAGAAAGTAATTTTAGGGATTTTTTTATTTGAAAGTTGGAGAATTACGATTTCAGCAGTAGCTTTTTGTGAAAATCAGTAGAATAACTTCCAAACAATTTTTCCGCAAGTTATGTATTCAAAAAAACTCGCTATCAAAACCATTTTGCTCAATAGTTTAACTGGTAGAATGATGTATCTTATAGATAGGACCGAAATTTTGTTGTATGTAAGAGGACTGTGACCATTGAAATAAATATAACTGGAATGAATCCTTCTATATCTTTTTATCTATACCTTTGTGTCTACCTTTGTGTCTGCTATTTGTCTCTACCTTTTTGTTTATCTTTTTGTCTTCCTCAGTGTTTACTGTCTACTTTTGTGTCTATCTTTTTGTGTAATTTTTTACGTTTTTGTCAACCATTTTTTCTCCCTTCATGTTTATTGTTATGTTTACTTTTTTGTTTGGTTTTTGTCCACCTTTGTATCTACCTTTGTGCCAACTTTTATGTTTTCCTTTGCGACTACTGTCTACCTTTGTGTCAACTTTTATGTTTTCCTTTGCGACTACTGTCTACCTTTGTGTCAACTTTTATGTTTTCCTTTGCGACTACTGTCTACCTTTGTGACAACTTTTATGTTTTCCTTTGCGACTACTGTCTACCTTTGTGACAACTTTTATGTTTTCCTTTGCGACTACTGTTTACCTTTGTGTCAACTTTTATGTTTTCCTTTGCGACTACTGTCTACCTTTGTGTCAACTTTTATGTTTTCCTTTGCGACTACTGTCTACCTTTGTGCCAACTTTTATGTTTTCCTTTGCGACTACTGTCTACCTTTGTGTCAACTTTTATGTTTGAACTATAGTCTTGTGTGAAAATGTGTGAAGTATAGTCTTTTGCATGAAAATACGTGAACTAATGCCTTTTGGTGAAAATGCGTGAACTACAGTTTTTTGCATAAAAATACGTGAACTAAAGTCTTTTTGTGAAAATGCTTGATTTATAGTCGTTTGGATGAAAATACGTGAACAAAGAATATAGATCACGCAATTTCACAAAAAAGACTATCGCTTACGCATTTTCACAAAAAGACTATAGTTCACACATTTTCATGCAAAAGACTTTAGTTCACGAATTTTCACACAAAAGACTATAGTTCACCCATTTTCGTGCAAAAGACTATAGTTCAAGCATTTTCATGTCAAACACTATAGTTCACTTATTTTCACACAAAAGACTATAGTTTACACATTTTCATGTAAAAGACTATAGTTCACGCATTTTCACAAAAAAGACTAGAGTTCACGCATTTTCACAACAGAGACTATAGTTCACGCATTTTTATATAGTTCACGTATTTTCAAGAAAAAGACTATAGTTCACGCATTTTCACACAAAAGACTTTATTTCACGTACTTACATGCAAAAGACTATAGTTCAAACTTTTTCATACAAAAGACTTTAGTTCACACATTTTCATGCAAAAGACTTTAGTTCACGTACTTACATGCAAAAGACTATAGTTTGCCATTTTCATGCAAGAGACTAAAGTTCACAAATTTTTATGCAAAAGACTATAGTTCACGTATTTACATGCAAAAGACTATAGTTCACGTATTTTGACAAAACGACTATAGTTCACTTATTTTCACACAAAAGACTATAGTTTACACATTTTCACAAAAAGACTATAGTTCATCCATTTTTATATGAAAGACAATAGTTCACGCATTTTCAATTAAAACACTATAGTTCACGTATTTTCACAAAAAGACTATATTTCACACATTTTCACAAAAAGACTTTAGTTGTCATATTTACCTTCAAAAGACTATAGTTGATGCATTTTCACACAAAAGACTATAGTTCAGGTACTTTCACAAAAAGGCTATGTTCACGATTTTTCATGTAAAAGACTATAGTTCACGCATTTTCACAAAAAGACTATAGTTCACATATTTTCATGCAAAAGACTTTAGTTCACGCATTTTCACAACAAGACTTTAGTTCACCTATTTTCATGCAAGAGACTATAGTTCACGCATTTTTATGCAAAAGACTATAGTTCAGGTATTTTCACAAAAAGACAACAGTTCACGCATTTTCACACAAGACCAAAGTTCACGCATTTTGACAAAAAGACTACATTTCACTTATTTTCACACAAAAGACTATAGTTTACACATTTTCATAAAAAAGACTTTAGTTCACAAATTTTTATATAAAAGACAATAGTTCACATATTTTCATGCCAAAGACTATAGATCATGATTTTCACACATTTTCATGCCAAAGACTACAGATCATGATTTTCACACATTTTCATGCCAAAGACTACAGATCATGATTTTCACACATTTTCATGCCAAAGACTATAGATCATGATTTTCATATATTTTCATGACAAAGACTATAGATCATGATTTTCACATATTTTCATGCCATAGACTACAGATCATGATTTTTACATATTTTCATGACAAAGACTATAGATCATGATTTTCACATATTTTCATGCCAAAGACTACAGATCATGGTTTTCACATATTTTCATGCCAAAGACTATAGATCATGATTTTTACATATTTTCATGAGAAAGACTATAGATCATGATTTTCACATATTTTCATGCCAAAGACTATAGATCATGATTTTCACATATTTTCATGCCAAAGACTACAGATCATGATTTTCACACTTTTTCGTGCCAAAGACTACAGATCATGATTTTCACATATTTCATTACAAAGACTATAGATCATGATTTTAACACATATATTCATGACAAAGTCTACAGATCACGATTTTCACATATTTTCATTACAAAGACTATAGATCATGATTTTCACATATTTTCATGGAAAAGACTTTAGTTCACGCATTTTCACACAGAAGACTATAGATCATGATTTTCACATATTTTATTGACAAAGACTATAGATCATGATTTTCACATATTTTCAAGCCAAAGACTACAGATCATGATTTTCACATATTTTCATTACAAAGACTATGGTTCATGATTTTCACATATTTTATTGACAAAGACTATAGATCATGATTTTTACATGTTTTATTGACAAAGACTATAGATCGTGATTTTCACATATTTTCATAACAAAGACTAAAGAACATGATTTTCACACATTTTCATGACAAAGGCTATACTACATGATTTTCACACATTTTCATGCCAAAGACTACAGATCATGAATTTCACATATTTTCATGCCAAAGACTATAGATCATGATTTTCACATATTTTCATGCCAAAGACTATAGATCATGATTTCACATATTTTCATGACAAAGACTATAGATCATGACTTTCACACATTTTCATGCCATAGACTACAGATCATGATTTTTAGATATTTACATGAGAAAGACTATAGATCATGATTTTCACATATTTTCAAGACAAAGGCTATAGATCATGATTTTCACATATTTTCATGCCAAAGACTACAGATCATGATTTTCACACTTTTTCGTGCCAAAGACTACAGATCATGATTTTCACATATTTTCATTACAAAGACTATAGATCATGATTTTAACACATATATTCATTTCAAAGTCTACAGATCACGATTTTCACATATTTTCATTACAAAGACTATAGATCATGATTTTTACATATTTTCATGGAAAAGACTTTAGTTCACGCATTTTCACACAGAAGACTATAGATCATGATTTTCACATATTTTATTGACAAAGACTATAGATCATGATTTTCACATATTTTCATGCCAAAGACTACAGATCATGATTTTCACATATTTTCATTACAAAGACTATTGTTCATGATTTTCACATATTTTATTGACAAAGACTATAGATCATGATTTTTACATGTTTTATTGACAAAGACTATAGATCGTGATTTTCACATATTTTCATAACAAAGACTATAGAACATGATTTTCACACATTTTCATGACAAAGGCTATACTACATGATTTTCACACATTTTCATGCCAAAGACTACAGATCATGATTTTTTCATGCCAAAGACTATAGATCATGATTTTCACATATTTTCATGCCAAAGACTATAGATCATGATTTTTACATATTTTCATGAGAAAGACTATAGATCATGATTTTCACATATTTTCATGCCAAAGACTATAGATCATGATTTTCACATATTTTCATGCCAAAGACTACAGATCATGATTTTCACACTTTTTCGTGCCAAAGACTACAGATCATGATTTTCACATATTTCATTACAAAGACTATAGATCATGATTTTCACATATTTTCATGGAAAAGACTTTAGTTCACGCATTTTCACACAGAAGACTATAGCTCATGATTTTCACATATTTTATTGACAAAGACTATAGATCATGATTTTCACATATTTTCATGCCAAAGACTACAGATCATGATTTTCACATATTTTCATTACAAAGACTATAGTTCATGATTTTCACATATTTTCATGACAAAGACTATAGATCATGATTTTCACATATTTTATTGACAAAGACTATAGATCATGATTTTCACATATTTTCATAACAAAGACTATAGAACATGATTTTCACACATTTTCATGACAAAGACTATACTACATGATTTTCACACATTTTCATG